CACTGCTTTAGATATGAGAAATAGTTCAAAATCAATTTTATATTGTATCAATATTTATTTAAAAACGGTATCACTAGTGGCCATCTATCCACGAGTAAGCTTGTACGCCCACTTGCAGGGTGCTGGAGATTTAGCCTCCCTCAACTTTCTGCGATCTAATATTCCATCTTTATTTTTCTACTCGACTCACAGGGAGGCAAAATGACACAAAATTTGGACTCTGAAACAGTCAAAACTCAGGGGCCAGTATTCGGATCGCAGGAAGGGCGAAAGAGGAAGGTAAGTTAATAAAGAGGGCAGTAAATATTAATGGCCGAAAAATGAATGTTTAAAAATCTTTTATTCTGCAAATTCCGGTTTTCAAATTCTGAAGAATCTCGTCTAAGAGGGCTAGAAATTAAGAACTACATAATATTGATCGTTGAAAAAATTGAAGAAAAGATTTTTAGTATAAAAAGGCAAAAGATTTTCTCTTTTTGAAATTAAAATTAAAAAGTTAAACATTAATTTTTCCCACCATTAATATTTACCGCCTCTTTCATTGACATACCTCCTCACCCTTTCTGTGATCCGAATACCAAATCCCTGGTTCGACTGTTTCGAGTCCAAATTTTATGTCATTTTGCCTCTCAAGTCGAGAAAATAAAAGATGGAATATTGGGATCGCGAAAGTTGAAGGAAACTGATAAATTTCGCGGTAACTAGTAAAGATTGCTTTACCTCTGGTGGCGACGGACCGAAGCTCAACTTACTTTCGATTTGTTGTAGTTTTCTAATTGATAGATGGCACTAGCATGCACTTTTTCAAAATAAATAGTTTAAGGAATCGATAAATATGTGATCCAGGTAGAAATAACAAAATAATTATAATTAGACCGGCAAAATATTTAACATTAAAAGAAACACACAAGCATAAATGTTGGGAGACCAAATTTGTGTAATAGTACAAAGTTATTTAAGATAATGAAATTTGTTACTAACAATCCTGATACAGAATGGTCCTTCAACGTGCTAGAGTCAGGTGCAAAATTCCTGAAACAAACAAAATTAGTCGCTTCACGTACGATTAAAGATTCCTGCAACAAACAAATACAACCCGACGAAAATTTAATTCCGCATATATCTAGACCCGCGCTGACGATGGTAGGGCCAGCGAATAGATCTCGCGCGCAAACACGAAAAATACAAACATTTCACGAGGGGTGACCAAAATCGCCTTTTTATGCAGAATACTACACTTTGAGGTTGCAGGTTGAAATCCTTACAGCAAACAAACCACAATCCGACAAAATTTACTTCCGCATATCTGGAGCCCGCGCTGACGATATAGTGACCGCTTTCAGCGTATTATAAGAAAAACTACAATTCTAGCGCGACGCGTACTGCGGCGCAAACAACTTTTACCGGCTATAACTCGCGTTTTGTTTTCTGGCAAAGAACATTTTTATGGGGAGTGCAAGGTAAATTCTGCATCTGGTAAAATTAATCCGATCTAATTGCGGCACCGCGTTCGCCAGTTATAGCAGCAACACTACAATTCTAGCGCGACGCGCGTACTGCAGCGCAAACACAACTTTCACTATAACTCGCGTTACGGAATTTTCTAGCAAAACATTTTTTATACTGGGAGATGCAAAATTAAATTCTGCATCTGGGAAAATTAGTAACCAATTGCGGCACCCGCGTTCGCCAGTTATAACAAAAACTACAATTCCTAGCGCGACGCGTACTGCGGCGCAAACACAGCTTTCACTATAACTCGCGTTACGGAATTTTCTAGCAAAACATTTTTTATACTGGGAGATGCAAAATTAAATTCTGCATCTGGTAAATTAATCCGATCTAATTATACCGACACCGCGTTCGCCGGTTATAGCGCTTGCTGGCACTACAATTCCTGGCGCGACGCGTACTACGGCGCAAACACAGCTTTCACTATAACTCGCGTTGCGAATTTTCACAACAAAACATTTTTATACTGGAATTCAAAAATTAAATTCTGCATCACAGGAAAATTAATCCGAACCAATTATATGACACCGCACGTTCGCCGGATTCATAACAAAAACTACGAAGATTTAGCGCGACGCGTACTACGGCGCAAACACAACTTTCACTACTCGCGTGCGGAATTTTCTAGCAAAACATTTTTATACTGGGAGATGCAAAATTAAGATTCTGCATCTGGTAAAATTAATCCGATCTAATTATGACTTTTCGCGTTCGCCAGTTATAGCAGCAACACTACAATTCCTAGCGCGACGCGTACTACGGCGGCACAAACACAGCTTTTCACTATAACTCACGGGAATTTTCTAGCAAAACATTTTTATACTGGGAGATGCAAATTAAATTCTGCATCCTGGGAAATTAATCCAGACAATTATGACACCGCGTTCCGTATTTATAAGAAAAAACTACAATTCCTAGCGCGACGCGTACTGCGAAGCAAACAGAACTTTTCACTATAACTCGCGTTACGGAATTTTCTAGCAAAACATTTTTATACTGGGAGATGCAAAAATTAAACAATCCAGAAATTATCAAACATACATACATACTTGTACATATACTAAGTACACAAAAATATGATAAAGAGACTTACCAGGGTAAAAAATCCTGTGATTGAATCGTAGAACAAGTATTGATGCCAAGTAGGAAACATATCAGGGAATGGACGACTTGCATTATAACTAGGAATTGTCATAGATCTATTGCAAAAGTCGAGGTAGATAATTACGAACTGTACTGAAGAGGGAAATTCCCCGATCAGAGTAAAATTGCGGTAAGAACAAATCAAAATAATTCAATGAGAGATATTTAAAGTATTAAATATAATCTAATGAATAGAAATACTAACACCGATAAACAGAGTAGAAATCAAACAATTCTGCAAGTTGTAGAATTTTGGAATAAATATATTTTTATCAGTTTTATTTTCATGCACCAACAAGCCTGGCATCTCACGTAAGCCGGCGGAGCGAAACCGAAGAAAAGAAAATGTCAATAGAATTCTCATATCAAGGGCATTCCAGTGGAAACATTAAACATCAGTAAAATATGCATTTCCCCAGGCGAGGCAACGTATTAAACTTGTAGTAAATTAAGAAAAGCAGGTGAAGCAATTACAATGACCTTGAAACCCCAGACTATGCCCATGGAAATGAAGAAGAATGTAATTATAATCTCACCCATGAATTTACTCTCCCGTGTATGGTAACTCATGAAACGTCACTGACCCTCACTGGTATTTCTTCAATTACTATAATAAATGAATAATAAAAGTTTAAAACATATTTATACAAATTTAAAATAAAAGAATATTTATCAATTCGTGCATCAAAACACTTACGATGTTTGTTGTCGAAATGTGTGTGCACGGTGCATTCCACACGGCGAACGAGATAAGAACACTTACTAGTTTATAAACAGAAACACCGATAAGCGATAAGAAGATTGCTAGCACAATGCTAGCTGGTAACATCGACACAAGTTAGAAATGCTTAGACTTTAATTTGAATTCAATAAAAGATGCAAGCGTTCATATAAATTTTTGTATTCATTATGTTTTTGAACCATATTATTTGCAACAGAGCAGAGATAGATACCGGCGACGGCCATGATGCAACTGAAAAGCGGAAAATACCAGCGGGCTTTTTGGCGCACGCGGGGAAAACCAGCTTATATCAGGAAACTTGAGACGCTTGCTTTGGAAAACTAAAATAAATTACATTTATTCGCTACCAACTTTAAGTAAATTCCAGCGTTATTTACGCGAGTGCAGAATAAAATAAATAGCGGTTCGCACCAGTTTTGGAAGATGGCCGACGGCATACAAAGCCGCACAGGTAAAGCAGAGAAACGTAGAGCTGCGTATTACGCACCGGCAGGGCTTACACTCAACTAACGCCGCGTGCGGCAAGCCATCTTGCTGAGCACGCCGTGCACAAAGTCACTGCAGCGCATGTGCGTCCCATTTGCACTACCAGCAGCAAAAACTAAAAAACTAAAACCCCGCACCTGTCAACAACCGAAAACTAACCAAACGTACACAATCCGATTAGGACGATTTACAATAAACATGGAGAATGTATCAATTGCGTCGAATGCGTTTGTCACCAGAACAGCAAAACTTACAATGCAAAATTTTTATATGTAAGGTGCGTATATGACCATGCCTGTGCATGCAAGAACACCCTGTGGATATGGGGAGTCATGCATTGATGGGGGTTTTCTGTTTATGTACGCAGCGACACGATAACAGGCATGCATCTCAAAATGGCTCAGACTCGTGCTCCGGCATTCCGTTTGCCAGAAGCTGAACACGCGATTTGAATCCAGAATCACTTTCTGTATTGTGGGGCAAAACTAAGTAAAACCGAAACAACATTTCGTAATTCTAACATATATATGTTTATATATATAATTTTATATGGATAATGAAAGTGGTAAATAAACAATAGAAGTGCTGCAAAAACAAATTTACTTTAACTATAGGCTGCAGAAGAAAAATACACCACACACAGTTATTTCCATTTTTTTGTCGTTTTGCGTTTGGCGAAATAGATACATGAAACAATCATAATCGAAAAGTAATGAATATCCATCCACGATGCCAGACTCAGGTGCAAAATCCCACAAACAAGCAAAAATTAGTCCTTCGTACAGGTCGAAGATTCCTACAACAAACAAATACCACCTGCGATGGAGAATTTAATTCCGCATCTCTAAACGCCACGTCGAAGTTAGTGAGCCGCCTGAATCGCGCGCAAACACGAAAAATTCAAACATTTAATTTTCCCGAAGTTCCTACGGTGCTGGAACACATTCGCTGCACTGGCTCGCGGGTTGCCTTGAATCAGGTAAAGCTACACTGGCTCATCCCCAACCCGACGGAGGTACCACGCACCCTCGGAAAAGCGCCGCGCTGGGTTAAGTGAGCGCCTAACTGCGCGCGCAAACCCGAAAAAATACAAACATTAGTCACACTGTTTAAATCATGCGTTCATAGTTATATATTTAAAGCAAACTATATAAATGTTATCCAGCATATCTTCGTATAATAATTGAATATATATGTCTATTGAACTACCACAATTAGCTGTTTCTGTAGCATCACTAGTCAATAGTCGTTCGAAATAAAAAAAATCGTAGGGCAGTGAAATGAACAAAGTACAGAGAATAAGAATTAAACAATTGTTGCAGCCAAGCGAATGTTGTCAAAGTGCCCAAACACCTCATAAATGTGATAAATATTTGATTAACACTAAATAGAATTTGTTTCTCAATTCTGGAAGAGCGTCCGTGTGAAGTCCAAGTAATCCAAGGCGCCGGCAATCGGCCGCTCCGTCTTCGGCTCACAGTATGGTTTCATCCGCGAGACGCAGTAGTCCGCCATGTCTTTGTTGAGATTCTAAAAAAACATCAGCATGTTAACAACGCCACCATTTGACAGACAGATGTTACTTACGGCGTACAACTCCTCTTTCGTGACGTACGGTCGATCGCCGGCGGTGATTGCCCGGAAGGCCTTCTCGATCTCCTCGGAGCTCTGCACATTCTCAGTCTCCTTACTGATCATGAACGCCATGTACTCCTGCAGCGACACATAGCCATCTCTATTCGGATCGACCACATCCAAGATGGCGTCAAACTCCGGATCCGGCTGTCCTTCCTCCACCATCGGCAAATCGTATCCCAATGCGCGCAGACAAGACTTGAATTCGTTGTGATTCAACTTGCCAGACTTCTCCTTGTCGAAATGCTTGAACATCATCGAGAACTCCTTGAGGGCATCCTCGGACACGCCCGATTGATTACGCGCTTGAATCTGCTGCTCCAGATTATGTTGCATACGCATACCGAGCTGGTCAAGCTGGTCCCATTGCTGAGCCAGCCCAACGGTGGAGTGTTCAGTGTAGCGATTGTCCAAAATAAGGTGCTCCTCGAGAATAGCGCCTAAACCTTCGATGTCCTTGAGGTCAGAACGGCGCGCGCGAACTTCGGCCGCCTTGCGCTTAGTGGCCTCTAGCTGCTGCTCCAGAGAACCGGAACCTTCCATCATGGAAGTCCTATTAAACAAATTTAATTAACAAATAGTATTTAAAACATGCACGAAACAAAAATCATGCCAACGCGTATTATTAATATTTTTAGGCGCAATTTCAATCAAAACAAGTTAATTTTGGGATTAATCGTTGTTAAAACAACAACAACACACGGGTATTTACCCATCCCAGCCTAGAATACGATAACTGAAATAATTTCAATCAATGTTTAATCATCTGTTGCTTTCTAATGCGCTTAAAAATGAGGTTAAGGTTAAGTTTAAGGTTATGTAACGTACCGAGTCTCAGTGAGCCACTGATGGAAGAGGTTGGCATGCTTGGCAAAGTCCTTGCGCAGCTTATCATTCTCCTCCTGACGATGCGCCTCCTTACTCAGCTCCACATCGCGCTCGGCAATAATCTTTTGCAGATTATGCCAAGTCTCCTTCAGCGCCTCCATGTTAAACCAGGTGTAGGGATTGGTTCCAACGTTGAAACTCTTAATCTGTTGGTCGAGCTGCGCCAAAGCTTGGAAGTCAGCTTCAGCCGAAGATAACGAAGCCTAAACAGACACGCATATTTACTAAATCATTTCAAACGTTTTTACTAAAAATTAATTACCTGGAATTGCGCATGCGCTTCACGCAACGCGCGAATCTCTTCAATGGAGTTGCAACGCACAGGATCAGTGAGATCCTCCTCGGCGTTCTCGAACCACGAGTTGAACGCAGACGCGCGCTTGGCAAACGTTAGGAACAGGTCCTCGATTTGGCGGAACTGTTCCTGCATGTGCAGCAGGCGCTTCTTACGCGCGTCCGAATTGGCGAGCAGTTTCTGCCAGCGATTGATGACATCAGCGTGGCGTTCGTTGATGCTGTTACTCTGGTCGTGGTTAGCTTGGATTAGCTGATCGCGCAGTGTTGTGATGTTCTGGATGCCTTCATGCTCAAACGCAGAGAGACCTATATTAAAAAATAAAATAATTATCAATTGGCATGAAAAGTTTTTCAAAAAAAAAAAAACTTACCAGCGTCAAAAGTCTCCTGTTTTGTCAACAGCGTCTGCACCGAAGACAAATCCCTACCGAAATCTTCACTCTTAATATGCGTCTCTTTATCAGCAATCCAGCTTTCCACCACATCCGCCTTCCACATGAACTGCAAATATGCAGAGTTGTCCAATAACTTCATCTTCCGCTTGCTGGCCAACGCCGCCAGATTATCCAACTTATTCTGCAGCTGCTGACACTTCTGCTTGATCGCCTCGCTGTGATGATTCTCCTCAGCCACCAGTTTCTTACCATCCTCACCGATATCATTACACCTATCGCGATGCGCCTGGAAATCCGTATCGAAAGCATCGTGCTTCTTCAACAACCCCTGCACAGCAGCCATGGTATCTCCATAGTCCTCCACGGACAACAATTGCTGTTTCTCGGAGATCCAAGCCTCTTCTTCTTCAACAGTCGCCAAAAACTGTTGATAAGTCAAGGACTCATCCAACTTCTGTCCTCTGGTGGCCGCTAGTTGCTTCAACTCATCCCAGGCTTGATTCAGCGCCTTCAAACGCTGTTCAATCTCAGGCACTCCTAAATTCGACACATCCATCAGCTTCTCGCCGGCTTCCTGCACGGCCTGAATCGCAGGCTCGTGGGAAGCAAGCTCCGCCTCGAAACGCTTATGCTTCTTCTTCAGATTCTGCACGCCGGTTAAATCACGGCCGTAGTCATCCGACCCAACGAGCAGTTTCTTCTCCTTGATCCACGATTCCTCATCAGCAATATCTCGGAAGAATTGATGCAGAGTGTTCGCTTCGTTGAGACGCGCCTGCCGATGCGCAGCGAGGTTCTTAATCCTCTCATAGCGCTCATTGATGCTCTGTCGCTTCTCTTGAATATTCGCCGTGTCAAACTGGCCGGATTCAATGAGAGAATCGGCTTGATCATTCATATCCTTGATGCGGTCTTCGTGCGCTTGGATATCAGCCTCGACGAGCTGATGTTTCTTGATCAGATTCTGCACGGAGGTTAAATCTTTGCCGGAATCTTCGCTGGTCAATAGACTTTCAACTTCGCCAAGCCAAAAGTCCAAATCTTTCACGGCGGCGATATACGTGCGTTGTTTATTCGCCTCCTTCAACTTCAAGCTCTTCTCTTGACTCTTCTGTGTGAGGAACTCCCATTGTTCGGTGATACTCTTGATGCGTCGCTCGACAGCCTCTTCGGAACCAGCGCATTGTCGCTTTTTGATCAAAGTATCGCCATTGGACAACACAGATTGCACACGGTCAGCATTCGCAGCAATCTCGGCTTCAAACGCTTGATGTTTCTGATGTTTCGACTGGATATTAGCTGGATCCTTGTAGGATTCCTCGGTAGCCAGTTGTAGTTTCTCAGCGATCCAGTTTTCAATTTCATCCGCGTCACGCGAGAACTGCTGGAGGGTTTGACTCTCTCCTAACTTCGATCGCTTATCAATCAAAGCCTCCTTTAGATGTCGCCACCTGTCTAAAACTTGGTTACGTTTATCGTCAATCTGTTGTGCACCGTAGTGTTCATCAGCAATCAATTGATCCGCAAGTGATTGCAACGCAGCAATTTTCTCTTCATGTGCATTGATAGCTTTATCGAAATCTTCGTGTTTTTTGATGAGTGCTTCGACATTATCGCCCTTGGAATCCACTTCTTCGGAAGCCAGGAAAGCCTCACGGTCGGACATCCAGTTCTCAGCCTGTTCACAATCACGGTAATACAAGTTCAGGTCAAGATTTTGATCCAATTGAACTCTGCGCTCTAACCAGGCTCTAAATAAACACAATTTTAAGTATTTTAACTAATAAATGTTTAAAAAATATCTACCTTTCAAGCTCTTCACGTGCTTTATTCAAAGCTTCAAGTTTCTCCTGAATCTCAGGACTTGCATAATGATTGGACTGCAACAATTGTTGACCAAACATCTCCAACGCTTGGAAAGTACCAGCCCTGGCATCGATTTCCGTGCGATGTTCCTAAAAACACAACAAATTTATACAATATTTCCCCAATGGATGCATTTCGCTGGACGATTCCAATGACAAAAGCTACAATACAACCCATTAAATAGAAAATTAATGAAAGCGTAAACTAGAATCAGTGTAACATCAAGTGTAAAGAATGAAAAGAATCAAAAATAAGTGCGCTGGTCTGGTATTGGTATTAATCACATACTGGGCGCGACATCAAGTGACGAAATATTTAATCATCTGTTAGTGTAACCAGAAAAAATAAAGAAAAGTGCGATAAACTCTACTTGTTCGTAGCACTTTGTGTGGTTGTGTTATACGACTGCGTTTTTGTGGGGCGCGCTTGGAAAAGTTACAATACGACACACAAACTACCTGCACAGCATTTCCGTAACGTGCATCTAATTCCGATCTGTAGCTCTAGAAAAATTCATCCAACAAGAAAATCATAAGCAATGTGTATCAACATAACTTCTGTTATGAGTGTCACTTGTGTATATAGTAATTTTATGTAATAATATTCTCAATTAAATTACCTGATGGCGTTCGATGAGTGCCTCAGCACCAGTTACATCATTCGCAAGTTCTTCTGAACTGACCAAACCAAGCATGGAGTGGATCCAGGCGAGTAAATCACGATGATCGTTGAGGAATCGTTGCAAATCGTACGAATCCAAGAGTTTTTCCTTCCTTGACGTGGCTTTCGCTGTCAACTGCGTCCATTCCTCGTTGATTTCACGTTGTTTCTCGAGTGTCATCTCGGCAGACTCCGGATGTGTCTGTACCAGTCGATTTGCGGTCTCGTCCAATTGTCGAATCTAAAATAAATCAAATAATTGATGAAAAAATGATGAAAATCTAAAATTTTATTTACCTTGTCGCCTAAAGCCGCTAAATCTCTCTCTAAGCCTTCATGTTTCCTCTGCAGAGCCTGGACATTCCTCAAATCCTTCCCAAGATCGTCATTGTTCAACGCTTCCTCTTTCTCTTGAATCCAATCCTTGGTTTCATCCACATCGCGATGGAACCGCTGCACTTCATGCGCACTGCCAAGTTGTGTCGCCCTCTCAGCCGTCAGTTGTTGCAATGAATGCCACTTGGTATTCAAATCCTCCATCTGTGTTTGAATCTTCAAAGCAGCTTCGGTCTGGCCCAGTGTTACCAACTGCATGGCAATTTCGTTCATCTCCGCCAATCGCACTTCGTTCGCCTTCAAATCCGTCTGGAAGTCATCAAACTTCTTCTGCAACACCTCCACCTGTTCCAAATCCTCGCCGACGTCCTCAATCTGCGCATGCATTTCCTTATCCTTGATCCAGTTAGCCAGATCGGCTGCTTCACGCACCAAAACATACGCTTTCACCGTCTCGTTCAACTTCTTCTGGCGTTCATTGGCGGAATTAATCAAACGCTCATACTGCCCGTTGATTTGCGTCTGCCTAGCGCCAATGGAGTTATTATCGACCAAATTTTGCTGGGAGGCTGTAAGTCCAGCTTCCATTTTCTTCACGTACGCAGCCGGAACGAATCCCTGTCGATCATTCACCTCAACCTTCCACCAATCTTTATTATTTGAATTCAGCAGGGTGAGAAGATCGCCTTTTTTCATGGAAACTTCCCTCGGTGATTTCTCGGTGTAATCATAGAGGGCGATAACGGCTTCTTTGCCTGTCACATCAACTGCGGGTGGTTCTTGTTGCCTACAACTCGCCGCTTGTTCCTTTAATCCTTCGATGGTATTGCCAAACGCGACAAGATCACTCATCAGGGCTTCCTGTTTCTTCAGAAGCGCCTCAGAGGAATCTTCATCTTTACCGTAATCCATCGAATTCACAATGGGTTCCTTCTCTTTCATCCATGACTCCGCCTCGTTTGCATCCGCATAATACTGATGCGCTTGCAAGGAATCCTCTAAATCCTGTTTGCGTTGATGCGCTTTCTCTTTCAAAAGATTCCAGTGTTCAAACAAAGATGTCACCCGATTACGTATCTCATCACTCGCGAAATGTTCGTCTTCCATCATCTGCTTACCGGCGTTAATGACAGCCGAAATCCTTCCGTCGTGATTGTTAACTTCCGCAAGCACAGCTTGATGTTTCTTAATCAAGTTCTGCACGCCGATCAAGTCACGTCCGCGATTTGTCGACGCAGCAATGGGTTCCTTCTCGCGGATCCACGCTTCTTCATCCTCGATATCTCGGAATAACTGCTGCACTTGTAAACTGTCCAATAATCTCTGTTTGCGTACAGCCATTGGTGTTTGTAGAGCGCAGTAGCGATCATCCAAGTTCTTCTGCTTGTGCGCAATGTTATCCGAATCAAAATGGCCGCGTTCGACGAACTGATTGGCCGCAGCTTTGATTGTTTCAATCCTGTCTTGATGGCTGCCTACATCAGCCTCCAACAGCGCGTGTTTCTTCTGTAGATTCTGCACGGATGTCAAATCTTTACCGTAGTCTTCCGACATGAGTTGTCCTTCGATTTCGGACAGCCATAGCTCAACATCTTCAATCGTCCGGTTGTATTGTTGCTGTTGACTGGCTTCTTGTAACTTCGATCCCTTTTTATCGGTGGCTTGTACAAGATTCTCCCATAATTGTACAATCTCATCCATGCGGGATTGAATACGCGGCTCGGCGTAATGTTGCACATCAATCAGTTCCTGGCCGGTGGAGGTGATCTCCTCCATGCGGGTTTTGTTCGCGTTGAGTTCCTGGTCGAAGTTTTGGTGTTTCTGAAGCTTGCCACCGAGATTTGTGGGATCCAAGTAGCTCTCATCGGTTGCAAACTTGAGTTTTTCGTTGATCCAACCTTTGGTTTCGTCGCAGTCGCGTTCAAAGTGTTGCAGCTTGGAGGCATCCTCAAGCAACATTTTACGATTCGCTGATTTTTCTTTCAATTCAGAACGACGCTCCAGTAACTAAACAATAGAATTATTAGTTTTAAAGAAAAATTACAAAAAAACAAATCAAAAATGGCGTTGAATTTCATTCAAATTAACATCCAGCGCCATCTGGCATGTCAAAACCCTAATATAACCAAACAAAAACTGTCTAAGAGTTTAACCATTTTAAACACCAGATGACGTTGAATATCATTAGTGAACTAATAAAACTAAAATATTAAAATATTTCTTACCATTGATCGCCTCTGAGCAATATCATCAGCCGCATAATGCTGTCCATCAATCAACTTGGTCGCAAATTCATCCAGCGCCTTAATCTTCTCCTCCTGCGCAGCCAAACTCTTCTCGAAATCCTCATGCTTCTTAATCAATGACTCCACCGAATCCAACGAATCCCCAAGATCTTCATTCGCCAGAAAAGCTTCCTGCTTCGCCATCCAAGTATCAGCCAACTCGGTATCCCTATAAAACAGCTGCAAATCCATGCACTGTTCATACAAGATCCTCCGCTCCTCCCACAACGCAAGCAGCGAGTTCTTATCCGAGCTCAAGGTAGACAACTTCTCTTTCACCTCATCGGTTGCATAATGGCCGCGCTCAAGCAACTGATGCCCGGCTTCAATCGTCGTAGCAAAACTATCCTCACGTGCATCAATCTCACCTTTATGCTCTTGATGACGTTCAAGCAGAGCTTCAGCACCACTCACATCCTTCGCAAGTTCATCCGCAGAGATCACCGCCTTCATATCGTTGATCCACGAGACCAAATCACGGAAATCCGCGAGGAAACGATGCAAAAAGTACGACTCATCGAGTTTTTCACGGCGTTCCTTCGCTTTGGCGGTGAGACTCTGCCAGTAATCCTCAATCTCCGCACGTTTCGCTTGAATCTGATCACCGTGATCAGCATGGATCCCACAGAGTCGATCAGCTTCCTTTCCAAGCGTGGAAACTTTATCCTCAAGTGCAGCCAGGTCTCTTTCAACACCTTCATGTTTCCTCTGAAGTGTTTGTACACTTGCTAAATCCCTACCGTAGTCATCCGATGATAAAACCACGTCTTTCTCGGCAATCCACGCGACTGTTTCGTCTGCGTCGCGATTGAAGCGCTGAATCTCATGCGCGCCGAAGAGTTTATCCTGACGCATGAGCGCCATCTGTTTCAGTTTCTGCCAAGCTTCATTCAACTCATCTTTCCTTGTGACGATTGTATCTCTGTCGGGGTGTCCATCCAAGATGAGTTTCTCAGCGAGTTCATTCACCTCAGTCACGCGGTATTCTTGACTCTGCATATCTTTCTGGAACTCATCAAATTTCCTCTGTAGGACTTCGACATGTTCCAAATCATGTCCGAATTCCTCTGTTTGTAGAAATGTGCATTTATCTTTGATCCAGAACATGACTTCGTCACACTGACGTAGATATTGCACCAATACTAATGCCTGTTGTAGTTTCATGCCTTTTTCAGCAAGTTTTGATAGTAGTTGCTCCCATAGACGGTGGAGTTCTTCAAGGCGTTTGCGTATCATTTCGGATTCGAAGTGGTTCTGGTTGATCATCTCGCGTCCGGTGTTGTCCAGCACAACAATGGCGTTGCTGTGCGCGGAGACTTCCGCTTCGAACGCTTGGTGTTTTTGGATTTTTGCTTGGAGGTTGGTGGGATCTTTGTAGCTCTCATCGGAGGCGGCTTGCAGTTTCTCCATGATCCATGATTCCAGCTCGTCGGCGTCACGCTTGAAGTATTGATAGCGACGCGCATCTTCGAGTTTCTCGCGCTTTGCGCGTGCGTCCTGTTTGAAGTTGTCGTAGCGGGTGAGGACCTGCTGGCGACGTTCTTGGATATCCTCGGCGGTTTCGAGGATTTTCACCTCCTTGGGCGGAGGGATTTGATCCATCCTGGATTTGTCACGCTCTGGAAATTGTATTTTTTGTTTAGGTATAGTTGAAAACCGGTATACCGGTATCAATACCGGTTTTTAAGCTTAAAATACCGCTATTTTTCGGTATATTGCTGGTGATATATACCAATATAACAATATTGTGATTCAAAAATACCGTTAATCAACCAAAAAATACCGTTATTGATTACAAAATTCACATTCGTAACCAAAATAAAAAGTTCGGTCGGACACTAAAATAAACTGTCATGAAGAAAATTTAGTACCTATTAACGCCACCGCGCGCTGCACTTCACTAACAATAATGCCGATAATAACCGATTACAAACGAGCCTATAATTTAATTTGACTGCAATTTTCTTCAATAATTTATATAAATATCAATCATATCAACGTAGATAATCCTAATAATCCTAAATTAAGCTATGCTTAAACACCAATTGACGAAGTTTCTAGAACTCTAATAGATGCTTATTGGATTTTCGCAAACAAAAATGCAAATAATCGTAGCTGTCAAAAGTCAAATTACCGAAGTTCATTTACCGTAGATCCTATTTTATTTCAACATGGATCCCAATAAACAACCTACATCCTCTATCATTGAACCAGTTGAACACCGAATGTAAATAGCGATGACATAATATGAACTCCCTCTCAAACGGGTTCACCGCTAGCGTAAGAAGGTCAATCAATAAACTCCTCACACGCCTAAAACGCACACTAAACAACGACCCACCAAATTCTAATTACCTACACATCCGAATCAATCTTATAAATATCACCCGTAATACAAAACAAGCCTTAAAAAATGATCCAAACGCTGTAAATATCCTAACTTTGGGTGTGTCAACCACCAACACAATTATTTCCACAAATCACCGGATTAAACGCGTCCAGATTGATACAAAATAGTAAGAGGACTTACCCTCGCCACTCGCTGTCGTTGCTTATCACCAGCACTGAATAATTAATTCACAATCTGCACCCAAATTCCGTTCGTGTCTTGCACTGGACTGGATAAAACAACGATGGCGGCCGCTGCCGGTCTCATCAATGCGGTAGTGCAGTGCGTATGGGTGCGTCTGTTACACGTCCCAGCGCATGCGCTCTTCAATCCTGCAGCAGAGGATGAGAAATATCAACCAATCAGCAACACGGTAGGAACATTCCTGTGATATGATGCGACATGAAACAAAATAAACAAGATGACATCATTACAAATTTAATTTAATTATTAATTAAGGGCAATGAAATGTTTAAAAATCATTGAAACATTTTCCACTACAAGCAAAAACTGTGGTAATGAGAGTAGGAAACTGTAAATATGTTTGGAGTGTAAAACTTTAAATTTTGCAGCGCCCTCTATGCTGGAGTATGTTAAAAACTTATACTATCCCTGTTTTTATTTATAATGTCAAACATTGCCGAGAAAGTTCAAATTCTAAAGATAGTTCCGAACAAAAGTTTATAAAATAAACGTATCTAATCTCATACTTGTCAACTTACGATATAAACATCATAAAATGCTACTGCAATGCAAGAATTAATGATCATTTTACTTTCCAACTACCCGTTGATCATCCGTTAACCTCCAAAAAAGAAACTAATCCTAAATATCTTATTCTTTGCAAAAGTAAGAGTTTTTATGATTCCCGTATAATCCTACAACTATTTACCTACAAATGTCTCCTCTATCTAGACTATTCCCAATTTTACTCCTTCTTTTTAGTGTAGTCAATGTAAACAGTGGAGTTTTGGGCATTTATCACTCCATTGCATGTTTATTCAAAAGTGAGTGCTGCAATGCTGCTTCTATACCTGGAAACACAACTAGTAAGTTATCAGTATAAAATATTACGCATCCAAATGATAATATGTTAATTTTTGTCTTCAGGAATGAAAGAAGAGTTTGAAAAGCATGTTTTTGGCCAACATATTGCCACAGATTTGGTGTTGAATGCAATTGCTGCACATTGGAACAGCAACCATGCAAAGAAACCACTCACGATGAGTTTCCATGGCTATACAGGCAGTGGGAAGAACTTCATTGCTCAAATCATCGCTGAGAGTTTATATGTTAAAGGAATGAAGAGCAAATATGTCACTTTGTTCAGTCGGATAGATTTCCCTGAGAAATCCAATATAAGCACCTATAAAGTAAGTTTTTCTTTAAAAAATCTGAAATAAATGATAAATTATTAATTTTTTTTATGCTTTTAAGAAAAATTTGTATGATTATGTAAAATCCAAAGTAAGTGAATGTGGCAGACACTTATTCATCTTCGATGAAGTGGAGCACATGCATCCCGGAATTCTAGACGGTATCAAAACCGTGCTGGATTACTACGATAACGTGGAAAACGTTGATTACCGCCAGGCAATCTTCATCTTCCTATCGAATACAGGCGCGTTGTCCATATCCAACCATTTTCTTGAATTATGGCGTGCTGGTGTTCATCGTTCATCGATTAAACTCGTTAATTTCGAGATGCTGATCGCCCAAGGCGCATTCAACACCCACGGTAACTTCAAACTTCATTATTTTATTAATCATATTAATTATGATTAATTTTATGCTTGGATTTTATCCGTAGGTGGATTGTTTCGGTCCGATACGATTAAGAATAATCTAATTGATCATTACGTGCCGTTTTTGCCGATGGAGCGCGAACATGTCGAGAAGTGCGTGCGATCGGAGTTTGGGATACGCGACGTGGTTGCTACCGATGGCGATATTGAGTTAGTTTTATGATAATTATTTTGTATTAGAGTTAAATTATATGTTTATTGTTTTGTTTTTATTAGGGAGGTTATGGCGTTCATCGAATGGGCACCGCCACCAGAGAATAAATTTGCAAAGACTGGTTGTAAGAGGATAAGTCAAAAAGTGGCGACGATGGCGTTCAAGCGGCGCCATGCACACGAACAAATCGAGCATCGAGAGTTGTAGTTGTTAAGTTTTGTTAAACAATTTGTGATCAAGTTTAAAATTATCGTGTTTATGTGATTGCACCATAATAAATTTATAGCAGATTACCGATTTGAATCTCTCGCAGTTTACCCCCACCACTTTTTGCGGGTTTTTTCTCCCCTCTCCTCTGTCTCCCGTGGATGTAACCCGTTTTATTTTGCTCAAAATATCAAAAACATCAAGATTTAAACGTGTTCTAATGATATTTTTCATTCTGTGTTATAAAATATCATCAAAAATGATTAAAAACACCCTGTATACTTGTATAGTATAGTTTTGTCCTTGAAAAGTGAATATTTCCCGTCTCATTCACATAATATCCTCAAAAATACTTAAATTTGATGATGATGTGTGCTAAATTGCTTCGCGGAAATTTATTTCCAAGCCGTGCGCTGTTTTGTGCACGTTTTTCGTGGAATTACACGTCTGTTGACGTTAAAACGCACAAAAACACGAATAATACTCAATTATTATACGTAATTACCAATCGCGGTTATAAAATCAATCGAAAATCAACAAAAAAACATTTTTCGTTCATTTCTTTCAACTTTTCAATGTTTTTTCATCTTTCAACTCATTTTATATCCGAAAATTATGTTTTCTCTCCAAAAAATATGTTAAATTATTAAAATTTAACTATTTATCACCAAAAATTTGATTTAAAATGTTACCAATCACTAATCAAACATTTTTAATGTTTTTCAACGTTTTCCCGAGCTATTTTTACTATAAATTTAAAAGAAACCCGCGTCCACTATATATTATACTCCGGAAATACCAAAATAAAATGAATCCTGCTTTGTTTTGTTCTGTTTCGCCGCATATTGACAATTGATAGATGATAAAACAGTCTCAAAGTCTAACCTGCTATACGATTACGTGCGCTAGGCGTGTAAATAATATAACTAAGCCCGATAAGATAAACTAAAGACGAAAATATCATCGGCGCGTAATTCTTACTCTTACAAAATCCGAGCGACTCAGGTGCCGTTTGGTTGTGCTGCCATCCTGTCTGGCAAGTGCGTTCGGCTGTCGGCAGCCGGCGCATGGAAAAAAATGCAGCGCCAGCACCAACACACCGACACGCACCCAAGAATGGAGCTTGATTCTCGCTTCTCGACCCGTTTCACGCCTGTTCTTTTGTGCTTCTTTGGGCTGCGTGGCCGAGCAGACGCCTTGGCGTCTGAGCAGGTAGAATGGTGGATTTCAGCTTTCTTTCTCGTGTGTGTGATGATGTCGACAGCTTTTACTCCAATCGCGGTCAGCCGCCATTTTATAATATTCATAATGTTGGTCATGCGCACGTACATCTACGTGATATTCTCGTCGCCTGTAATAAAATAAGAAAATGAAATAAAATAAAATAAACTAACATAGCGCTATGAGTTGATGTGTGGATGTAGAAGTATTGGTGCGGTGTGTGGCATCTGTTTTGTTGAATGAAAACCCGCAGCGCACCGACGACGCTTTGTCTGGCCGGCGCTGGGTTGGCGACAGCCTGTCTGGCGCGTCCGGCCGCCATGTTGCCAGCTCGCTCGCATTCCACACTCGCGGCCTTTCACAGCATGTATCTCGCCACCCCGCTCACCGCCGCACGGCCTACGCTCGCCACACTCGCAGCGTGCACGTTTCGGGGCTCCAAACTGTCTGAAACAAAAACGAATTAGCGGAGCGATGGTGCAACACGGCGCACAAACTCGTTTCGCCGCGGCGAGCGGATGTCGGCGCCTCCCAAAGCGCTACACAAGCTCAGACCTACGTCACGCTGCGCACGCACCTTTACATACATAAGTATAACAAAGACAGCGTATATCAACCGAGTGTCGGAGCGGATTGTTACACAATCCACTTCGGGTCCCTTTCGGTGCGACGTGCCGTCGAATACAAACACGGTTTAGTCAGCTCGGCGGCGTACGCGCGGTGAGGTGGGGCATATTTATACACACATATTCATTCTCTCGCGCGATTCGAGAAAATATGGTCGCATAGCAGAGCGCACTCGATCGCAGTTTCTGTAACAAACATTTTCGTGAGTTTCTCAAGTCCGTTTAAGTTCGTGCCTTACACGAAGCTCCCCGATGGTGATGGCGCACGGGATGAAGGCGAAGCCCGGGGACGGCGGCTCGCCAAAAACTGGCATCGGATCACGGCGCATCTTCCCACCGCAGTTTAAACTACAGGTGTTGGATTCCTACCGACACGATGCGGATTGCAAGGGTAATCAGCGCGCCACCGCCCGGAAATACGGCATCCACCGTCGGCAGATTCAAAAGTGGCTGCAGGCGGAAGGCAACCTGCGCAACAGCGTCGTCACCGCCACCAACAACAACAATAACTGCGTGTTGGTGAATAATAACAATAATGGTAAAAATACAACACCGAAGGGTGGCGATCATCAGGCGAGTATGGCGGTGGTGGCCTTGGAGTCTGTGCCAGCAGCGGCAACCATGGCGTTATCGCCGGCGATGCCGGACCCCGCGTCGCCCGCAGACATCGCGTCGCCAACACGCGCGCACGCGCACCAGCCACACATGCCGATGGATCTGTCCGTGCGGCGACCCTCCTCCGCCACCGCACCTGCGACGACGCCGAGTCTACCAACGCTGTGGCCTGTCGCCGTGCCGTCTCGCTCACCGTCGCCTCACTCACGCGCACGTTCACGCTCACGCTCGCCGCTCACCGCACGCACGTCGAGCGTCATCATGACACCGCCATGGGACCTAAGCAAGAAAATCAAAATGGATGAACATGCGCAGACGACCAAACCACTTTTCAAGCCTTACTTGTTGGATGACGTCGACGACAAACACCAGCAACCACCAGCAGTGAATAACTACTACGCCGCCTCAACGTATTACACCTACGTGTCGTACGAAGCCAACGTCGACGTGCGCTACGTCTTCGACGAGTCCGGCGTCCTCCAGCCGACCTACTTACGCCCGCTGTCATTCAACACAGCGCAAGCGCCCCACACACCACACCAACGACAGTCGTATCCTCTGGATTTCAAACTGCGCGCAATTGACAGCTACTATCGCGATGACGTCTGCAAGGGCAACCAACGCGCAGTCGCCTGCAAGCACAACATCCACCGGCGGCAGGTGCAGAAATGGCTGAAACAAGAGGACGAACTGCGCGAGCGCATTGCATGATGATGCCATCACGTGGACGCAACCACAACCACAACTCCAGCCTTCCCAAAATGGCGGACTGACACCGAGTGCCTTGTTGTTATTTACATTGAATAACGTTTAATAAGTAATATCGAATGTGCCAAAACCGAGACGAGAGTAATAGTTCTATAGGCAGCAATAATTAATCTTATTTTGTACATAAATTCTAATTGTAAGCGTCTAGGAGTTTAAGCGAGAGCGTCTTCCGAACATTTGCCATATTAATCGTAACAAATATTGATATTTATAAGACTCGACATATCGTAATCAAACTCAGCTGTATTTTGCACGAACGAAGAAATTATTTCATATATTGCGGAAGAAACACATGTGATCATTATATCAGTATAGAACTATAAGTAGAGAATACGTTTCTAATTGATTATACACGGATACAAAACATAAATTATATTATATACAAATTATATTATTATATGATGCGGAGAGAGCGATCGACGCGCACGCGCTGAGCGTAAATACATATTTTTTAACTGCAGGAGCCATCTTGTTATTTTATGCGCATGCGCACCCTACTTAGACCTGCGTTAGGCATGAAATACCGGTTTTTAAAAACAGCGAAATACCGGTGGTAGAAAATACCGAAATTTCTGTTTTCAAAAATACCGGTTTTCATAAATACCGAAATTTCTGTTTTCAAAAATACCGGTATACCGAAATACCGGTTTCCGAAAATACCGAAATACCGGTTTCCAAAAATACCGATATTCGAAAATACCGGTTATCAAAAATACCGATATTCGAAAATACCGGTTTTCAAAAATACCGCTATTCGAAAATACCGATATTCGAAAATACCGGTATTCAAAAATACCGAAATACCGGTTTCCAAAAATACCGATATTCAAAAATACCGGTTTTTCAAAAAAATACCGAAATTAAATCTAAAAATCCCACCTACCTTAGCTCATATTTTATATTTTCCGGCGCGCTATAATAAACCGATGACTTATACCTCGCCGCCTGGCGTACGTGCGAATCACGCGCGGGGATATCCGACTGCCGAGATAATATTTATAGCCGTGCGAGAGGTGCCAATGACCAAAACTCCGCGCGGTGTGCTGCGCAGGCCGATTTTGTAACGAGCGGCGCGTTCTTGACTTTGCTCGTACTTTCACACTCGCGCCACTCTTGCGGTGTGGGCATGAGCATCAACTGGTCAGACGGGTGAGGTCACGCCGCGTCGCTCTGTCTGCCAGGCGACATTTTTTCGTCCGAGTCGAAATTCACATTTGACTTACAAATATGCACACCGCCCAGGCATGTCCTAGAAAAAGTCAGCATAATCGGTTTATTTCACATCGCTGTACAACTGTACACAGTATTCATTTAAAGAAAATATAAATATGTTACTTTAAGGTGTGGATTAGATTAACGCTTTTTGTAGATGCAAGGATTGAGGGTTAGAATCGGTAGGGTTTTGCGATTCTTAACATCGCGCTGCTTCTCGAAGTGCATCAAGTAGAATAAATTATGCGCGAAATCTGTGTGTATGGTTGTGAAACCATAGCGATTTACGCCGGTAAGGAAGTCTGCTACTTTATCAAACCGACTTGCCACCTCAGCAATCAGTAAAGTTCCACTGAAATCAAAAAACAATCACATTTTTATTATTTTAAGTTTATTTTAGGTTATATTATTTAATACTAACCCAACTTTCAAGACACGATTCGCTTCGATGAGATAATCCTGCAGGTTAGTCCCCATTAAACTCAAGCAGAACACAGCGACATCTACAGTGTGTTTACCCAAAGGTACATGCGCCATGTCACAAGCTGTCACTCTGTCATTGGCGGCGATTAAATCAAACGAATGGACGGTTTGTTTCACGTTTTTCGATAATTCAGCATCACCACAACCAAAATCAGCTACCACAGCATTCACAGGCCTAAAATAAAACAATAAAAATAATATTTTATTATTTTAAGATAATAATGATGTAATAATGACAACTTACATCATTTTGACAGCTATGATGATTTTTGACAGGGGATTCATCGGCCATTTCCGTACCTGTTGTCGGTAACCTTCGTGATACGCCGTGAATGCGTCGGGATCCTCTTCGAATAATTTCACAGCACCGCTGCTGTCTTTCGTGTATAATTCTTCGTTGAGGTAACGAAATCTTGCTGATTGTAAACGATCCATCATCTTTTCACGTAGCGGTGTGGATTTTTTATGTTGTATTTTAGATTTGTTTGTTTTTGTTACCATCTCGGTGAGTTTTTTGAGCTTTTTCGAGTCTGCGCGTGATTTTTCCGGTGTTTCAACTGTTGGTGACACCACTGGGGATGTTTTCTTGCCTATTAAAGCATCTACTTTGATTTTACTCTTGTGGGATTTCTTTTTTGCTGTTTTTTTGATCACAATTGATGCAGGATTCAATTTGTTAGGTGATTGTTTTTTGTTTTTGGATGGTGATGTAGTCTTTGGGGATGTTTTAACAGGTGATTGAATTTTCTTAGCAGGAATTGTTGCAGGTTGTTGTTCAGGCAATGGTCGCTTCCTTAATCCTGTTCTTTTACCAGTAAAAGTTGTCTTCTGTTGAGTTTTGACAACTTTTTGTTTGACAGCCTTTGGAGTGTTCCCATTGGTTGAAGCCTTTGCTCTCTTTGGTGTATCAACAACTTTTCGTTTTGTAAATTCAATGATTTCTTCTTTGTCACTTTCGGTGACGACTTTTTAATGACTTTAGAAGCCTTGTCAACATTCGATTTACGTTTATTCTTCCGTCCACTTGTCCTAACACTAAATTTTTTTCCTTTGCCCACCTGGTCAACACAACATTAGACAATAATTTTACAATGAATAAATTTCTGCTTACATTACTGATGGCTGCGGCTGCTTTATCACCCGTCTTGTTGTCATCCCAGTCGGGAATGTTAAACGTTTTCATTTTCAAGCGTTGCAAACGCCGACAACGACGTAAATATCACACAACCTCAAAAGAAACGTGTTGCGTTTGAAATTGCGCGTCGAACTGTTCCAGAACATCTGAGTTACACGCGCAATACAAGGCGTAACGTATGCAACCAAATATACTCTATTTATTATACTTATACATGTATACAAAAATCATTGAAACAATTCTTCTAAAGGTATAAAATGTAGAAAGCCATTCACATAGTAGTTAATGACAGCAAACGCAGCGGCTTGTTCGATGGCCGGCTTGACCTCTGCGAACACTTCCTTCCAATTCTCGTTGAGGAAGCGATTCATTTCCGGTGCTAAGCGCTCGTCACCGTCGAATAGATTATCAAAACGCCAATAGACACGTTTGACGTTATCTATTTTCAATGTTGTGTTGTCATTCGACACCTGGAGATATTGTTTACCTTTGCGTTCTTCTTTTGTAAATTTTCCTTCGTAATTTATGTCAAAATCAACTGAATATTAAACAAAGACAATAAATATAACAAAAAAACAGTTAAAATTGATTATATACCAAAAGTGAGGTTACAATCGCCGGCTCCTTTGATTGGAAGGATAAGAATCCTGCCATCCATCTCATATTTCCCGATTAAATCCAATTTTGTATCGATATGCGCCTGGATGGATATTTTTTCATCATCAATACTGAAACATTACAGATTCCTGTAATTTTATTTGTATTTTGAGGTTCGGAAAACTTACTATCCGTCTTTAATGGTAAAAGTGTCAAAACCGTAAATCTCGCCATCTTTGATCGCAATTTTCAACTGTGGAGTCGCCTGTAGATCAATCGCCTGGATTCTCACGGGTGTTAAGTTTTGTAGTTTAAATTTAGGCTCACCTAAAACATTTACAACATTAATATTCAATAATAATTATAATTTACATAAATTACCATCAATTTTGATTTTATTTACAGCCGCCATTGTGTTTTCAATCACACACTGCACGCCATCTTTGCCCTTCTTGCATTTATTAAGATAATCCGCTAAAATTACGAAAAAAAAGTTAATTTTATTACAATTTATTTGGTTTATTAGGTTACTTACGTAACTTTGCACTGTATGCAACCAACACAACAGCAAACAGCACCAGGAACGCCTTCATGTTGAATTGGTAATTATAAACTGTTGCTGACCATATTTAAGTTTTCCCTTTTATACTACTCGATTAGGACGATTTAATATTGACTTTAAGACGCAGCTTGTTGACCTTGGCGATTTGCGTCTTCTGTAGATTTGGACTTTTGAATCCTAATCAAGTCACTCAACCGGAATTAATGTTTGCACGGTTTTTATACTTTTAATTAAACACTTCGATTTCATTTCTTATTATTTTTGTGGTTTTATGCTTATTATGTAAATTAATATTGTGTTACTAATGTGCACGTGCAGGTATTATTTAGTTTTTTATGTCAATATATCTAATTAAGGTAGGCAACACACCGAACACAAAAACATACCCATATAAATATTAATTATTTTAAGTTTTTTCTTTTTAAAAACATTGATTCACAATTCACATCTAATTGTACATCTACCTTATTAAGATCACGGCTGTTTCTATATCTAAGTGAATTAAATATTTATAATAATTGCTTAAATTATACATAATTAAGGCGCTAATAACTCATCGTACGGCAGCGACGCGATGATTTTCTGCACGATGTCTTGCGCGATCGCCGAGATCGTCTCACGAATACTCGGCCCGATTTCCTTCAACATCACATCGTTATTCTCATTCAGAAACTTGTTCATCTCATCGCCCAGGCGTTTATCGCCATTGAAAAGATTCTCCAAATGATACGCAGATTTAGGTGCTTCCAGAGTAACCGCAGGAGGCTGAGGGTCAATATAAGCCTTACCATCACGCTCCACCAAGTTAAAATCAAATTCGTAGCCGATTTTTGCATTAACTACACAAAAAAACAACACAAAAATCAACATTTTACACTTTTTCAGTATAGGCAACCAATTATACACATCAGCCATCTTGTATACGGTATACTCACAGATTGACGCTTCGAGTTTCCCACTGCCGGTGATAGGAAGAATTAAAATCTGCCCGCTGATGTTGTAAGTCCCGTCAATATCCAGTTGCGGAGTGATAAATTCCAAGCGCATTTTCTTCGCGTTTAGATCCAAGCTACGCAAACAAAAATTAATTTGTTTTCCATTGTTTGGCGAATCAATTTATGCATGCGCATGTCAATTATCATAAATTAGTATAAGTGCAATACGCAACAACACAAAATAATACATACTTAACATCTTGCAGGTCCAAAGTCGACAAACCACGAAGTTTCGAATTAACCAGATGAATTTTGAGGTTATTTGTATCGATATTAATCTCAGGAATTGCGAGCGGTTCCAACGGACGTAGTTTCAATTTTTTGTCACCTAACACACATATAACATGTAAAATAACATAGGCAACCAAATATACACCACACTAACCTTTAACTATGTTAGGGATCGCTTGCCTGCCGTGTTCCTTCGCGCATTCGTTCAACTTCGGGTCCGATCGGCTGCATGGTGCAATATAACTCGCTGTGATTGTCAAAATGTAAAATTAATGTTTAAAACACATAAAAACAGTGTGTAATTTATTAACTTACGAAAATAAGCTGCGTCGGTAAGTCCCAGTATTAAAACTGCACCAATTACTATCAATCTAAACATGTTTAATTTGTTTTTAGCGATGTGGTTCGTAATAGCAGCAAGAAACGATTGAATTCGCAGCGATTTCGTGTTTATTTATACATGCACCGCACTGCGTGTACCTGGCGATGCAGAAAACCCCATACAGGAAAAAAACGACAACAAATTAGTCTAATTTGCATACGAAAGCAATTTCGGATCATATCCGATGCAGGAATTGATAAATCCTTGAATGTTTTTGACATTTTAAGCGTAATATCATGCAGACTTCCTGCGTCAATCGAATAATTCCTTCATAATTCATATTTTTACGATAAAACACTCGGTATTGGTAATTGCACGTGCATTTTGTCTTGTTGCAGACACTTGTAACCGTTTTCAAGTGTTTATTTATTCATTGTTGAATAAATTCGCTAATTAGTGAGAGAATTTTTCAATTTTCTCGCTTAATTGAAGCAATTACCGGCTATTGTTCGGAATTTTGATATTTTATTATTTAAATGTATGCATTATATGAATTTATTCATCAATTTTTTGCGCGTGCAGCGTAGAATCATGCGATTTGCAATAAATCACTCATTCTGCGAATTGTTCGTGCACACACGCAGTTCTAATGCAATTTGTCATGTAAATCAAGATGGCTGACACTTGTTTTGCGCATAGTGTGCATTTGGTTGCATAATTACTTTGATATTATGCAAATTCATATTTTTATTCGCATTGAGTGTACTTTAGGCGAACTTGAAACTTGTAACTTGTATTTGTACTTACGTGTAATTTGCTTATTTATTCTTATTGGTTGAAAGTCATCTCCGAAGTGATTCAACTTATGCAATGCGCATTTATGTTTGTTTGAACTTGACTGCGATTTGTGCATCATTTATGCCTTAGCAACAACTGTTGTTTGGTGTACCATGACCGATCAGCGAGAAAAGTGAATGTTTATAATGGTGGATAATCGTGCACTAATAGCCGCCCATCAAAAACTCATCAAAGTAATGAAACTCTTTTCGTAAATTTCCATTAACGGCGAGTTGACATTTGCCTGCGTACGTGAGCAAGTTCATAGGCAACCAACAATACATCTATGAAATTACAGGTTGTGGTTATTAACCTACATTGATTTATTACTTAATTCTAGGAGTCTAGGGTAAAAACAAATCGTCAAAAGGTATTTTTGAGAATAATCCACGCGCAATTGATGTGACAATCGCACCGACAGCTTCCTTCAGCGATGGGTAGAGTTCATCAGTGACATCTTTCCAGTTTTCATCCAAGAAACGATTCATGTTGTCACCTAACATCCGGTCGCCATTAAATAAATTATCCAATTTAAGGTAAATCCTTTTCGCGGTGTATTCTAGATTAGTCCAGGTGAATTTAACGTGTTGTTTACCACTTTTACGACGCATCAAATCAAAAGTGAATTCATATTTGTATTTTCCTCCAGCTAAACACAGAAAAATTAATAAAAAAACATAATTTTAGGTTATATAATTACCAATTGTTATATTTGCAGGTCCCTGGCCCACAACAGGAAGGATAAGAATCCTTCCGCTGATGTTATAATTCGCCAACACATTCAGATGCGCAATGTCAACTTCAAGAGTAGTTTTCTGCTCTTTGAAGTCAACGTGCATGCCAGTGACAACTGAAGACTCAAGACCATGCAATTCACAATCGGTAAACTGCATGGATAAACTATCTTTGGAGTTAATATTAATTTGTGGTACTTTTAACGGTAGTAAATTCGGCAGGTTAAACTTGGCATCACCTACAAATCATAATAAGGTAGGCAACTTAATATACACGCATCTAGGGTTATTGCACAATCGCACAATAAAAACACAATAAAAACCAATTTTTACCTTTTAAAACAAATGGAAGCGCTTTGTTTGCATGATCCACCATGCATTCGTCAATATGCGGATCACTTCGACTACACGCCGTGATGTAATCAGCTGGAGTTAATAAAACAATAAACAATCACTAATTATGTCGGGTTTAATTAATAAAACAAACTTACGTAACGCCATATTTGTTGTGGAGCATGTTTTTATGCATAAAACAGCAAAAACAATGAAATTCACGTTGTAAACACGCATTTTACACGTAAAATTACGAAAATTTGCTTCGGATTCTTCACCTGAACACTTTCACGACTAATATGAATCAAAAATTGCACAAAATTGCCTTTTATACACGAAATCAAGCGTTTAATGACACTTTAAAGGGGAAGTTTTGGATTATAGACAATTAATATACAATTACACAGATTAGAAAGTCTGCAGATGTAATAAACACGAAATATATTGGAAATTAATGAGGGTGTCGGTAATGCAGTGGTTTTCTTTATTAAATGTCATCATTTGCGCACACCTAGCGCCGAAATGAAAGTGTTTATCTTTTCATGTAATGGCGGATTGTCTCCGGCGCATTTCAACTGAATCTGCATGAGATTTTGAATATCACGTTGTTCGTAGGCAATTTGTGCTGCATCTTCAAGTTCACTGCAAATCAACATACAAATAAACATGAAAAACATAATATTTCATAACCTTACTTTGCTTTGATGTAGTATTTGACTTTCATGTCATCTGAAACACGTGACAGGTACTTCTTAACCTCTCTTTCCTTGCGATGTTTCAAACAAACATCGACAAACGGCGCATAACCAATCGGGGATTTCTTTGATTTGGAAAAACGGTCGAGTTCTTCCCAATGATCTTGTTCTGCGAGTGTTTCAATGCGCAGATACCAATAACTGTCAAAATATTAAGTTTTTATGTCAAAAAAATAAGGTTATGTTGATAATCTTGTCTAAAATGTCATAAATTACCGTTTGTCAGGGATTTTATAATCATTCCTAAACTTTTCCACGATTTTCATCTCGTTTAAAAGCAGAAGTTTCTTGCAAGTGTCATTAACTGACATCCCACTGAGTTGCGTCTTCAATTTCTCATCCAAAACCTTTTGATCCTTCAATAACCTCAAAGCTTCATCGCTCAACGCAGCGTTGAAGTCATTCCTACCTTTTTTATACGCGTCCAAAGCCGAAGCAATGCAGGATTCTTTCTCATACGGTTTCTATGCATGCAAAAAAACAAAAATGACATAAAATTGAGGTTATGATGATGTTTAACCTACCAAAACACTCATATCTGAAATTAAATGCAACGCCTGTGAATTAAAATCATCTTCTTGTGTGTAAATCCCTTCCAGGGCTTCCGCGCTGTTTTCTCTGCAATATTTAATATACAATGCCAAAGGTACGGGGTATTTATGCACGAGTAGTTTGAATTTTGCAAGTTGCATATCATTGCGCAGGCGTAGAATGACATCGTAGATTAAATCAGTGTCGCCACTTTCGATGGCTTTCACCAGCGCAGGTTCATGCTCCTCTAAATGCACCAATAGTTCCACTTGTTTGCTTGCCTTGGGTTCATAATCGAGCAGTTTAATTGCTAGTTTTTTACGGCCGTTATCCGCAGCGGTTTTTGCTATCTCACTGTAGCAAATTCCGACGCTATGGCCGAGTTTCTCACCGATTTGACGTGCGATTTTGTCGTCATCTGTACTGTCATGTTTACTAACCTAAAAATTTATGTCGAAAATGTTATGTTTTGTATGTTAAAACAGTATTTAAGGTTAGATTTACTTTATACTTGGCCCAATGAACTAAAATTCGATTACTGCCTTCGTTATCAGGCATTCGGAGATATTTAGCGACTTGTATCGCTAGGAAATACTGCCTGCGCGCCACCAAGCGGTCCAACAGCACACTATTACCTAGATTTTGTAATCTGTCAAATAATAAATGTCAAAATGTCATTTTTAAACAAAATATTTAAATTTTTAATCAAAACATACTCTGTGAATGTAATCGGGATGCCAATTCGTCTATCCCTGACAGAATTGAGTATCCTCAACAGTCTGCACATCTTCACATACTCCTCTGGGTCCACCTCAGCGGTGAAACACTTCCCAAACTGCGCGGCGCGAATCAACATCTTTTGATTCTCAGCGTCAAATTCATATCCAGCTGCTTCAATGCATTGCTCCACTGCTTTTACTAGGTTAGGTTTGACTAGACAAATGTATTCATCAGCTTTATGACTGCGTCTTTGATATTGCTTGGACGCTTCCAGTAAATAACTGCCTGGATCACTGCTGTAGATGCGGAATATTTTCTGTAAAGTATCCGGCACTTTCTGGAGCAGTTCATGCTGATAGTTTGAAAGTAAACGCACGCCATCTATCTCCGGAGCTAGATGCACAGTGCTGTCATAGTTGAATGTCATTTTCGAGCAACCGTTAGGCCCGCATTCGTTTTTATAGATAATCATTAACGTGTAGTCTTTCTCCCAGAAGGCAACGAGTGCTTCGGTGCCACACCATTCAAGGTATTTCGGTTTAACGATCATATCCGTGTCGATTTCGGCTGTTTTCGTGCGTAAATCGGCGCTGCCCATCCATATATGTCCAGCGTCAGTGAACAACGCCAGATGGCGCGCGTTAGCTGACACTGTCATTTGTAGAATGGCGGTGTACCGATGGGAAATGTCAGCTTCCAACTAAACATTATTTTTTTGATTAATTTATTGATTTTTATATGATAAAAACATAATTACCATCTCTGTAGCATGTCTTTCGTCTTGTTTTAACCTATAAAGTTCTCTGCCGCGTGCAATTAGCACTTCTGTGTTGTTTTCTTCTGATATTACAGCCCAACTTGTAGGACTCAATGAAGATTCTTATAAAATATCAAATAAATGATAAGTTTAAGCTTAAAACTAAGTAAAATGAATAAAACTTACTTGTTAACTCTGATAATTGTCTCTGTTTTGGTTTAGTAATGTTGTTAATCAAGAAAACTTTGTAGTTTTTAGTCAGAACAGCAATACCAGTGAAGTTCTGTGGATTAGTGAAGATAATCGCATCGATAATCTTCGTATCTCTCACCTCTTGACACACATGAATGTTGTGAATGCTGTCTAGGAAGTTCGAGAACACATTATGGACTGAAATGGTTCCATCTTCATGCACACAGATCAAATTCTCATCATTTGTCCAACCAATTTTAATAATTGATTTAGTATCCTATAAAAACATTCAAAATTAACTATTTTACATCAAACAATGATGAATACATACTTTAATTGAGTTGAAAAGTTTACCACTGCCATTGTAAATATTGATAAATGATTGATTAGATGCTTGTGCCTTTTGTAGCTTGGAATTATCGCGTTTAACAGCGATTGGCCCAGCGTACGGTGCACCGACTGCTATGGCATGATCCATATTCACTTCGGTGTGCCATCCCATCGAGTACAATTCGATTTTTCTACAAAATATCACAATTTTCATGTAAATATTGACAAATTTATTGATTTGTAGTGTTTTATGGAAATAACTCACCGAAAATAGGTGTCTTTCCCTAAAAGGAACCAATCTGCCGTTGGCATATTCATTTTAACAATTTTTATTCACTGTACATCGAAGGAAATATGAAATAAAACACGAAAATGATGAAAATATTTATGAGAATGGTAAGTGTCAAGCACAGCTGAGGGTGTATACAAAACAAATGTGTATTGTTGGTTGCCTACGTTAAAACCATGTTTTAATTTTTACTTTAACTAAATTTCTCGATAAATCTAATTATTTTTATTTACAGTGTAGGTAATTACTATTTTTACAGTAATAAGAATAGTAATTAACGTAATAAAACTAAATCGTAAGCTTTCTGTGGTCACGCTGCTTGCTTTCTTTTCTTTTTCTCAATCAAAACAATTACACGTGAATGCTTTGCGGCTGCAAGAAAAAATTAATTATAATTAAACAGCTGCATTTTCCACGCACCATGCCACATACAACATTCAACACAACTCGCTCGACAGGTGCGTGCAGCTCCGCGCGCCAACAAGCAAAGAGAAAATGAGAAAAGGTGAAAAATGACGCAAAAGCGCAGAAATTACCGCCGCTCACAATCGCCACATGGCGTAATCACATTTTATCGATGCTGGAGTTGATCTTGTAATTCACGTACATAATAACAATAATCACCGCGCAGAAAGGCGATGATTTTGAATGAAGTGAAATGTAATATGAAGATGCACAGCGGAACAGATGGAATTTGTTGAATTTATTAATATATCGTCAGAGAGACGTAGAAATATCTTCATTTTATTATACCGCAATAGTTTCTAACACTTTCGATCGTTTTCACTCTTTTGCAACATGATCATCATTCTAACAAGACAATTATTTAACGAAATTGAATTGATTGGGTGATGTGTTTTGGGTTTTTCTTAGTTTCGGTCATTATTTTTGCTTGTACAAGCATAAAACCTTTCACTTTGTTTGTTTTTCTATAAAAATTTAATGATTTGTTTATTTTAAAGCGTAAAAAAAACTGGAAATGATAATAAAAGGATGTTTTGTTTGTTTTTTGAGTAAATAAACAATATTTTTAGTTTTTAAGTGAATAAATACATGATTTGTTTGATTTTTCATCAATTTTGTTAGTATTTTGAGTTTTATAAGCATAAAACCTTGCATTTTTCGTGTTTTTGTATAAAATTTGCTAGTTTTCATCATTTGAGACATGAAAAAGCTTTAAAATATTAATAAAAATGCATTTTGTGGGTTTTTAAGTGAAAAAATATCAAATTTGTTTGATATTTCATCATTTTTGTTAGTATTTAGGGTTGCATAAGCAAAAAATCTTTGTTTTTACGTAAAATTGTTAAAATTTGTTTGTTTGGGACTTTAAAAACCGTTAAAATGTCAATAAAACATTAATTTTTAAGTTAATATATAGACAATCTATTGATTTTTTCTTTATTTTTAGGAGTATTTTGGGTTGTATAAGCATAAAACCTTTACTTTTATTAATTTTTACCTAAAATTAATACTTTTAATTAATTAAAAAACACTAAAAACGTATAAATAAATCAATATTCTTCATTTTCAAGTAAAAAATATAAAATTTCAGCTTGTAGAAGCAATAAACATGAATTTTACTTAAAATCTTCAATTTTTATTCATTTATTGTAAACAAACATAAAACCTCCAATTTTTTCCACCTGAGATAAAACTACAACACCTGTAGCGATGATTCTGCGTGGGGGCAAGGTGTGTGCAGTCCTGCTGGCCTCTTGACTTCTTCGTTCTGCGCACCGCGTCAGTTCGAACAGTCTTAGCGCGAAAGACGGTCGCGTTTCCTCCTCTCCGCCGTTGTTCACCGCTATAACGCGTAAAAAACAAGTTTAAACAAAACATGCGGACATTTTAATCAATAGTTGCGTAACACTTGGATTTATCACAGTGGATAAAGCACGAAAAACACGCAAAAAGGTAAAAATAACAAATTTATTAATAAACAAATCAAATTCGTCATAAATTAATTCGTTTTTGTGTGTTTAAACAGGTTAGTTGCACGAATTTCTCTTGGAAACCGATAACAACCGAAAGGTAAACAGTTAAATGATTGATTCGTCGTAAATTTACCGGTATTTTATCGAAAATATTCAGTTTAAGACGTTTTAGAACTTCCGGCATGCATAATCCGTGTAAATAGGAGAGTTTATTGAATTTTTAAGTGTAGCCTCTTTAAATCTCACATTTTCGGCCTTAATTTATGCTTAATGTTTTAATTAGAGCGTTTTAATTCCGTTTAATTAGAAGATGCGAGCTTGAGACACGCAACGGTACATTCGACGCGCTGTTTTACTTTGATTTCGGTTTACTTGGTCAGTTATGAAATTATTTTGATGTTTTTTGATTGTACAAGCAAAAGTATCACAGGAAATTATAAAAATCATTGACTATTAGTTGATAAATGTATTATTGTTAATATTTAAAGGGTTTTTTAAGGTTTTCAAGTAAAAAGCTTTATAATTTGAAGTAAAAACAAGTAAAATGAAAGGTTTTATGCTTGTACAATCAAAATTACTAACAGAAATATGAAAAATCAGAGAATTACCAAAGAAAACTTGTTTTCATTGATGATTTACAGATTTCTGTAAATAAAAATTGAAAAATTGAATTATTTGATGTAAAAACAAGCAAAGTGAGAGATTTTATGCTTGTACAATCAAAAATACTCACTCGACAATCAACAATATGTTTTTATTTACATATTTACGTCTTTTAAGGTCTAAAATTGCTTGAAATTGTAAATTTTATGTAAAAACCAGTAAAATGTGAGGTTTTATGCTTATGCAACCCAAAATACATACAAAAATAAGAAAAATCCGCAAGAATTACTAAGAAAACTTATGTTTATTGATATTTTTAATGTTTCTGTAGTTAAAAGTTGAAAAATTGAATTATTTTATGAAAAAACAAGCAAAGTAAGACGTTTTATGCATAGGCAACCCAAAATACTAACAAAAATAAGTAAAAATCGAAGAAATCTTATATTTATTCACTTATAAACTAAAAAATCATAATTTTATTCATATTTTAAGACCTTTCAAAGTCAAAAACAATAAAATCTTTAAATTTTTAATTAAAAACAAGCAAATTTCAAAGTTTTTTGCTTGTACAATCAAAATTACTGTCCAAAATACCAAAAATCAAACGTTTTTCTATAAATTTACGCTCAATACTTAATTAAACCGTTTTTAATTCGAAGATGCAAGCTAAAGACACGCAACGGTAAACCCAACTTGCTCTTTTCCTTCTCCACACTTTACTCAGCCAGTTATGAAATTACTTCAATCGGTAAATGGTAAATTTACCAATTAGAAATTGTTCAAGCTAAAGAATGTGCGTGACCGTATTTAAAATACCAATGCAACACTTTTCTCGCAATCGTTCGATTGTACGTTCGATCAGACACTTGCAACTGGAGCAAAAAGTTGTTCTTCATTCAAAGATGGCCGCCGCGCCATGTCTAATGACACTAATAACACTAATAACACGAATTCTGCGTATGTACAAGCCTAATACCGTTGTATTCTCGGTGATTTCGTGTTTAAAAAGTTGTTTAACTTGATTCCAGTGCGGTAACATTTCATTTTTTCGGTGACAATTCTTCCAAGGTCATTTTACTATCATTGGCGTCACCACGCACCTCTCACACCATAAATTGCTGCGATAATTCAGTTAATAAACGATGCCTTTGTTGGTGTTGTTGTTGTTGTTGTTGTGTTGAAAGAAGAAATGCGTTGGGAGTGTGGAGAAAGCAGATTCTTCTCTTCTCTTCTCTCTGAAAGACGTTTTAGTTGAGTTAATCTTCGTTTAGAAGCATTCACAGACGATTCAATGTGTGTATTGACATTTAACCTTTTTGTTAAAGACGCAAGACGTGTATAAATAACATCAAGGTGGAAGACTCATCAGATAAACACTTTTTCAAATGGTTTCCGCTGCGTTGTTAATAGCTACGATGGCAATTTATGCTTTTATTTGCATATATTGCATATTGCGTTAGTTATGCAACCACATGTACACGTTGTATAAGATGTGCAGCTTGTTCTTCCGGGTAAAACTGAGTAAAGTTAATAGTAAAACACGTAAAAACAAATAAAAATTGAATATTTTTAGTGTTTTAGGAGTTAGATATAAAATTTTATTGATTTTTGATTATTTTTGTTAGTATTTTGGGTTGTATAAGCATAAAACCTTGCATTTTTCGTGTTTTTGTATAAAATTTGATTGTTTTGTTGATTTGAGGCATGAAAAAGCTTTAAAATATTAATAAAAATGCATTTTGTGGGATTTTAAGTGAAAAAATATAAAATTTGTTTGATTTTTCATCAATTTTGTTAGTATTTTGAGTTTTATAAGCCTAAAACCTTGCATTTTTCGTGTTTTTGTATAAAATTTGCTTGTTTTGTTCGTTTTAGACATGAAAAAGCTTTAAAATATTAATAAAAATATGTTTTGTTTGTGTTTATGTGAAAAAATACAAAATTTGTTTGATTTTTCATCAATTTTGTTAGTATTTTGGGTTTTATAAGCATAAAACCTTGCATTTTTCGTGTTTTTGTATAAAATTTGCTAGTTTTCTTCATTTGAGACATGAAAAAGCTTTAAAATATTAATAAAAATGCATTTTTTGGGTTTTTAAGTGAAAAAATATAAAATTTGTTTGATTTTTCATCATTTTTGGTAGTATTTAGGGTTGCATAGGCATAAATCATTCACTTTACTTGTTTTCACATAAAATTTAATTGTTATATTAATGTCAGACTTTAAAAACAATTAAAACAGTAATAAACATACATTTTCTTGGGTTTTAAGTGAATAAATACCAAATTTACTTATTTTTCTTAGTATTTTTGCTTGTACAATCATAAAACAATCATTTTTACGTATTTTCACTCAAAATATTCAATTTTTCATCCAAATTCAACCAAATAAACATAAAATCCACCATTTTTAGACCTAAAACATTCAAATTTAATATTTTATCATTTTGTAAGGTTATGTTAGGTTAAGTAAGCAGTAAATGTTAAATATTACACTTCTGGTATGGCTGGAATGGCCGGCATGATTCAAAGAACAGTTATCCGAATCCGCCTCATCTCTACATGTACGCGTACGCGTACGTGATGCGAACGAGAAGAAAACCAGCTTCTTGATCTTTTTTACGCGCTGCGCGCCGTTATTACGTGCATCGTGGTCCATCGGGGCTGGTGAGGAACTTGAATTCAAGTTCAAGGACGTCCCGGGACAACCCGCCTCACCACATATTATAAGTAATAAGTAATAAGCATCGAATTCAGTGTGGAATTGGTTCAAACTAGTGTTATGCTAACGGTCCGTGATTTGAATCATAATTCAAGACGTGTGGTGGAATTAAGACGTGTGTTGGTTTTGAATTAGTCAAGAGAGTGCAAAAAATAAATCGTTACTGTTGCGATTATCATAATTATTGCGATGCATAAATGGAGAAACGGTAATAAATGTTCAACAGTACATTTATTGCTCAAGAATATCTTTGATTTGTTTGATTCAAGACGTTTTCTTATTTTCATTTCGAATTGAACATTTCCCGTGCATTACGACACTTCCGTCCTTTCTTCTTTGCTTTTTTGTTTGGTTTTTGGCGTAAAAACAATCACTATTTACATTTTACTTCCTTTGAGAGAATAGAATGCAGAAAATGCGGCGAATTTCTGCGATTTTATTTGTTTTGGAGTGTATTTTGGGTTGCCTAAGCAATACACTAAACATTTTTCGTATTTTTGAGTTAAATTTGTTGTTTTTGTTCATTTGAGACATGAAAATCTTTTAAAATACTAATAAAAACACATTTTGTGAATTTTTAAGTAAAAAAATACAAGATTTCTTTGTTTTTTCTTAGTTTTGTTAGTATTTTGGGTTGTCTAAGCATATAACCTCACTTTTTTGTGTTTTTATATCAAACTAGCTTTAACCCGCGGCTTCGCTCGCGAATATCTAAAATAATGAAGTTGCTTCCGTACGCGTCTGTAGTCACAGAAGAAGTAACAATGAAGTAGAATGGCGGGAAGTTTAAAATGGCTGAAAGTATTGAAGCCACCTTTGGCTCCGGCGCCCTCTAGCGGCGATTGGGCTACGAGCACCGCCGACTTGACCGCGCTAAGGATGCTTAACTAGAGATCCTAGGGTGCTAGGATCTCTAGGAGCTATCCTGATGACATGTGGCAGCTCTCAGCGGCATTCGTGCTTCCAACCTCACAACGCACCGACACGTTACTAGCAAGCCCAACCTCTCAGAACACCGTTGACAGCTAACCTACGCATCAATTTGGCGCAGTCGGTAGGATACCCAAGATCTATGAAGATACCAAATTAATCCAAGACTCGGGAAGCACGTGTCCCAAGATGGCCGCTCCCGATCTCCAGAAATACTCGGGACACAAGACCGTCATTCAAGCCGAGTTGTGGCTGAATCTCTTTGAAGTGGTTAGCCACAGCCAAACAGATAAAGAGAAGGTGGTCATGCTCATGAGCTACCTCGTGCACGACGCGCTGTACTGGTACGCAATAGACGTAGCTCCACGAATGGGCTCCATCACATGGGCGGAGGTCCGACACCAGTTAATCGCGCGGTTTGGCCGTCCAGTGCCCGTCCCGCTGGTGCAGGCTCAACGCCGCGTCCTAGAGCTCGCAGAATCACGCGAGTCGTGTTACAACAACAAGATGGGCTTCGGCGGCACGCCGCCGTCGTCGATGCCGCTCAGCCCTGGCCCGCCGACCAATTATCACATGGACCCACCACCGGTCGGCCACCACCTCAGCGGCATGGGTCCGCCGCCCAGTATGGGCCCGCCTAACATGCCGCCGGCGACCAGCCCCCTTTCACAAAGTAACCATCCGCATGACGATGGGCCGATGCCACCGCCTACCTCTACGCCCAACCCGCATCATCCGCTCACCGCTGGCCCGCCGCCACATGAGATGATGGATAACGACAGCCACCCTGTCGATGTCGACTTTCGCCAGCTCACGGTCCATCGACGGACCCCTGGCCACTCTCGCCAGCTCACGGTCCACCGACGGACCCCTGGCCAATCTCGCCAGCTCACGGTCCACCGTCGGACCCCTGGCCGACTACAACAAACCCACGACGTCGACGTCGGCCGCATCCCCGATGTGGCTCACCGCATCCGCCTCGAGCCGGGTACCGCACCCGTCGCCCGCAGATCCTTCCGGCACTCCCAGCCAGATGCCGAAGCCGTCCGCGTCCAGGACACCACGGGCCCCGCTAAGGGGTCCACGTCTCCACCCTCAATGTCGTCACCACTGGCCCCGTTGGCACGCCGATTGCCGAGGGCTCACAGCAGTCGACCCTCCCCAGTGCTTCTGCGACGTCCGGCGAGGATCCGCAGTGCACGACGCCCAAGTCCCGCAAGAACGACATGGGCCAATACAACCATCCCACAACGCCTCAGAGTACCGTGTCTTCTCCAGGTGTTGCGAGCATGAACTCGATGCACGAAGTACACGAGATCTGCAGTCCCAGCTGGCCACGCACCCCTGCAAGTCCAGTAATTAATACTCATCGGCCGCATCAGGAAACCTACCGTTCGAAGAAAACGGATAGTCTCGGCAAGTTCTATGAAATGGACGACAACACGGTTCGCCGAAGAAGACTAGACAAGCTGCTCGCCTTTATGGAGGTGCGCCGCACGCCGATCACAACGTGTCCGACGGCCTCGAAGAACCCGCTCGACCTCTTCCGGCTGTACATGTTTGTGAAGCGACGTGTTCCCTGGCACCATCCCACGCGCCATAAGTTCTCGGCTACGAGTAGTGGCCCCTACGTAGTTCTTCGGTCCCTAGGACCCATGCAATATCAGTTGGAGAGGTTCTGCGAACGGACCTCGCTTCGAGAGGGGAATGAAGCCACCTTTGGCTCCGGCGCCCTCTAGCGGCGATTGGGGCTACGAGCACCGCCGACTTGACCGCGCTAAGGATGCTTAACTAGAGATCCTAGGGTGCTAGGATCTCTGGGAGCTATCCTGATGACATGTGGCAGCTCTCAGCGGCATTCGTGCTTCCAACCTCACAACGCACCGACACGTTACTAGCAAGCCCAACCTCTCAGAACACCGTTGACAGCTAACCTACGCATCAGTATAGTCTATGGAAGTATAGTGTACAGTCTCCATAGTGTAGTCAATTGGATTTGATGTTGACGTAGCTGTCGGTAATACAGTGTGATAATACAGTGTGATGGTACTATAGTACTTAGGTTTGAGCTTCATTGCTGGAATGCTAGATGGCGTTAAAGTAGTCAAATAGCCAGATGCAGAGGAATTATTGGCTAAACAATGTCTTTATTTTATTTAAAAAATAATTTTTTTTTTAAAAAAAAGTAGCCTAAAACCATTCAGGGACCACTAAGAATATGTGTACAAATTTTCATAATGATCGGTTAAGTAGTTTTTGCGTCAAAGTGTAACAAACATCAGAACTTTCGCATTTATAATATTAGTAGAGATATAATGTACAGAAGTGTATAGTAGGTTGCCTATATAAAATGTCATCGATAGACACAGGGTCGGGGACTGTGAATGTTTTTAAACGCGTTGTGAAGGTGAAAAATAACCTAAAACGTGATATATCATGTATTTAAAGCTTTGTTTAACTTGTTTTGCTTCTCTTTGTAGACACTTAACATTTGCTTGCGTTAGGCTTGGCTTTGGTGCGGCCATTGCTTCATCATAATTGATCCGATGTGTAAAAGTGAAGAGAATGAAGACGCTTCAAAGTTAATAATAGTAATAACACGAATACACAACACGAACAATGCATATTCACAATATTGAAACGAAATGTTTTGTTTTTTATGAAATAATCGAAAGGAAAAGAAGAAAAAACATAAAAGTTGTGTCAACTGTGGAATGCGGTTCTTTGCCTGCCACATTCCACATTCTTTCGCATTCGATGCGACACCACGCATGCGTAATAAATGTAAATCGTGTATTTTGGGATGAATAACCTTAAAGTAAAAAGATTTGGACATCAAATGACTGAATCACGAATCAAATTAGTTTAGAAATGCTCGAAAATAAATCGCGCATGAAAGTTTCATCACGATTTTATTGCTAATTATAAAATGACGAAAGTAAAATGTATAGAAATTAAATTTACTACTTCTTAAGAAGATTCTAAATGAAATAAAGTAGTAAATTGATAGAAAAAACAAAGTAAAAGTTCCACTGACACAATTATTTGGATTTTTATGATTGTACAAGCAAAAATATTGACAGAAATACGAAAAATTAGAGAATTACTAAGAAAATTGATTTTTAGTGATATTTTACAGGTTTCTGTAGTGTAAAACTGAATATTTTAATTATTTTATGTAAAAACAAGTAAAGTAAGAAGTTTTATGCATAGGCAACCCAAAATACACACAATAGTAAGTTTTTCAAGGTTATAATAACCTAAAATAAACAAAACTTTGAATTTTATGTAAACATTAAAAATCAACAGTTTTGTGCTTGTACAATCAAAAATCCATAAAATTAATGAAAAAAAACAAAGTAAAAGTTCCACTGACACAATTATTTGGATTTTTATGATTGTACAAGCAAAAATATTGACAGAAATAAGAAAATTCAGAGAATTACAAAGAAAATTGCTTTTTAGTGATATTTACAGGTTTCTGTAATTAAAAACTGAATATTTTAATTATTTTATGTAAAAACAATTAAAGTAAGAAGTTTTATGCATAGGCAACCCAAAATACAAACAAAATTAAGTGAAAATTTATTTTTATTTGTGTTTTAAAGGTTTTTATAGCCTAAAATAAACAAAACGTTAAATTTTTATGTAAAAACAATAAAATTCAATAGTGTTGTGCTTGTACAATCAAAAATACTGACAAAAATATCAAAAATCCATCAAATTAATGAAAAAAACCAAAGTAAAAGTCCTACTGACACAATTTTTCTGTTTTTTTCTGTTTTTTCTTCCATTAATTGACGATTATGAGTACTTAAACACAATTTATTAACAACTAGACAGTAATTAGCGTAACGGCCACCCATTGTGCGCGTTGACATTCTTTGCCATTAGATTTTACCACGCGTATTGTATTACTGGTTGCCTCCAGCTTTCATTCGCAGGTGAAAATCGCGTGCGGATAAATATAGCGTTTTCGTGTGCGGCCTGTCGGCAAGAAAGCAGCAGCAGGGCACATTTTGCTACGGGTACGACTTGTTTTCTATTGTGCCGCCTTTGCGGTAGGCGGGAAATGTAGGTTAGGTTTACGACGTCGTTGGCTGCGCTGCCGAAATGCATTGAATGCAGCCGTGTAATACGATCGGACCTATTTATGTGCACGCACTGATTGTTGGTAATAAGAATTGGTAGTGCACAGTGTCCTTATGCATGTTAATTTTTAGGTCAATCGGGAGATAATATATGCAACCACTCATACATCAATAATATGTATAAGGTTTTTTGCTTGTACAATGAAAAATATTGATGAAAATGAGAAAAATCAAATTTTGTTTTTGTTTACTTAAACATTGACAAAATGTGTTTTTATTAATATTTCAAGGGTTTTTTATGAATAAGATGAACAAAATTAGTAAATTTTATATAAAAACACGTTTTATGCTTAGGCAATCCAAAATATTAACAAAACTAAGAAAAAATTAAGAAATTTTCTATTTTTTTTACCTAAAAACACACAAAATATGTTTTTATTTTTATTTTAAAGGTTTTTCATGCCTCAAATTAACAAAAACAACAAATTTTATACAAAAACACGTAAAAAGTAAGGTTTTATGCGTATGCAACCCAAAATATTAACAAAAATGATGAAAAATCAAACAAATTTCGTATTTTTCACTTAAAACTCACAATCCCTACTAATATTATAAATGCGAAAGTCCTGATGTTTGTTACACTTTGACGCAAAAACTACTTAACCGATCATCATGAAAATTTGTACACATATTCTTAGTGGTCCCCGAATGGTTATAGGCTACTTTTTATTTAATAAAAAAAATATTATTTTTTAAATAAAATAAAGAAATTGTTTAGCCAATAATACCTCTGCATCTGGCTATTTGACTACTTTAACGCCATCTAGCATTCCAGCAATGAAGCTCAAATCTAAGTACTATAGTACCATCACACTGTATTATCACACTGTATTACCGACAGCTACGTCAACATCAAATCCAATTGACTACACTATGGAGACTGTACACTATACTTCCATAGACTATACTTTCAGCCATTTTAAACTTCCCGCCATTCTACTTCATTGTTACTTCTTCTGTGACTACAGACGCGTACGGAAGCAACATCATTATTTTAGATATTCGCGAGCAAAGCCAAGATGTAAATCAAGACAATTGCGCGTACTACAAATGACATATTAATATAGGCAACCAATCATACACTTCTGTATGATGTATGTAACTATATAGCAATATATAAATAAAACAAAATGTAATTCAACACGATACGCATACAGCTTGAAGTCAAACAAGTTGAAAAACGGTTAATGTTATAAAATAGCGGTGCGGCTGCCCGCCGGCGATGAAATGAATGAGATGCGGAGGATGCGGACGCGAACTGACCGAAGAAACCAACTCAACGCAACTTATACTCAAGTATAAGTGCGTCGAGTGTAAACTCAACTGAACTCAGCCAATACATAATAACTAATAACCTATATACGAAATATTTCATTACATTACAATCTAGGTTATGTGTGCCTAAGTGAGGTTAAGCACCTACTCACAACATTGTTCACATCCACACACAATATTTGCACGTTTTTTTTATTATTTACTCAACGTGTTTTCACATTTCTTTCTCATCGTGATCTTTATCGCATGATATTTTCACACCGTGCTTGTAATAATACCGCCATTGTGTTAATTAATAAGTGCTTCAACCGTTTGTCCTTGACAGATCACGAATGTCAGTTGGATTCTATTCTAATAGAACGCAGTGAGACACGGCAGAATGCGAATGATTGTACAAATGATTGCGAAGCCGGTGAGATTGCCGATGACTGCGCGTCTCGCAGCCGCTTTTTCTTCATCTTCGCCGTAGTATGACGCGTAGATACTGCTGTGTCGACTTCCGCTTTTCCTCGATGATGATCTCGAGTTGTTTGTTTCGCGACTGCTTGTTCTATGCATGTTTGAAATCAAAATTACTACAATTTGTGTAAAATTTCGTCCGAAACTGTTTCACACCAACAATTTGATTGATTGACAATTTGAAATTAAAAAAAAAACATGAGAAATTTTGTTTCGCACACCGGAAATATTAAAAGTATCAAAATATCAAACCAGAACGGATGTGTAAACATAAATTCAATTTGTTTTTATGTTTGACGTTGCTATTTGTTGAGACTTTGACGTAGAGCAGTGAAAAATATCAATTCCATGATGAATCGTGTTAGATTGGCAAAGGAAGCAGCGAGAATGCTGCGTCAAGAAGTTGATTCAGACGTGATGAGAGAATTTGCGCGCAATGGCGTGATAGGCAACTTGGTCGGCTTCTTGATGGCCATTGGCGTCATCCGTGTATTACCACTTGTCTGCGGATATTGAAATTTTACTACAAAACAAGACAAACACATTATTAAACAATCAATACATCAATCACATTCAATCAACACATGATAATCTATTAATAAACTAAATTAAATCAAAAATAATTGATTTTTTAATGTTAAAACCAACATAACCTAAATTTAAGGTGTGGTTTATTATATGTTGAGTAATATTTAAATTTATTACTACCTCCGATGAAGATCAGTGAGATTCTCAAGAATTTTGACCTTTTCCGAACGCTCCCTTTGCACTAGTTGCATTATTATTCGCAAATGTTACAATAAATCGTGATTTGTTGCATTCGAGGCGCACAAAAGCCGCTTAAACGAACAATGGATGAGATAATGATGAGTAATAAACATAAAAATGGTGCAATCTACGAAATGAAAATGAATTTGTATCGATTTAGCGCTAATCTTAACAAAAACCAGTGAAAAAAGCTTAAATATTCACTGGTACGTTGAGAAAATTTGTTTAACACTTAAATAATGAGTCAAAATAAATGTCAAGGTAAATATCTGCATGATGAGACCTCACCTGATGCGATTCTGTTGAATTTCGTAAACAAAAACGCTCAGATCGTGCGTGGTATTGCATTAAACATTAAAAACGTGTGAGATTATAATTATTTCTCATGAGAAACCATCAAAAATTTTAAATTTGGAGTTTTAGTCATTAAAATATGTATTTTTCATGTTTTTGCATGATTTTTGCAAAGTCTAGACACTTTTTCATAAATATTTAACGTTTCTTTTGTCAAATAATAACAAAACAAAGATTTCTACGATAAAAAACTATTTTTGTTAGTTTTTTAAATAAAAACACCATACAACACTCTGTATATTGATATAACCTCATTATAACCTCAAATTATTGATTTTTAGATGTTTTTGCTGCGAATTATCTTCAAGTTTCTCCTCATCTTTCTCCGAATCAAATTTTTACATCTTTTTAAATGATTTTTGATATTTTTGTTACTTTTTTGGGTCAAAAATCAACACAACACTCTGTATATTCATGCTATAACCTCAAATTATGAATTTTCAAATGTTTTTTTGGTAAAAACACCAAACAACACCCTGTATATTCATTTTATACCTTATTTAACCTCAAATTATTGATTTTCAGATGTTTTTCCTGCGGATTACCTTCAGTTTCCTCCTAATCATAACCTCATCATTCTCCGCATCGAATTTCTACCGTCCATGCACGGAAATCTCACGTGAATTACGCCTGCCATGTCTCTGCGCCATCGGCCCCGTCGAATCCGTATTAGACGGCAACTCAGCCATCAGCGTCGACTGTGACCGCGTGGTATTCCCCGGAGATTTCCCCAATCTCCCCTACGGTGCCCCAATTGTCACCTTCCGTCAAAGAAACGCTGGTTATCAAGCGCTGCCAACGCAAGCTTTCGCACAATCAGGTTTACCATTAAGATCTTTGGACTTTTCCGGGAATTCACTGCGCAGACTCACAGACAGACTCCTGAATGGCCTCCAGGATAAACTTCTGGAGTTGAGGTTATCTGATAACCTCCTCGGGGATACTTTGAACCCGATTTTCTCCAGCAGTGAATTTCATGGTTTGAAACACTTGCAATTGCTGGATTTAAGTGGGAATTCTATTAAGAGTATAGAGGAAGGTATCCTAGAGGGGTGTGAGAACCTCCAGGAGTTGTTCTTGGATAGAAATAGCTTGACAGCTGTCCCTGGAGCATCCCTGAATGGACCCAAAACGTTGCGGATACTTAGCATACGTGAAAATCGCATAAGTAAGTAAAAAATCAACTAAAAAATGGTTTTTATGGTGTTTTTGAAGGTACCATCAAATCCGGCGCGTTCCAAGCTCAAAAAAGTCTTGACATCATCGATTTAAGTCGTAACCTTGTCGCACACATTGAAGGTGGCGCTTTTGACCGCCTAGATCGCTTGAAATCACTTAAACTCGGCCATAATCGACTTACAAAATTCAATAGTGATGTGTTTGATGGTGCGGAGCAACTGCAACAGCTGGATTTAAGCGAAAACTTCATCCAGGAGTTCCCCACGGTCGCATTGAAAGCCTTTCATAACCTACGATACTTAAATCTGTCATCTAACCTCATACAGGTAACCTAAAAAACCAAAAAAACTTAAAATCATGTTTTTTAATGAATATAACCTTAGAATTTAGATAATAACGACCTTATCTCGTTGATATCCCTCTACCACTTGGATCTCAGCCGGAATAACATCGCAAACATCGTCCCGGGAACATTTCTAGGCCTAAAACAACTCAGAAGACTTGATATAAGTGTCAATTCACTACGAACGGTAATATTTTACAACTAACCTTAAAATTAAAGTAGAAACCTGTAATTTTTGTTGTGTTTTGTGATTTAGATTGAAGATGACGCTTTTGAAGGCCTAGATAACCTTGAATATCTAAACCTCAAGGATAATAACATCCTGCTCATCCCAGCATCAGCTCTGGGTCGCCTTCCGAGGTTAACTAACCTCCAATTGGATTACAATCGTGTCGCAGCGCTATCTGGTGACATTTTACGCTCGATCGCCAAGCAGGTGACTACTTTAGTGTTATCCAAGAATGTAGTTCGTGAATTGCCCGCTGCGACCTTCGAATACTTCCAACAACTGCAACATTTAGACTTGACACGTAACCTGCTGGCAACCCTCAATACAGACGCGTTCTCCGGCTTGGAAAACACCCTGTTAACTCTATCAGTCTCACAAAATCGTATCAACACACTCGCTGGAAGTCCTCTGTCAATGTCAAAGCTACAAAAATTAGATTTAAGCGATAATCATCTCAGCGAACTCGCAAGAAACGCGTTTTCTGCTTTACCATCACTGGTACACTTGAATTTATCGCGTAATTCACATCTAGGCAACATTCCACAGGTGCTAATGCATAAATTAGACAATTTACGCGTTGTAGATCTTTCCCACATCAATTTAAAGACGCTAACCAGTGATTTATTCGCGAAAAACTTGTTTTTGAGTCAAATTTACCTCAACGACAACGAATTGAGCGAAATACAAGATGGCGCGTTCTTTAACCTCAAAAATCTCACAATCGTGGATCTATCACGTAATAATATCAACAATATCCGCCAGGGGGCGTTCGTAAACGTGATGAACATCAAAGAATTGTATCTGAGTGGCAATGAATTGACATCTTTCAAGGGAGAATTCTTTAATACCGGCACATCGCTGGAGATTCTCGACATTTCACACAATCAACTCTCTTATTTATTCCCTTCATCGTTCAGGATCCACCCAAGGTTGAAAAAAATCATCGCATCGCATAATAAATTCAATTTTTTCCCTGCTGAGTTAATCGCTACACTACAATACTTAAATTATGTGGATTTAAGCAACAACGCATTGAAAACCATCGAAGAATTAGATTTTGCGCGGTTGCCGCGCCTGCGCACACTTTTGTTAGGTTATAATCACATCGAGAGCATAAACGAGATGTCATTTCATAATTCCACGCAGTTACAAGTGATTGACTTGAGTTACAACAACCTGGAACGCCTGGGTGAGCGCACATTCGAAGGTTTAGTACGTATCGAACTACTTAACCTCAAAGGTAACCAATTGACAGACCTACCAGAGACGATATTCGAACGTGCGCGTGTACAAATGTTAGAAAACATAATTCTCGCTGAGAATAGATTCGAGCATGCGCCGTTGAAGTCGTTGCAACGACAATACTTCTTTGTGAATTCCGTTGATCTGTCACACAATGAGATCGTGACAATTCCGACAGATGACAGCACAATGGTGAATATCAAACGTCTTGATTTATCTTTTAATCCTCTGAGTGCGGAAACAATCGAGAGTATCTTCGGCGAGCCTAAAACAGTCAGGGAATTAAATTTAGCCGCTACGGGTATACAGAGTGTTGCGCAACTGGAAACACCGTTCCTACACGCGTTGAATTTGAGTTACAACAATATTTCATCATTAAATCATAAAATTTTTGAACGTACCACATTGTTAGAGTCTCTGGATGTTTCCAACAATCAATTAAGTGATTTGAGTAAGTTTTCAAGCATCTGGAACGTGTTGAAGAGCCTCCAAGCGTTGAATATCTCCGGAAATCCGATTATAACCGTCGGATCTAATGATTTCGACGGTTTGAAATCATTAAGATATTTCTCGATGAATGATTTAGTTGATTGCACGCGTATTGAGAAGACCGCGTTCAAATCCACGCCGAATTTGTCGGTTTTACAAGCGTATAACTTCCCAAAGTTAGGTTATCTCGACGTACCTGGGTTGTTGCAACATCTACCGTCATTGGAACGTGTGAATATTGAGGTTAAGGACGCTGCGGTTGGTAGTGATCAATTACAAAGCATTTTACACCCGCGATTACGTGAATTAGGTCTGCATGGTTCTAGGTTACGTAGCGTGAGTTCTGGAACATTGTCAGGCCTGAAAGGACATTCGGTTATGATTAGGTTAATGAATACGTCATTGACAGCCTTACCTCCAGCGTTATTCTTCCCTGTGCCGAGATCCAGCCATGTTAACCTTGACGTCACTGGAAGTCAACTGTCAACGTTGAATCCACAACTGTTAGTGACACTGGATGATCGACGCGGTGACTTGAAAGTTTTGGGGTTAGAAACCAATCCTGTCATTTGCGACTGTGGCGCTCGTGCGCTGCGACGTTGGTTGCCTACACACATGACGACGATACGTTGTTCCGCGCCTGAGCATCTCGTTGATAAATTACTCGTGGAAATTGGCGATGATGAATTAACTTGTGATCCACGAAAGATAACAACGACTACAACAACGACGAATACACCGGTGAAGACCACCCGATTGATTCCGAAGACGACCGAACCTGAAATTATCTGGTCTATCGCAGCGACGGAGAAAACGAAGACTAAAACACCGAAACCAGCGACACCTGTTGGTCAATCAACAATAAATAATGATGATACGTTGATTATTGGTATTGTTGGTGGTGTGGTGGCGTTTATCACGATTTTAATCATTGTTATTTGTATAATTCGTTTGAGAATGACTGGGAATCAGTATAGAGGTGGGCCGTTGGCAAATGGCGGACCTGTTGGACCAATGGGACCAGTGTTAGGTCCAGGCAGCAGTTGCGCCACCTGCAGTGTTAAAGGTGCACCACCAATGTACGCTGTCCCACCACCGTATGGACCTGGCTATGCTGCTACATTGCCGCATAAGATGAACATGTCAGGCCCGCCTACGTCACGCACAGCGTACTCTACCATTGGTCGAGTGCCGTATTCACAGCCCTACTTTATCGCAGCCTATCCGTCGGACGAGAAAATTTATCGGTAATATTTAAGCATCAGGGACATTTATGGGGGAATTATTTTATACAATACGGAAAACAATAGTACAAATAATTTTATATTATCATATTTGATGTTAACTTGTGTACGAATTGTGTTTCTGTAACATTTTGTACATACAGGCATGTTTTATTAGTTTCCTTCTAGAATTAACGATATTTCGTAGTAATTATTTAATTCTTTAGATTTCAGAGTGTTTTTACGCAGATTGATGTTTTAAATGTACATAAAATTTATGTTGATTGGATTTAATATATAAAAATATAGATTTTTTAGTTTTTTTGCTTGTGTTTTGGTCGGACACTTGTAGTGATTGATGTATATATAGGCAACCAAATATACACCAAATCGACCATGTTTAGTCAGCTGTACGCGATTGTTTTCGCACCTTCCACCACAATCAACTTGTCAGTCAGCGTTCAATCCGCATTCTCGTTGTTGATCTCGTTTGTTGTGCGATCGCCTCGTTTGTGTAACGAATCGAGTTGATTGTCCGCGACAATGCTACAGTCAACGCGGACGTTTGCGCGTTTTTAGTGTGCGCTTGTCCGCCGCCGCGGCGACATCACGCTACTAATCCATAAATATTATTAAATCGGGCCTCCAAATACAAGCAAAATCTTCATCTGCAACTGAAAAATTCACCGTGTGTGCATCCCACGACGATGCTATGATGTAAGCACTTTAAAACCCATCAATCATCACCAAATCAATCAAAATCTCTGCGTTTTTTAGTCACACTCATCGAATATAACCACCAACAGCTGTAAAAATGACCAACCAACTCAATTTCAACGAGACCATCGAATGGGGCGACCACATGAACAACTCGTGGTCGATTAAAGACGCTGATAATCTCGCCTCGCGCGATGTCGTCCAAGCTATGTACGAAAGTCTGCTCACAAACAAAGAAATCAAACAAATTCCAGACTCTGTCATAACCTACGCTGATATTCAACTCTTGCCTGATTTTCTCTACGAACTGCCACATCAGAGTGAACTGGAGCAGTATGTTGTGTGTCTGCTCACTAGTCAACTGGAGCTTGCCAAGAACGTCTCGTCGTCAACTCCGTTCGCCACCATTTTGAAACAGCGCTTGTTGATTCTCAAACGCATCTATCACGCGCTGGTTGCCCGCTTTCACGAGTCTGAAAAACCACAAGTAAGCACATCAAACACAAATATAAGTACTACAGGTGTATCTGGACAGTTGGAGCCTTTATGCGGATCACAAGCACTGCTTGAAATCGGTGTACAGTCAGGTTTGAGTTTACTCTTTGCGTTATTACGTCAAAACTGGCAGGATTCTTCCATGTTGGGTATGCAACCGCTATGCAACCCTGTGTTACAAACAGCCAATGAGATTATCGACTTGTTTCCGCCATTATCTCTATCGAACGACACGCAAATCACTCCGTTGGGTATCAAATGCCTGCATAAAGTGTCTGCGTTCTTGAAAGAAGTTGTTTTGAAGAATAACACGGTCGATACAGCTGGTAGGATACTAGCTTCTGAATTATTACTTAGTTTATCACTGCAAAGAGGCTCGTTGAGGTATTTACTCGAATGGATAGAGATGGCGTTCGACGCAATGACAGTTGACACCGAAACTGAAATCACCAGTGCGAAATTTAACCTCAATTTGAGTTTAAAACTGAATCAGACGCAGCCTTTAGAGGTTAATGATTGTGATGAAGAAATCTCACTCTATGACGGTGCGTATAGACTCATGGAGCGTCTGGTTGAAATGGCGATTGACTACGGTGACAGTTACAACGCTGCAACCAACTCTACACACACATCACCAGTGAATACAACCGGCGAAACAAATGAATCCAGTGATGTATTCGTCTGGGGATCAAATTCATCACATCAACTCGCCGAGGGTAACCAAGAGAAGATTATGATCCCGATCAAGAGTAAGGTATTCCAACAGGTGCAGCAAGTGGAAGCCGGTCAGTATTGCACGTTTATTATCCATTTCGACGGGAAAGTAAGCGCATGCGGGAAAGGGTCCTACGGTCGTTTGGGGCTCGGTGATTCCGCGAATCAGAACCTCCCAAAGCGGGTATTGATCGATACGAATGTAAGAATGGTCTCCAGTTCAAAGGGTAGTGATGGTCATACTTTAGCTCTGACTGATGAGGGTAGTGTGTATTCATGGGGAGATGGTGATTATGGTAAACTGGGTCATGGCACCTGCACAACCCATAAACAACCCAAATTGGTCATGGCTCCATTCACCGATAAGGTTATTAAATGTATACAAGCTGGTTATCGGCATAGCGCGGCTGTTTCCGAGGATGGGTTGTTGTATACCTGGGGAGAGGGTGACCATGGTCGATTGGGACATGGTGATACCACTGGTAGGCAGATCCCGACCTTAGTTAGGGATTTAACTAATGTGGGGAGTGTTGCTTGTGGTTCCGCGCATACCCTAGCGGTTGCTAAGGATGGTAAAACGGTTTGGTCCTTTGGCAGTGCGGATTCCGGCCGTTTGGGGCATGGGATCATCGCGAAAGTGTATAGACCCAAGGTTATCGAAGGTCTCCAAGGGTTGAATGTACGGAAAGTATGCGCAGGCGCTCTGTTTTCAATGGCGTTGACAAAATCCGGTCAGGTTTATACCTGGGGAAGTGGGGCTTCACTTGGTGTGGGATCAACTGATACCATGCATCTATCTCCTACTTTGGTGAATGAACTAGGGGCGTATAGAATTGTGGATATAGCTGCGGGTGATGGGCATTGTTTGGCCCTAACGGATGAGTATGAAGTGTTTGCGTGGGGGACAAACGCGATGGGTCAATGTGGGCAGGGTCATACCAATGGTCCAATTACACGCCCGCATAAGGTTAGTGCGTTGAGTGGGTTCCATATTCGGCAGATAAGTGCAGGGACATCTCATTCCTTGGCCTGGACCAGTATCCCGCTGGAGAATCAGCAAATTACCAGGCATAAACCCTTTTGCTTGGATCTACATGAGAAGACTTTTGAACTGCTGAAGATTTTCTTGGATAAATACGCGAAGGATTTCTACGCCCCCCAGGTCCCTAAACCCTTTAAAACCTCCCAGGAGCATCATAAGTTTGTTCTGCTGTGTTTGAAACTCCTGCAGACCCATTTGACACTTTGTAAAAGTGGGGGACTAGGGAAGAATATCCTGGGACCCAATGCGAAACCATTGCGGGGTATTTTGTTTGGGTTGATTGATACCAGTACCCCTGCGGATATTGATGCAAAGGTTAGGGATGTTATCTGTGTGGGGGCAGCGTTACTCCTGCCGGATTTAAAGGAGCGCATTGAATTGCTCAATGAGCAACTGCCAATTGGTGAGGATCTTTCCCAGGGGAAGGAGAAACTCCTCCGGATTATTCTTCATAGTCTAGAGGAACCCGGGCAGGTTGCAGCCCTTTTGGGTTTTAATAGTGTACCAGAAAAACTGGACCTTAATCATTTACACCTCACCGAGGAACTGATGAAGACCCTTTTGGTCACGTTCAGTTGTCACACTGAAGAGATCCTTGATAGTGCAGCGGAATATGTAGAAACCAACAAAACCCATCAGGAGTTGGATAAATGGAAGACCCCTGCGAACCCACATACACCTCTATTGAGGAAACTCTTGTCCTCACTCCAGAATCATCTCCTAGCTGATTTCGTTAGTCAGAACATCCAGAAACACCCTTTGGATGTCAATATCCTTCGTAATCATCTTAACCATCTATTCCCTCTTGCTACCAAGATAATCACCAAAGCTAAGGAAGTGGTTGAAGGTCACATGATCGCCCTGGACCTACTCTTCAATGCTCTGCTAGAATCAATCGCAGGATCCATGTTATTAAAAGTCCTCAACTCCTTACTATTGATGAATAGCTCCTTCATGAAAGACATGCTCCCAATGTTACTGGTACTCATGGAAGCCCTGGACCAACTCAACAGACTCCTCCCCATCGATGTCCTCAATGACATAGACTTCATGTCTTCAGGATCCGCAACTCCTACTTTAACCCAACTCACTGATCAAGCCTGGATATGGTTAACTGACCTGGAAAAGACCTGCTCCCTCTTGATAGGACAATGCCTAGGTGGGATACTCATCGGGGAACCTTTGGTCAAGTCCGAAGTATACGCTGCTAAATGGATGTCCAATGTGGTCTTCTCCAATGGCATCTCCGAGGATAAACGGGTGTATGTCCATCGGATCAAACAAATCTCCTACTTTGTGATGGCCAACTGCCATGAGCAGATCTTCAGCATCATCGGGAACTTTTCCAATGATCAACACAACAACCTCAAAGTTGCTTTGAACCTGCCTGATCAATATGATGAAGCATGTGCTTGTGATGTAGAAAAACCAGCGGATCTAGACACTGGGAACTTTTACACCGCCATGATTGAAGCCGCAGGGATAGAAATTGATCCTTTTTATATCGAAGATGATAAGGATACATTGATATTAGACACCATAGTCAGGTGTTTCCTCTTTACATGTCTCAAACACTTTGGGTTGTTGGACAGGAGTAAGGATAACGAATACATGCAGGAGATTTATAAGTCCGCTTTGACCTTGAGACAACTCCTGATGAACATCGCTTGTAACTCCAAATGTAACGAAACAGACTCCTCCTCGGAGACCAAAGAAGGCAAATCCGATACGGATGAAGACGATGACGAGAAGGATTTCTACGAGGGGGTCAACTACACAGATTACAAATTCTACACGTATTGCAAACACCTACTAAGCAGGACATTATATGTTTTACTATGTCTGGAACCTTTAAACTTTAGTAATGATCAATTAAAGTCTACAACAGAAGATTACAAACAGGGACATGCGCATTACATCAACACCTATGAAGTTCCTGTGAAGAATGAAACCATGAGGAGGTTATGCGCATCCCTATTGAGTTTTGTCTGTGATGAACCAGCAGATAAACAACCCCTGAGTAACAACTCCATGAATGGCTGGTCTACGGAGTTACCAGTGATCAATGACGCTTTGCATATTCAAAAAGACCGCGCAATTGATCGCCTCAACGCCCTGGAGTTGATCTATGACCTCATGTTGAAGAGTAGGAATGACCCGAGTATAACCGTACATAATTGTATACAACAACAGTTGTTAGCAGGGTGTTTTGGTATGTTTAGCACCAAATCCGAAGAATCCTGCACTCAGTTACATCATTATCTTGAAGGGATAAGTGCGTCACCCGTGAGGATACAGGAGAATATCCGTAAGGTTGTACACAACATTTATAAATTATTAGTGGAGTCACTCCAGGCGAATTCAAGCGATTGTAGTAAGAAACAACTTCAATTATTGACGATTTTTTCATTGAGTACAAGATATCATGCGAATGATTTAACCCTGGTGATTGAGAGTGGTCTCCTGCCGATATTGATGGATATGTATAATTATCTCATGGTGCCGAAGCATATTATTAGTAAAACGCAGATGTTGAATGTTGCTGCGTTGAGATTAACGCATATCCTGGCGATGTCTTGTTGTATACACGCCAGAGACATCTCTGCGGCGAGTGTGGAAAGTGTGATTGACAAGTTATTCCTGCAGTTCTCGAATATTGTCACCAATAAACCCAGTCTGGATCATGATCAGAAGAATCAGAGTACTTTTATACGTTGTAAGAATAACTACGATCGATTACTAGGTGATTTTTTGGTGTTTTTACGCATGATTGCCAGTGAGACTTTGATACAGAAGTATCTAGCGAAGAAACATTGGATTGATGTGTTGTTTCACGTGTTGCATAGCCAAAGATCTGATTTGGAACTGAGGTTAAGTTTGTACGGACTCAGACCCAAGTTGATTGTGCTGCAGATATTGCAAATCATCCTGCCGGGGTTGAAGAGTAAACATTTAGACACACCGCAGAGGTCGAGTATTGTTGATAAGTTATTCACGCAGTTGTCGTTTGAGGTTTGGGGGATTATCAACGCGCTGGAACGCGATGATGTTAAAGAAGAGCAGGGGATTATTGAAGATACGTATGTATGGTTGCCTATGTTACATGTACACATCATAACCTTTTTATATATATTTTCAGGAAAGATTCACAAGAAGAAGATAATATCGTCATTGAAGACTTTGGTTTCGATCAGGAAAAATGCACGAATTGTTTTATTGAATACAATTTAACTCTGGTGCATGACGCTGGTGGAAGAGGTTATGGTTTAGGTTTGAGTGCGATGAAAAGCGGATGCTACCAATGGAAGATTCTAATCGTCAAGGAGAATAAGGGTAATGAAGGGACCTGTATCGGTGTGGCACGCTATCCGATACAGGATTGCAGTCATCGCAACACTAGGGACATGTGGTTGTACCGAGCGTATTCCGGAAGTCTCTACCACAATGGCGAATGTGATTTATGTCTAGAAAGTTACACACAAGGTGATTATATCACTGTGGTGCTGGATATGGAAGCCAGGACGCTGAGTTTTGGTAAAAATGGCGATGAACCTCGTGTGGCGTTCGAGAATATTGACGCGACTGAATTATACCCTTGTGTGATGTTCTACAGTACGAATCCTGGGGAAAAAGTTAAAATAACTGATATGCAGGTAAATTATTCACACAAAAAAAAGATTTATAAAAGTTAATATTAAATTATGTTTAGGTTATCGGTCACCAGAGGGCGTATCAAACCGGCGAGCCGGAATTAGCACCTATGCCTTCCGTTCTATCTGAATCCATCATAACCTTAATTCGTAAACTCCACGTGTCTAATACCTGGGTGGATGATATAAATTCCGCGATAATTCATCGTTTAAAAGAGATTAAAACTCTGTTTCCAATGAAAAACGCCGCGGCAATTGACATAACCTCAAATGTAGACGAACCTAACCAAAATATCGATTTAGAAAAACTCTGCTCGCATGTATGGTCCGCAATGGCGGTGATAGGCGGGTTTGATCGTGGTCTGCGCATGGGCGGCTTCTGCAAGCTGAAATCATCCGGAAAACGTGGTATTGTCCTTGGAATAGTCAAACCTGGTATTATACCCGTCAAAGTCCAATGGGAACCGGACGGGGAGATCACCGACGTGAGTTCCCCGAGTCAAATTGATTTCATTGAACCGCCACCGTTTAATACCTATCGATTAGTTGGTTTAACCCCGGAGATTTTGACACATTTATCGCGTTTGAGTGGGATTACAGATGAAATCACCATGCCGATTGTTAATCTGACAAAGAAGAAGAAGAATTGCTGGTTCCGGAGAATTTTGTTGATAAACGCAGTCAACCAGCGTGGAAATCCAGCTCGGATTCAAAACTCATCGGTTTGGGTCATGATGGTTCCAAAGGTTTGGCACGCACGATGGAATCCCTTACAGACGAGATGGTTTCTTCAATTTTGGATGAAGTGAAACGTATTTCTGAAAAATATCAACAACCCAATCGGATACACGTTTGGATGACATCGAAGCGAAGAAATGCGCGGAGTTAAAACGCAGTGAAGCGCGTTTACTACAAAATCGTTTGTTAAAAATCGAAGCGAACGTTATGCAACTCTCCTTCCTGCAATTCGCAGCGCTCAAGTGCCTACATTCGGTACTAACATCAAGTAAATACTCTGAATTGTTTCTGGTTTCGAATAATTTTAATCTAAAAGTGGCGAATGAAGAAATGCGCGATGTGGTTAAGAATATCATGCGGAATATCGTAGAAAAGAGTATCGAACAGAGTAAGCTACGGAATGTTGTGAGTATGGACGAGATGGAGCGCGCCGCGAGTGTTTTACACGCGAACTACATAAAATGTAAGATCAACGGCATGTATAGTGACTTTAACGACGCACCCGAACGCAAACCCGCGGTGAAAACACGGAAAAAGTCGGTGTGTTCGCTGCACAGCGCGAATTTAACCTGTAGTGGTGGGGGTAACACCTCCGGTGGTAATAATAACACTAGTGGTGGGGGTAATGGGGCAGCTATGGCGGGACAGATGTTTACATTCCGCCCGCCGACTTCTCTAGCGGTGAATTCGTCTTCTCCATGGAATATTCTTGACCCATATTCTGCATCTCAAGGTTAGTCAACTTTTAAATTTCTTTTTTTTATGTTTAGAGGTTATATTTAGGTCCTATGTATAATTTAGTTCAATCATCGTCCACTCCGCGCGCGCGTCGTTCGATCCTCTTCAGTAATTCCGAAATAGAAGAAGATTTATGGTCCATACGTCGCAGATCCAACTCCCCACCACCTCCACCAATAGCCGCGCCTTTGTTAGAAATGGGTTTCTCCCTGCGGCATATTCTAAAAGCCATCGCAGAAACGAAAAGCTCCGGGGAGGTAAGTGCGCATACTATAAACATGCTTGCCACGTGGATGATTGAACACCCTTCGTTGGATACCTGCGTTGAGGAAGACCCAAGAGTTGGGGAATGTCTTTCCACGCGTAGAAATAGCGCAGGTGGGTCTGGATCCTGTTCAGGGTCAAATTTAGGTACGGCTAGTGGTGTTGGTCTACACCAACCTTCAAGTTCTTCATCTTCTGCACGTGCAGGTGCTTTGGATGATCAAGCACAACCACAATTATTGATGCGGAATATTTTCGCCACGCCCAAGTTGCTACAACTGAGGAATTTAGCGATGATGAATAGACGTATACAGAACACTTCGGATGATTCAGATGTAGCGGGATCTGTTTCCGGGGCAGGGTCTTACCCTAGTAGAGTATGTGGGTTGGGTATGCGCAGGAGGGGATGTCCGGATATACGCGGATACTTTGCTGAAAGATCATCAGAACGAAGCAGGGATAGAGATCGTGAACGTATGCATGTGAGGGGAGAAGCACATCCCCTAATCGCCAATGTTTTACCCTCCAGTGATAATCTGGAAGCCCTGGCGAGTGATCGAGATGTCCCCTCTTGTTCCACAGATGACCCTGGGTCTTCTGCGTGTCCCTGTCATGATTACGAGGTGAAACTGCGTAATTTCCTCACGAATTCATGCGGGACCAAACCAAAGTGTCCATGTGCACGTGCCCTAGACACCTGCGAGTGTACCACGTGTCAGAATCAGACCCAATCTGAGCCTAACAATCGCATTAGTTTACTTAACCTCATCGCGCCTGATTTGGTCTTTGATGAGAATAATAAAATCGAACAGGATGCTTCTAACCTCAAATTAGGTTCGGTTTCTGATTTGCTGGAGTTGGATGATGTGGAGAAGATCAAGGCACACTTTGGGTTGAGTGATACGGTGTTTAATCCAAGCCCATTGAGGGTTGGGACACTTATGGACTTTGATCCTCTGGGTACGGCTGCAGTTGCGACGATAAACTACGATTCACATCGCCAGAATGAGTACGAGATGAAGAATCTGGGCACGCAGGCTTCGTTCATCAACTACCCGCATGACCGCATCACTGCCTACAAATTCATGACCAGATCCATACACATCCTGCTATGCAGGAGTATAATTTTGAATGTTTTATCTTTACTTTCATCGACGAATTCGGTTAATCTGGTGAAGAGTCTGGAGGTTATTGGGTTGTATGATATCCGGAGGGTTGTCCGCGTGATGACCCTCACTGCGATGAACCGTGTGGAGATTACTAACTCCCTGTTAAGGCAACCGGATGCTCCTTTACCTTCGTTGAAAAAGGTTTCAAGTTGTCTGTGCCTATGTCCGCCGCGGAAAGCACTTGTTTGGATAATTTGAGTATTGCCATCGCTGCGCTTGCCCAGAATGATCTGGATTCTTCCAAGTTGGTGGTTAATATGTGCACCAGGGATTTGATCCTCACTGCATACACGCCCAACACCTCGAAATGTGCGTTTGCTGTAACCCAGGCACTGGTCTCTATTTTGTCTACACATGGAGGTTGTTCTCTTCTGGACCTCCCCAAAGAAGAAACAGACACCTCTGATGGTGCGACTACTCCCAGTCATGTCCTAAACTCGAATGCGTTGAGTCTGGTCAATGCCCTAGCTGCCTTCCTGATGTCCCAAAGGGTTTCGCATGAGAACCGACAATGGGCCGCTCAGCAACTCTTCAAATGTGTCTCAACCAGGATTAAAATCTTCTCGGGACCTACTTCAGAACAGGTAAACTACGCGGATTTCTCCAATTATCTCCCGCAGAGGAATATTATCACCATGGAGGGTCATGATAATCGCGTGAGTTGTGTGAGTTTCAACCATCACAATGGTCTCCTTGCTTCCGCCGGTTATGATAGTACGGTGAGGATATGGGAGTTTGATAATGAACACCACCCGTTTTTGAATTACACCATGGTCTACCCATTGGAACACACGTTGGTGTTTCATGAGTCTATTGATGTGTATGGTTGTGAGTTGAGGGATAAATTGATCGCGGATGTGAAGTGGTCCCCGAGGGGTAACTACATTGCGGCTGCCATGGGTAGTGTGATTAACATCTGGCCCATACCCATGGTGAGTCATGAACAGGAAGGGTATAGGGATTGGTATATTGTGGACCAGCATGAGTTGGTCACTTGTATTGCTTTCCCCGGGTGAAGAATGACAGCTCAGCGGAGTATTTGTTGGTGGGGCGTGTTGATGGTACCGTTTCCCTGACGTCTATATTCCGAGATACAAAGAAATCAGATGTTTTGGTTAATTATTCAATGGAGAGTGATACCATGGTGAGGTTTATCGAGTGGTACCACGAGCAGGAAGCGTTTGTGATTGGCTTCCTTGATGGTACCCTAAAACTGGGGTATTTGCATGTTAACACCCGGATTGTTACGGTGAAAGCCCATGAGGCTGAGTTGACTGGGTTGCGGTATTGTTCTGAAGGTGTACTCATTGCAACCGCATCCACTGATTCAACGGTGAAGATCTGGAAGGAGGAGAATCAGAATAGTCTGCAGTTATTACACACCCTGAAACATGACCATGTGGTATCATGTCTGGAATGGTCTCCTATAGTTGGTAACCTCACCACACCTTACCTCCTAGCAACCGGGACTGTTTATGGTACCATTAATGTTTGGTTACTACCGGATGCGAAGAATATTCAGGTATCCCCTGTGTTGGTGTTTGCTAAACAAGGTCACAGCTATGAACCGGTAACCACTTTGACCATTGATCCCATGGGTTGTCTCTTGGCCAGTGGCAGTCTGAAGGTGGTCAATTTATGGTCGCTAACTGATGGGGTCCTAGCGCATACCATCACTGGACCCGGCGGTGTTACAACTAATGGTCTCACGTGGAATAGACACAATAAACTCTGCATCGCTTTCAATAGATCCAAAGATGTCACCCTTTTAGAATATAGTCTACAGGACTACCAGGATTATCGACCTGTATATGTCGCGAGGAGTGCCCTGCTTAAAAATGGCATCCGGGGATTGTCCACAGCGCCATTCCTGAAGACCTTGATCAATCAACTGCCGAAAATGTTGATGGAGCAGTACTACAATGAGAAGCTCCACGTGCAGACTGGTCTCCAGTTGATGCATTCGAATTACCTGAAGAGTTTAACCTCCCTGGCTCTGCTGCTGAACCTAAACGATGTGGTTTACACCAAGTTGAAACCCATGAATATGCGGAATGATGTGGTGCCCGAAGCCCAATGGTTGGACACCTTTGCCACCACTGCTAGGATATCAGAATCATTGGTCAAGAGAACCGAGTTACCCTTAGGGTTGTTGAAGGATGTGGATGATGAAGAGAAACTAGCAGCTGCCCAGAATACCTTCTGGAGTGTGAAGCAAGACGAGCAGATTATGGATTGGGTCAAGCAACGTCCGCAGGACTGGCAGATTGGTGGTAAATGTGTTGCATACATGTGGGGGTCAAATAGATATGGGCAATTGGCAGCAGCGACTGCAAAAGTGCTACACCCATGGAGGTTGACTCATTTGCTTCCGCGAAGAAGATTGTCTGCGGGCATAACTGCACGTTTGTCATTCAAGCCAATGGGACTGTATTGGCATGTGGTGAGGGGAGTTATGGGAGACTTGGGCAAGGAAACAGTGATGACCTGCATAACCTCACGGTGATCTCCACTCTGCAAGGGTTTGTCATCACAGATCTTGCTACTTCTGTGGGTTCGGATGGGCATAGTCTAGCACTGGCGGAGTCTGGTGAGGTGTTCTCCTGGGGAGATGGGGATTATGGTAAACTGGGTCATGGGAACAGTGACCGTCAAAGGAGACCTCGACAAATTGAAGCGTTGCAGAATGAAGAGGTTATACAGGTTTCATGTGGGTTTAAACACTCTGCAGTTGTGACAGCTGATGGTAAACTCTTCACATTTGGTAATGGTGATTATGGACGTCTTGGACTAGGGAGTACCACCAATAAAAAACTCCCCGAACGTGTGACCCTTTTGGAAAACTATAAAATTGGGCAGGTTTCCTGTGGTCATAATCACACCGCGTGTGTTTCCACTGATGGTAGACGAGTCTGGACCTTTGGGGAAGGTGATTATGGTAAACTGGGTATAGGTCACATCGCTACCAAGTCCACACCTCAACTGGTAGAGTCCCTGTATAATAAATGTGTGAAAAAAGTGGGCTGTGGGACCAACCTGACCATATTCCTAACTGACCTGGGGAAGATCTACGTCGCTGGGACGGATAGGTCCCACTGGCAGGATGCCACCAGCAAACGAGGAGATTTCCGCCCGCAGGAGTTGCTCTGTTTCGCTGGGCTGACCTTCAAAGACTTTGCAATTGGGACTGAACATGTCCTTTTCCTCTCCACCTGTGATAAGGTCTTCTCATGGGGGGTTAACAGTGATGAACAACTGGGGATCTTACACTCGGTCCTCTGGCAGCCGGAAATCGTCACCCAATTGACCAATAAGGGTGTTAAGCAGATTTCTACAGGTAGGACACATTCAGCTGCCTGGACAGCTGAACCCATGGCGGGTAGACAACCCGGGATTACGAATTCATTGAGTTTTGGTCTTCCGGAAGACATACCCACTCAATATGAACACCTACAAGGTTTGGCCATTGAAGCCATCCAAGCCAGGTTGAGATTCCTGCATAGTTTCTCGGATAAGTTGTACAACTGCTGGACCCTGATGCCCTTGAGCACCCAACAGAGTGAACTTAACATGCCACCACTAGAGGGACTGGTCTCACCTGTTCTAAGACCTCTACTAGCACCTAGGGTTTACACCCTGCCATTTGTAAGGTGTATTGGTAAGACCATGGTCCAAGGGAAGAATTATGGACCACAAATCATCGTGAGGAGAATAGCGCATAAAGGTCACAAGCTAAGACCTATTTTTATCCAAGTAGCGAAACAGGTCATCGAGATCCGCGCGACTGATCTACGCCTACCTTCAAGGGCATGGAAGGTCAAACTTGTAGGTGAGGGTGCAGATGATGCAGGAGGTGTCTTTGATGATACCATCACAGAAATGTGTCAGGAGATTACTTCAGGTGTGGTCCCACTTCTGGTACCCACCCCGAATGCGGTGCATGATGAGGGTTACAACCGCGATAAATATTTATTCAACCCGGATCTAATCGGGGAACAGGACTTGTCATGGTTTAAATTTCTGGGTGTTTTATTTGGTGTGGCGATCAGGACCAGGAAACCCCTGGCGTTACCACTTGCACCCTTGATTTGGAAGCTGATTGTTGGTGATCCAGTGACAATAAGTGATTTACACGAAACAGATTCAATGTACGTGCAGAGTTTGAGGAGTATCAAGGATATTCATTTGTCCGGCGTGACTGAGAAGGATTTCCACGATGTGATCCCGCTGGATTGCTTCGAGGGTAGTAGTTGTAATGGTAAGGTGGTACCTATTGTCCCGGGTGGTAGGAGTATTCCATTGACGTTTGCTACGCGGCAGCAATATGTCGATGCGGCGATCAAGTTCCGTTTGGAGGAGTTTGAGCTGCAAATTGCGGCGTTGCGCGAGGGTATGGCGGGGATTATTCCGGTACCATTGCTGTCGTTGATCACGGCTGATCATATGGAGCAGTTGGTTTGTGGCATGGCGCATATATCGATTTCACAGCTGAAGAAAGTTGTGAGGTGGGTTTATTTACTTTTTTATTGATTTAACCTTAAATAATGTGTGTATTTTGGGTAAGGTATCGTGAATTGGATGAGAATCATCAAATGGTTAAGTGGTTATGGGCTATCCTCGAGGGTTTCACCAATACAGAGCGTGTGTTGTTCATGCGGTTTGTTTCGGGCCGATCTAGACTTCCTGCCAACATGGCTGATCTGTCACAGAGGTTTCAGGTATGGTGTATGATGTGTTGCCTATGTTACGCATATTTATATACATATTTAAACATGTTATAGTAGGTATTAATATTTTAAATTTTGTGTTTTTGTAGGTTATGAAAGTTGATCGTGCTGCAAATGGTCTCCCAACAGCACAAACTTGCTTCTTCCAACTACGCCTACCGCCCTACACGAGTATGGAGATAATGGCGGAACGTTTACGTTATTCAATCAACAATTGTCGCTCGATCGACATGGATAACTATATGCTTGCGCGGAACACGGACGTGGGGCCGGGTTCCGAGGACGAGTATTAATCAAGCAACTGTGATTATAATTCTATTTATTTTAAAAAGGAGTGCCCAGTACAGAGACGGTTGCAGACATGTTGATTTTATTCTCATGCAGAGTTTTTATTTGATTTGATTTAATTTGATCGCGCGTGAAATTTATTTATAGAAGTTGTTTTGTTATTTCTCTGGGCTTATAAAGAGTTTGATTGGATGTGATTAGTCAATACTTAAACTGCGGAAGGATCCTTGCATCCCGAAGAGATTCCCACCGCCACCGCCAGCATTACAGTTTTCCGATGGACGACGATTCTCATCCAAGCGCCATCTGGTGTCATCCAGGTAGAAACTGCGATGACGTTGTACTTTCAATCGCCATTCTTCTTTGATTGATTCCATGGTCACGTTCAATGTGCCGCCGTATTCTTTCGGAATCAATTCCGGTGAGATATAATCGAAGAGTGTGGAAGAGTTTGGTGCATGAAATATCAACTAAAACATATATTTTTAATTTTATTTAGTGTTGTTTGTAGTTTTTCAACTTACAAGTTTGGCAACCTCGCTTTTAAGAAACGGCCGCACGATTGCCATGCATTTATCCAGCAATGGCGTCGTGTTTAGTACGTGAATCTGCCGCAAACGCACCGGGTGCGCCTCCTGCGTATACACCATGTATTTCTTAACCAATGGTAGCGTTACCTTTGTGATATGACGAAGTGTGGTGTTATTCATGTCGAAAATAGGCACTTCCCCATCGGACATTTCACGATCAAACGACATGCGGTAATCAGCGACCATGAAAAACGCTTTTAGGACGTCTGCATAAGCAAAACGATCCGGGTCCGAGTCAGCGAGACGATAAATGAAGAGTTTATGCTTTTTTTCGGTTAATTTCGGTAACGGACAAAAATCCCTACAACATAACCTCAAATTATTACTTCTTATCATATTATTTTAGTTATATTTACAACTTACACTAAGTTAAACACGTTTTGGATTTCATGCAGGTCCGGATCACGATTATCGAAGATTTCCGGCGCTTGCGAACGCAGAGTGTAGTTTAAATCAATCAAAGCTTTCGTTTTCTCAACGCTGTGGAAAGCGCTGATGATGAAACGCCGTAAAAGTTGATCCTCTACACAAACAACAACAATTAAACTAATTTTTAGTTAAATCTCATTAATTTTACCAATATTCTGCGGTAAATGCGGTTGTTTCATCAGCCATGCTTTAATCAACTGCAATAATTGTTCTATATCTTCAGATTTCTGTTTCATATCGCTGTTTTCCCCAAAATCTGAAACAATCAGAAGATTTCTTCGACTTGCACCAGTAGAGTCCAGCCAACAACTGATTAATAATAATCTTATAATACAAATCGCGAATTTCTCGTTTTGTAACGCGCATACTTTCATCTAACACAGCGTGAGTACAAAATAAGTGAATAGATGTTAGTTTTATATTGGTTTATATTAGAAAGTTGAAATGGTAACACTCGGTGGATGTATTCCTGCTCCAAAGTGAGTGTGAAACTGTTAAACTAAGGAAATGCGTGCTCATTCACGTACACGTACGAGTGAAAATTGTGTCCTACAATTTATAAATTACCAGCTTAAATAACCAGCAGCCACTTAAGGCATGTAAAATTGATTTTATGTAATCTCTGTTAACTTACGCGTTAATGTTGTCATTATAATTCAAGATGGCGTGTGGTGCAACCAATGCGGTAGAAACGCGACTGAAGTTATTACATTCGCGATATGTATTCGTGTTTTGAATCATCGTGTTCACGGTTCGTTTGCTTTTGCTCCTTTTCTTGCAGTTCTTCTTATGTGAATAGAGAAAGTCTTTCGCGTGCAGTAGCAGTAGTTATAATTTACACCGATTGCTTTGTAAGATAAATTTGGTGTATATTGGGTTGCCTACTTTTATTACACAAAAACAAAATACGTCCCTGCTGTCACATTCTGTAAATGTAACGAAATTATTAGTTCACCCTGTGAGACATCACATTTTTCTATAATATATTTGTGCCAATGTTCTCTTTATGTAGATTGTCAAGCAGTTTAAAATTCGTGCGAAGGTCACCCATACATACACACACACTCACAGAACCCAAAAATCATCATTCTATCAGTAATGTCAGTGCGCAGTCTTGTTGTGGTGAATCTTGTGGCTAAATTGTGTCGTCGCGATGTCTTTTCAGCTGTGAGGTGCTTCTCGCGTAAAAGCGTGCCCTCTGATGGCACGTACAAACCTGTCAAGCCAAGAAAACCGAAGAAAGGTAGCATTTTGCGTATTTTAGCTAAGATAACCTTCAAGATACAATCAAAATCGTCATAACAAGGACATATTTCATCATTTTATTTATTTTGTATTTGCAGATGACACTGCCTTAGCATGGAGAGACACAAACTTTGATATTTTGGCCTCCAAATGGTTTCCGTTCTTTCTGCCTGGAAATATTGGTCCTGCTTGGGTGGATACCTACACCACCATCAAGGATACAAGTGTTAATGTCCTAGAAGATATAGAGAAGGTATTTTTATTGTATTTATTGATTTAAACAAGTATAAATTGTGTTTTTGTGTGTTTAAAGAATGAAAACATTAGTTATAAAATACAAGCCTGCCCACAAGTGTTAAGACACACAGTCAGTGACTTATTTCCATCCAGGAACTTTGAGCAGGCTGTTCTATCTGTTATTACACTCACAATCAAGCCGGATCTCAAGCTGCTCAGGAAGAATACAGAGATTGAAACTGAAAAATTAGCCCAATTGGTAATTTGGTGTATAATGGGTTGCCTACCTATTTTTAAATCTGACATTTGTGCTTTAGTTTGTTTTAAGTGCAAAGCAGGTGTGCCAAAAGTTGCGAAGGATGGGTTACTGGGCGGATTTTATTAATCCGTTCTCGGGTAAGCCGTACTACACGTTGATACCCACCGATGAGTTGTATCAAACGGACGAAAAGTTTCGATGCTTGGATTTTCAAATCTACGAAATCTCCGAGTGTTGCATCGTGTCCAATGAGGAAGACAAAACAAAACGTACATTTGCAGGTATATTAGTTATTATTTCTAATGATAATTAGTTATTACGTGGGTTGTGTGTGTGTTTTTCTTGTTTCTTGTTCTCAGGAAGTTTGTTTACGAACGCGCCTTCGGACAAGAACGACCTCAATACGATCATGGCGGCGACGAGCGCCGACTCAACACGATTCTAGTGCAAATTGCTAGTGTTAAAACAATTTATATTTATAGAAATATGACATGTAGGTTCAACGTGAGTCCGTCTGTCTCTAAACCATTAGATTATAGTTAAATCAATGAAAATTTTGTTTGTAAAACCGCAGTCAAACAAATTGTCGCTGTAGGATATTCAAGGTCAAATTTTGATGTATACTTGGTTGCCTGCTGTAATAATCTAAACCAATTTATTTAAGAAAATGTATTTACATAAAAAAACAAACAAACAAAACGCTGGATATATTTTTAAATTCGCAGTTTATGACATATGTAAGTGCGTAATTATTGCGTTTTGTTTTGTTTTTGCGGTGTGACTTGTTTGATTGCGAAGTAATTTTTGGCGGTATTGCGCTGCCGTATGCGCCCGAATTGACGCGAGCCGACGACGCATTGTTATCGCGCATCCTCGTTGCGCACTCTGCGCGTGCATAGCGGCGTCACTCTCTAAACATCTTTATCCGCCATTGCATAAGTTTAGTGACTCCGTGACTGCGCTGGTGCTACGAGTCCCGAATTTCGCGTTGTGCGCTTTGGAAGATGCGTTTTTCTCCGGCGGCGTGCTGCTAAACTCTACACCCAGCGGTGAGTGCAACTACACGCGCGTAGAAGAATTCATTTCAACACACAAAACCTATGTTGTTTATATAGGTTACAATTGTATTGTAGTGTGCTGGTAGAAAACAACCGACGCTCGCGATCGTCAATTGTTTACACCGAATTACCATATTTCAAACGCTCAATCATGCAGATAACTTAAACCAAAACAGTTTAAAGCATTATTTCAATTAATTACATGCGTGTATCGGTGATTTTCGTGCCAAGTGCGTGTTTGCAGTCGAATAAAACGAAGCTGACACAGAGATAACCTAACTTTGTGGACTTGTTGGTTGTTACTGTTGGGCAAAACAAAAGTTGTTTATTTCAAATATGGTGGCCACTGTTGCAGTTTAGATTGCGGACGCGAGCAGGATGAGCAAGCGCCGGCGGACGAGTTCGATCGCCAGTCGCGGTCAGGAGGATGACTCTCTGGATAGCATTGAAGCAACCACTTCTGTTGTGACCACAACAAGAAAACGCACGCGAAAACAACAAGATCCCGTAAGAATTCTACTAAAATTCATCTTAAAACAATCTACAACATAAAATCACATGTTTTTCTTTGGTTTCTAGATGGAATTAGTTCAACAAGTGTATGATTCAATTCGCACATTCAAAAAGAAGATGGCACGTTGTTATGCGACGCATTTATTCGCGTCCCGAAGCGGCGGCAGGAACCAGGGTATTATGAAGTCGTCACGAATCCGATTGACTTGTTGAAAGTGCAACAAAAACTCAAAACGGACGAGTACGAAGACATTGATGATCTTCAGGCGGATATTGAACTGATTGCGAATAACGCCAAGGCGTTTTATAAGAAAAGCTCGACGGAATATCGCGATGCTGTCGAGTTAATTGAGTTGTTTCTTGCGAATAAAGCCAGGTGAGTGTTTAAATGTTAATAATTGATGTGAATTTTGGGTTGCATACCGGCATTTATAGAGAGAAGTAGTTAATTATTAGGAATAGTTTCAATTTTTAAGTATTTTATAGAAAAATACCGGTTTTTGGGACAAAAAATACCGGTATATCGGTTTTTTTACATCATTAATGCATGTTTTATTAATATTTTTAGTAGAATTTATGATTACCCATTGAAAAATACCGGTATTTGATGAAAAAACCGGTATACCGATATTAATATCGGTATTTCACACTTGAAATTTATATATTTTAATATTTTTCATAGAGTTTATTAAGTATTTGCTCCAAATACCGGTATACCAATAAAAAATACCGGTATTTCTCATTCCTAACCCCAATTGACTAAAATTTCCCCCATTTATTTCCAGAATTTACGACAAAACCGAAGATGACGACAAAAAAGTCTCTCTCCGCGTCAGCCGTTTACGAAAAACACCACGTGCGGACGTGGACGCCGCCTCCGAAGTCTCCTCCGAATCCTCAACGAATCCCGACGACGAATACAATCAATACGAAGACTTATTCACGGCGGTGATGACCGCCACCGACGCCGAGAACAATCCACTTCACACCGCCTTCCAACTGCTGCCATCAAAACGCAAGTATCCCGAGTATTACGAAGTCATCGAGTCGCCGATTGACTTGAAAACAATCGCGCAGAAAGTCCAAAACAGCGAGTACACACACCTCGGCGAGCTGGAGAAAGACCTGCTGCAGATGACGAAGAATGCATGCGCGTTCAACGAACCCGGGTCGAAAATCTACAAAGACGCCAAAGCTTTGAAGAAAATTGTAGTGTTGAAGAAGTACGATATTGAACACAGCACACAATCAGCGAGTCATAAAACACCAAGTGGGAAAACCAGTGAGAGAATACGCAATCGACGCCTGAAAGGCACCAGTAGTCTATCGGCGGTTACAGCGGCGTTGCGAGATGATGACTCGGATGTTGACGGAGAAGCGGAGTCACAGGAACAGGAACACGAGGAATCCGTGGATGAGGATGTGGATTTCGACGTGGAGAGTCCAATGTGGCAGTTGTTTGACACCGTGCGGAATGTGATGAATACCACGGGTACTGCTGCGCTGTGTGAGCCTTTCTGGCGGTTACCCTCACGGCGATTCTATCCGGATTACTATAAGGAGATTAAGAATCCGGTGTCGTTGACGCAGATCAAGCGAAAGCTGAATAATCATTCGTATGGGACGGTGAGTGAAGTCGCTGGGGATTTGACGGTTATGTTTGAGAATGCGAAGAGGTACAATGTGCCTACGTCCAAGTTATATCGAGTAAGTTTTTGTTTTTGTTTGGTTTTAATTTTAAAATTAATTTTTTGCTGGTGATCGATGTAATTATTGTGTTTTTTTTCTTGTAGGATTCTGTTAAGCTGCAGAAGTTGATGCAGGCAAAGGTGCAAGAACTGCTTGAGATTGATCAGGTAACAAACATCAAAGTCACTAACAGAGCACGCAAGGTAATGGCTTACGCACTCATTAAATTTCATTTCATTTACTAACATTTTGGTGGATATGTATCATTTAAGTGATAGGTGTAGGTGTAGTTGTAGTAGAGATTAGTGGAGGGGGTTGCGAAGTTGACTGCTGGAGCTGCGCTCGCCTTTTATACTTGCGGGTTTTGCGCACGACCCGCAAAAAGTGGTGGGGGTAAACGCAGCGGTATATGATTGGTTGCACGTGCTGCGCGAGAGGTACATGTGCGTACCCCCACTACTTTTTGCGGATCGTGTGCAAAAATCGCAGGTATAAAAGAAAAAAGACGGGCATGCGGGGGGTTCATGCTCAGTCGTGCCTGAGTCCTCCAGCAGTCCACTCAAAATTCTTCTTTTCTTTTTTCTTTAGAACTTTCTTTATTTTATTTTATTGATTTTTATCTTTTACAGAAATCAATATTTATTACTCACTATTTATATTTTGTTTAATTTAGGATACTGACTTTGAAGATCCCGAAATGCGGCGGAAAAGTCTTCCGAAGAAACTGCACACACCTCTGCGTGGCCGCCCTCCCAAAGACCCCATCCCTCTGAAAAAGCGCCTGCACGCAATGACGAAATTCCTCCTTGATTTTGTCGAAGACGGCCGCAAGCCGATGCTGGCCTTCATGCAGAAGCCCTCCAAGAAACTCTACCCGGACTACTACGACGTGATCAGCGAGCCGATTGATTTCCTCGAGATTGAGTCGAAGATACGCGGAGAGCAGTACGCCAGCGAGGCGGAACTCATTCGGGATTTTAAGCTCATGTTTGAGAACTGCAAGCAATACAATGAGGAGAACTCGCCGATCTACGAGGATGCGGCCATGCTGCAGAAGGTTATGATGGATAAATTCGGGCATGTCATTACTCCGGAGCGGAGGACTTATTCCAGAATGTGAGTATTATATTTTTTTGTGGGGTTAAGGTCAAAAATTATAGAAGAAATGAAAAATAGCATTGTTAGGTGTATGTTCGGTATGAATACGGCAAGTCCAACATTGGACAACAAAATTTAAGCCTTGTTTTGTGTTTTTTGGTTGAAAATAGCTCAGAAAAATGTAAAAATGCTAAAACATCGTTTTAAACTAATTATTTTGAGGAAAAAGAGTAAAATACTGCAAAATTTACATTAGCAGTCCTATGTTCGGTGAGTAAACCGCATATCCAACATAGGACAACAAAATTTAAGCCTTATTTCGTGTTTTTTGATAAAATTTTAGTAAAAATCGCGCATAAACACACAAAAAATGCTAAAAATGATTAATTGAAGAACTGATCATTCTTATATCTTTAATAATATCATTTTAAACTAATTATTTTGAAGAAAAATAGTAAAATACTACAAAAGTTGCAGAAATTACATTTGCAGTCCTATGTTCGGTGAGTAAACCGCATATCCAACATAGGACAACAAAAGTTAAACCGGATTTTGCGTTTTTGGCAAAATTTTGATAAAATTGCAATAAAAAGCAAAAATGCTAAAAATAATTAATTGGCAAACTAATTACGCAAAAATCATCAATAACATCATTTTAAACTGATTATTCTGAAGATAAACAGTTAAATATTACAAAACTTACAAAAATAACTTTACTACTCCTATGTTCAGTGAATATACCGCAAGTCAAAGCATAGACTAACAAAATAAACATACAATTTATGTTTTTAAAACATTAAATAACATAAAATTTCAGGTATAAACCACGAAAAACCCTCACCCCGATGCACAAACACTGCAAACGCCTCTACGAAACAATCCGCGACTACCGCGAACCGAAAGCCCAGCGCCAACTAATCTCAATCTTCATGAAACTCCCCTCAAAGAGCGACTACCCCGACTATTACGACATCATCAAACACCCCATCGACATGGACAAAATCGGGCATAAACTACGCTCGAGAGAATACGACACTCTGGACGAACTCGTCACCGATTTCAACCTAATGTTCGACAATGCCTGCAAATACAACGAGCCGGATTCCCAAATCTACAAAGACGCGCTAGTATTACAACGGTTATGCAACGCGACGAAGATCCAACTCAAAGAGGACGACGACACCATCCCCGACGTCCCAGCCGCCATACAAGACCTCCTCTTGAGTCTATTCACATCCGTGTACAATCATCAAGACTTAGAAGAACGCTGCTACTCGGATTCAATGGCGGATCTACCCGAACACGACGACATCGACGGGAAAAAAGTCCGAGGCCTGTCCTTGGATTTAATCAAGCGGCGATTGGATAAAGGTCTGTACAAACGCCTGGATACCTTCCAGGAGGATATTTTCGCGTGTCTGGAACGCGCGAGGCAAATCTCACGCACAGATTCGCATGTTTTCGAGGATTCCATTGAGATGCAGCGGTATTTCATCAAACTGCGCGATGAATTATGTCGCAATGGTGAATTACTACACTCACCAGCGTTGCAATACACCGTTGAGGATCTCCTCACCTCTGCAGAAGTATTACGACAGAGTAAGTTAGTTCAGGAGTCTTTGGACGATGAAAATGAAACGCGTAGCTCGGATGATTCTATTATAAAAGAGGCGGGGTTGTCTGCGGGTGAGTCAATGACATGTAACCAACAAACCTTCAAGGTTGGTGAGTTTGTTTACCTGGATTCGAAGGATAAAGGCGTCGAACCGCATATTTTGCTTATTGAACGCCTGTGGACGAACCAGCAGGGTCAGCAGATGTTGTATGGGAGTCATTATTTGCGCCCGGCGGAGACGTATCATTTATCAACGAAGAAGTTTCTTGAAAAAGAGGTTTTCAGAAGTGACACGCACGTTGCCGTGCCGCTGGAGGAGGTGAAGGAGCGTTGCTGTGTGCTGAATCTACGACAGTATTTAACGATGATTCCCGAGGGTTTCGACGAGAAAGATGTGTATGTGTGTGAGAGTCGATATGCGACCAAAGCGAGGAATTTCAAGCGTATGAAGACTTTTGCTGAAGCACCGAATATTATTCTGACAGCGCGTGATAAGCCACTGGAACCAAAACGAGTGATTTCGGTGTTTAGGGAGCGCGTGGAGAAGCATAAGGATGAATTAGCGGAGTTGCAGGAGATTGAACGGTTGGTGGAGAAAGAAAAGCCGAATATTGTCGCGTTTAATGTCGAGATTGACGATGGGAATACTTATTACGAGCAGTATAATACGATATGTTCAGGGACGGTGAAAACCGGTGATTTTGTCTATGTTGCGGCTGATGGCGGACGGCAAACCATCGCGCAGATAGACACAATATGGGAAACAAAAGAGTAAGTGAAACATTACCGACATTACAGTTTCCTGTAATATTTTTTGTTGTGTTTTTCTACAGTGGTAAATCATATTTTCGTGGACCATGGTTCATCACACCGTCGGAAGTACCCAGCGGTGCAGTATACAAACAGGAGCTGTTTTTATCCACGTTGGAGGAGACGAATCCGATTGTGAGCATTGTCGGACGATGCGCAGTATTAGATTACAACGATTATATTTCAAGTAAGTTTCGCATGTCAAATATCAAAAATTATTCGAATATGTCATTATTCAATTTGAATGTCATTTCAAGGTCGTTTGACTGAGATACCCGAGAGTGATGTCTTCATCTGTCAGAGTCTCTACGATGAGATTAATCGGCAAGTGCAGAAATTGGGCATTGACGGCGTGAAGAAGTACAGCCACACGCCGGGCGTCACCGAGGATGAAATCTACTACTATCCGAAACTTATTAATCCGCTGCGGGTGAGTTTTCGATTGTTTTATTTCTTTTTTCGCATAAAATGTCTACTAAACCGGGTGATAGTCTATTGTTTGTGCTTTTTGCATGATAACATGAGTGTTGTAACATTTGGGGTTGCTTTTGTCGTGTGTTTGTCTCTGGTGTGTGTGTGTGTGTTGCTTACACGCTTGCCCTGCTCTGTGTTGCAGGTGGGCGCCGATCAGAAATCGTTGAACATGATGGAAGTGGTGAGTTTTGTTGTATTAATTATTTTACGAATCGATACGTATTGCGCACGCGCCTTATTCGCCCGGATTTAATTGTAAAATGTGCGTGTGGGGTTTAATTATGCGTGTTTTTGGTGTGTTAAAAATCGATACACGCGAAATTTCGTGCGTACGAATGTTAATATTTAATTTTCATGGTGATATTTGTCTTTGGTGATATTTAGTCGGTTGCGTGTTTTGTATCGCAGTTGGTTGCGTTGCGCCGCGCAGCGTTCTCTCTCGCTCGGCGCGCCTGGCGGTGTGTGCTAATCGCATTGTGAGCTGGCTGGCATTCATTCGTCGAGTGGCCGCCATTGCATCAGCGCCCGTGTGCGCCATTACGTGTTTGTGCGTTTCTCTGTGTATCATCTCTCCGTGGTGTGAATCGTGTGCGTCGCCTCGTCGCCTGTCGTTTGTTTCTCGTCAACGGACGATCAACGAGTCTCGCGTGAGCAGCGTAAGCGCACGCCGCCGACCGGCGGCACACGCGTACCGTACGGAGAAGAAGTCGCGAGGCCGAGCCCGCTGCGCGCGCGTTCGTGGCGTATCGGGTCGTCGCGCGACCGGCGCGTATACCGTGCGCCCTTCTTGCGAGTGGAGTCGTGCGCTGCGCCATTGTGTCCGGCTCGCGTCGCGTCTAGTGGCCGTCTGGGCCACACCGGTGTGTGTGAGTGTGGACCGCCATGCATAATCTGCGGCGTCGCTAGAGAACACACCACACACTAGAGCGCCCCGCGGCACCTGCGCTCGAGAGTCAGCAGGAGTTGGTGCGTCACACACACAAAACAACACCACCAACCAACCTTGGCGCAACCTTCGTCATCGCCATCGATGAATATATGCTAAAAACCTAAAAAATTCACGTGATTACACCACACATTTATTAAGAGTATAAACGGGCACGTGCAGCATGAAGCGTAAAAAAATCCTAAACATGGATAGCTCGAGCGCTAACGTTGAAAACCAGCAGACCGGCACCGCCTCCATGGAGTACACCTCGCTGGTTGGTACATTTTTGTTTTGCATATATAACCTCTCATTCACACTCAGTGAATAATCAGTGTGCAAGCGTCTCCATCTTGTTTGCGCATAAACACAAACAAAACACCATCGCGATTATATCGGTAGACGCGCTGCTCGCTTCTTTGTTGAGTGCAACTTGTTCATCTTACAGGAATCTTCGCCGATGCTCACCAAGCTCAACGACATGGACATCCTCATGGAGGACTCCATCGACGGCCCGCCCTCTGTGGGCTCCGGCGAGCATCCAGTCGCCATTTCTACTCCGTCGACGTCAACACCGGCCACTGCTAAGAAGGTTTGCTTCTACACTTGTAGAAAACTACATATTCATTTGTTTTATGTTTTGGGGGTGATGGTGGTTTATTTAATATCGGGGGCCATTTTGTACAAATTTAACACATCGCACATTTATTTTCTTAATTTCCTGTTTATAATGGAAAGTTTTGGTTTTAATTTGCAGCAAAAGATTAAATATAAATTAGTCTCCGGTTACATTCTCTACTCGCGCGCGCATCGCAAAGGCGTCGTGGCGAATAATCCCGATTCGAACTTCGGGGATATCAGCCGTATTGTCGGCAATGAATGGCGGTCGCTTTCCGCCAGCGAGAAGGCTCCATGGGAGGAAAAAGCGACCAAGATGAACGAGGAGATTAAACTGCGCGGTGAAGCCGTCACTACAACTTCGGAGGAGACTTGCACAAGTCCTGCGCCTGTACATCCCGATCAGGTAATAATTTTTATGCAATTTATTAAGTTTTACTTGTAAAACAACAAATTATTTCATTGTAGATTTACGAATGTTATTGGGATCAGTGCGATTATCAATTTGAAGAGTTGATTGATTGTCTCGAGCACTGCATCAAGGAGAAAGACGGCGTGGCTGGGCATGTACAGTCGTATTTCCAGCAGAATCCCGACGCGGAGATGCACTGCTTGTGGCGTGGCTGTCAACGCATCAAGAACAAGAAAAACTCGCAGCCGTTCCCGAACGTGCAGCGTCTTGTACGTCACGTTAAGGATTTACACATTAACAAGGGTAATGGACGTGTGGTTGCGCCAGAAAATCGAAACAAGTAAGTATTCGCTTTGAAATTGATGTGTTTTTTTATGTTTTTATTGAAAATTTTCACTTGCTAAATGATGCAAATGTTAGGAATTTCATCGGAAATCGTACGATGCCAGTGCTGCAACCAGCCGTACCGCCGCCATCGGAGATCCTAGCTGGTTGGTTGATGCGAATGTTGCATACTCAGCATGTCTTTATTTTTTTATAGTAAATTTAGGCGTATCTTTGGTTGCCTACATACCTGCACTACCATTACCCTGGGATGTTTGTTGTTGTTTTGGCTCTCTTGCCGTGACCATGGTTGTTAATTTCGAATGTTTTTCTCTTTGTTTTTATTTGCGCCGGTTGTTCATCAAAAAGGAACTTCAAGCCATCCAGTAGGGGCAATGCGATTGCAATGCGGCCCACTCCTACCGCAACTCCCACTCCTAGTTGTGAGTTTAGTTATTTAGTTTTGCATTTTCAACGATTAGTGCATGTGTAATATTTGATTTAGCGTTTTGATCATCTTAGATTAATATTTCATTGAATTTCTTTCTACCTTAAGCGGCTAGTAAGGCGTTTATGGGGAATAATCATGCTAACACAGGTATATTCTTATAAACTCACCCTGCATGCACTAAAAATCATCGTTTTATTTATTTTTACAATAGTTTAATGTAATTTTGTATGTTTAGCTGCATCATCTTCAGTGCCAACACCAGTGGCGCCCCCTACACCGGCTCCCAAACAATTGGAGCCGTTGTTTATCTCTGTTCCACCACGACCACAGCGTGCGCTACATTCTGAAGCTTATATTAAGTAAGTTTTGTCAGGATTTCATCAATTTTTGTATTTATTTTTGTTGTGTTATTTACTTTAGGTATATAGAGGGATTGCATGCTGAAAACAAGTATATCTGCAATTGGGAGCGTACTTTGAACGGTACGCAGGAAACAGCACCGGCTCCGGATCCAGAGAAACTGAATTCGGTCGCCACTTGGCTCGGCCCCAAGGCCAATCAGCAGGATAACGTTTTGAACGCGCTGTGGACGCTCAGGAATCAACTGTTGCGCGATACGCTCAGCCTGCAGAAGACGCTTTAATTTAATCCGCGTGTCCGTTAAATGTTTGATGTTATTTGCTGGTATTTTAGTTAAGTATTCGAGTATTTAGATTTTTTATATGATACTAGCTGATCCTGACGAGCTGAAATATAGGAATCTATGTAAGTTAAATTAAATCTACTATAAAGCGCGTCTGGCTATAAGTTGCAGTTTTCTACATTTGCGATTTATGATTGGATAACTTGTTTGTAGATGGCGCTCGCATCTCGATGCGAGCTGTTGGTGATTCGTGTTTGTGCAGATCAGATGGCTGGTTTGCTTCGGTAGTGTTGTTGCTGAGGTTTTATTTCGCGAAGGAAAGCTGTTTGCGTTGGTGACACAACGAGCACGCTGTTCGGAAGGTGTCTGAGGGTGGTTACGTGGGCGAGAAGTTTGTTAGGTGAGCGCGCTTTGTTTTTCTTACCCTTTTCTTGTTATTTTTGTTGAAATAACCTGCAAAAATTAACACCGGAGTCCTATGTTTGGTAAATGCGCATAAACAGGTAAAAATTATATTTTTTAATAAGAAATGGGTGTAAATTCAAGTAATTTCATGTTGGTTCCTGTCCATATTTTATTTATGACTGCAATGATGTGTGATTTATGATTTGTTCCGTTGAGTTGTTTCTCCTTAAAGTCGGTTAATTTAAAATAGACCGCGATCGCTCCCACCACACGCACTCGATTTTCACATTTCCACTTGAAACTTTATTGCGGAAACCGAAAATTCAGTCCACCATCGTCGCTCTGCAATGGAACGCCCGCATCGCTCCTCGGTGCGTAGCCGCGGCTCATCCTCCACCAGCGATGTCCCCGCGAAAGAGAAATTCATCGACTGCTGTCGCAAAATCGTCGCTTTCATGTGCACACAAGTCGGTGTCGGCGGCCTGGTCGTCGGCTACACCGTCGTGGGCGCCTTCACCTTCAATACATCGAAACCCGCGAAGAATACCCAATCATCGCCGTAGTAAACTCCACGCGCACGAAATACGCCAACATACTCTGGGACGTGGTGCGGGAAGAGAACGTCTTCAACAAAACAACATTCAACCGCGAGGTGAATAAAACCCTCTTCGAGTATCAGAATCTCATGGTTGATTCAATCAAACGCGGATACAACGGCCGCACCGTTCAGGACATGTGGTCCATTCCTGCGGCGTTGATGTTTTCCCTGAGTATCATCACAATGATTGGCTATGGTAACATGGTACCACGCACCACATGGGGCAAAACCGTGACTGTCATCTACGCGGTTTTTGGTATACCTCTCTATGTATTATACTTTATGAACATGGGTGAAGTTTTAGCCGGCGTGTTTCGATGGATCTACACCTGGTTATACGATTGCAGCACAGAGAGGGATGAAAATGACCCACCACGAAGAGTTGTGGTGCCAAGTTCAGCGTCTCTATGGGTGATTGGTGGGTATATCGCAACCGGGGCGATTATTTTCGCCGAATGGGAGAAGTGGTCCTACTTGGACAGCACGTATTTCTGCGTGACGAGTCTGTGTAAGATTGGCCTGGGGGATTTCGTCCCCGGCGCGAATATAAATGATTTCAAAGTCGGCAGCCAGACGAAGCTGGTGGTGAATTTTGTTTATATGCTGGTGGGACTCGGGTTGGTTGCGATGTGTTACAATCTCATGCGTGAGGAGGTGCGGGTTAAGGTGAAGGAGATGAAGGAGGACATGGGACAGTGTCTGGAGGACACGAGGGTGCGGTTGATGGCGTGCGCAAATCGATGTCGAAGTGAATAATTCTTCGATACGATTGACTTGTATTGTTTTGTTAATTTTGTGAACTGTATGCATTTATTTATTAGTTTAATCCCTGAGGAAACAAGCGGCGAGAGTGTAAGCAGTGTGTAAAATTTATGTAAGCTGGTTTTATTCACTGCGATGAATTTAAACTCGGACGTGTGGTGTGTTTTTGCCTTTTTATGAGTTTATTTAACTGCGCGTTTGGAGTTTGACTAAGAATGCGGTGTTATTAAAAAGGTAATTGATATTTTTATATCTTTCTTGTGCTAATTGATGCTTGGCGCGTGTTCAACACTGCAATTGTGATTCATTTTTATTGGCTTTGTTTGATTTTCTTTGAACATGTTTGAAATGGCGGCTAAAGATAGTTGCGTCGGGCTGCCAACAAAGGAAAGCCGAAAAACAAAAGAGTTGATTATTAATCGTGAGTTATTTCCATCATGTTACAAATTTAGGTCGTGTTGTGTGCGTGAAACTAATATTGGCGATTGGATGAGCTATGATTTACGGACGTGTTGAAGTTTTCAACTTGACGTGACGAGCGGCGATAATTTTAACATGAAAAAAACGCGAAAGGTAGCAGCCACGTGTGGGCGAGATGTGTGCTTGGTTAATTGGCCATCGGATGAAATATTCAGCGAGAATTCCACACTTTTCTCGTGCAAATTGGGCAGGAAATTGTTCGAGCGTCGTCGGATTTTTTCTTTTTCATGCTTTGATGAAAACAGCATTAATAATAGACGCCCGCGCATGTCGCAACGTGCATAAACCAACATTCGGCAAGCGGCAACTCTTGGAAAGTTATAAATAACGCGCGCCATGTGTAACATAAAACTCACTTCGAGTGAGCGCCAGCGCGCACGCACTCATGCAAATATTACAGTAATGTAATGTTTAATTTTCAGATGTGAAACGTTATAGCATGCAGGCGGCCTCTGCGCCTACACCGTTGAGATTATGCGGCGTCGTGGGTTACGAGGGGCGGTGTAATGACATCGTCTATTGCCGCCCCACGATGGAAAATGTTTCCAGCACCGTAGTTTTCTTTGGTGGTGATGTGCAAGACTTCATTGAGAACATGCAAACGCATCGTGATAGTAAAAACTATGTGGAATGGAATTTAGAAGACACAGCGAAGATAATTCAAGCGAAATTTCCTTCTGCGCATGTTCTAGTCGTCAGGCCTGCAAGGTGAGGGTTGGTTTGTTTAATTTCAGTAGAGAATTTTTATTAATTTGTATATTTTTAGTGTTGAGTATAAAACATTCAGTTGTTTTAAGAATTTCGTACCGTGTAATAATTGTGGTACTCCGGAGCACACGCCAATGCACTTTGCTCTCCGCCATTTGCAAAAGTTATTGGAGAGTGTTGCACAGATGACAACACAATCCAATGGTAATTTCCTTGATCAACAGAAGCTGATTCTTGTTGGCTTTAGTAAGGGTTGTGTAGTTCTCAACCAGTGTCTCTACGAGTTTCATTACTTGTCGACGCTCACGCCTGATGAACGCGCTTCTTCGGAGATTGTAACACGTATCAGCGACATGTATTGGTTGGATGGCGGACATGCAGGTGGTAAAAACACATGGATTACCAGTAGGCCCCTATTAGAAACACTTACTAGGCTAGGTAGTATTTATTTTATTAAATTGTACATTAGGAAATGAAATATTGTAATTTTTTAAGGTATCAACGTGCATATTCATGTTACACCCTATCAGATCCAAGATGGACGTCGTCCATGGATCCGCAAAGAGGAAAAACTCTTTGGTGACGTCCTCTCGAAACTTGGAGCGAACGTGCAGCGGCAGGTGCATTTTGAGGACATAATTCCTTCTTTAAATACGCACTTTGAATTGATTAAGGTGTTTTGTGCGGGACAGGAGATAGAAAATCGGTAAAGATTAATTTTATGGTTTATAGATCTCTTATATTAAGAGATTATATTAATTTATGCAATACTTTGGCAACGAAACGTTAATTTATTACTTATATTATATAGAATGTTATATTTTCATAGCATTTTGTCCATAACTCACAAACTAATCAATTGTACTTATAAAATAGTATTTTAATTTAATAGTTTAGTGATAATTTTAAATGTTTGAATTGTAACTTGATTAGTTTTTGATTTATTGGTGAAAAACTAAGAGATTTCTATTTCCATGTCACTCATCCTCATAGGTACATAGAACTGGACAAGGAGGCAAGTATCTCCCTAATTTCATCTGAAGTTTTCCTAAAAGTAATCATATTTTATTATATTTGTATATTTTTAAAGTGTTAATTATTTACGGTCTAGATGAGGTGAGATCTTTTTGTTTAAATATTCATCGGAACCATCACAGCAGTCGCAGACGCCGTCGTTGACTTTATTCGAGCTGATAATCTTCTTGTAATTCCTGTAAGTTGCCTGGGAAGTACAGAAAAAGGTCTTGCCAGGACAGGCGTTGGTTCCTGGCTCGTCCGTGCCGTCTGTGCAATCACAATAATTATCATTCACCAGTTCGTAGTCGATCAGTTCACGACTGAAGAGACATTGGAATTGATTGCGGCCGGTGCGCTGATAGAGTCGGATGTGGTACTTGTGCGTGCCGAGGACTTTCGTCGTCACCGGTTTGTTGCTATTGCTGTACACGGTAAGTTTATTGAATATCACCAGTTGGTAGACGATGTAGATGACGGAGACAATTGCCAGCGGCGTGAGGAAGTACTTGAGTTTCTTGCGCGGTCGCCACATGATAAGGAAAACAATGTTTCACGTCATCTTGCGTTGCGAAAATGTAAATTAAGGAAAAACATAACCATACAATCGCTGGATTCAAAACATTGTTGAATCGGTTGTGTATTATATACAACAAGTCTATGTATAGAGGTAAATATTGTCGTAGACAGGTTAACTTACATTGAGAATGTATTGCGGCGGTGGGGTCACCCCTACTATGGAATTATTGCAGGTCTATGTTCCGTCGTGCGCTGCGTAGTAGTGAGCACATGTTTTGTATGTCGGTCGGTTCTCGTGGCGATTTTCAGTTTTCTCGGGGTTATAAGTCGGTAGTTTAATTAATATCGGTCAGCACGGATAAACTTTAGCTTGATAGATGTATGCGACGTGTAATTAATGAGTTATCGCGCGTGGAAGTATGACTTAAGTTGGTTTTTCAATGTGCGCACGTGTTTTCAGTCGCCCGTCGGATATCTCCCGTCGATACGAAGAATTCTTACTGGATTTATATATTTTTGTGCATTTATTGAATAATTCAATCGTGGAAATATACCACGATTGTTTCCCGTATGGAATGAAGTCCGTAAAATTTATTCCGTACCAGTTTGGGAAGATTAAACATTCAAGTAAGTGTAACTTGTAACTTAAGTCACTTTCGTGAGTCACGTTGAACACATGTACTTAAATTTCATGTAACAGAATTTAATTTGTGTATGTACTATCTTGATTATTTGAGTTTGAATAAAATATAATTTAATAGTATATTTTGAAGCAGTTATCTATCAATGTTCCTATTGTCGTTTTCAGAATTAGTTTTAAAGATCAAATTTGATTACCTGTGTTTGAAATGCATATAAGTGATATATAAATGTTGTTATTTTTAAAAAGGTGACAAAAACAACAACATTTATACCTGAAACGAATAAAGTTTGATAAGTGAGCGTTGTGGCTCAGGTGGCATGTGCATATGCTAGCGTGCTGGAGGTTCATGGATCGAATCTCAGTTGTAGAAGGCAATTTTATTAAATAATAAGAAATTTACGAAATGTGGGTTGCATACCACAAAAATTCAAGATTCAAATGTTAGAAATAACTTGAAAAGCAGGGTACGATGAAGCAACCAACAGTAAAACTAAGTAGAAGATGGTGGAGGAGCAAATAGAGAGCAGCAGCAGCAGCAGGAGAGAAAGTATTGGAGAGAAGAAGAGAGAGTACAGGAAGAAATGAGAATAGGGGTGACAGAATTTTTAAATTTTTTGGCACGTGTCGTTATAAGACAGTCTACGGTCGATCTCCCAGAGCGCCGGAGGCTTCACTGCTTCAGTCCGTCCATTGCTCCCGGCCCATCCTACAGCTACGATGTCTCTGCGCTTCATCCCCGGAATTATCAGGCATATCAACAATTTTTATGGTGGGGGATCATCCCCAGAGAGAGGGAACTCCTTATAAGGACATCCTTTTAAGAACTTGTAAAAATATTTCTAATTTTTATGTCGCCTCACGAGAGGGGACACTTAAAAATATTCTTACAAGTTCTTACCTGTACCTGAATTGAAAGATGGAGTACACAAATCATACAGGATACCATAACAATTTTTATAGTGGGGATCATCCCCCAAGTGGGAGAACTCCTTGAGGACTTGTAGAGATATTTCTAAGTGCCGCCGCGCTCTCAGAGCCGACCATAACACTGAGAAATACAAGTTGTGACCTGTACCTGAAATGATAGAAGGAAGGGGTGCACAAGTCATAAGACAGAGCCATTGCCTTTAACATTTCTTTATTAACAAACTAAATACAATATAAGTTCATGACTTGTATGTTCAATACCTACAAAACACGTGGCGTCATTTTAAAACATGTTTATGACCTGCATAGCCACGCTACGCTAACGGCTGCAAAATTACAACAGATAACACTAGAAAATAGCAAATTGCGCCCTGCTTTCGTATGACATCAGTGGAAAATGATATACAGGGTGTTATCAAAAGAAAATCACCCCAAAACAATATAATTATGCTCATTTTTCGCCGAGCATTAAGAAAAATTTATATACAGGGTGATACAAAATCAAAATCAAAAGTGTATGTTTTATTACCTATTTTGACGTGATAACGTCTTTAAAATCGTTTTAGTCGGGTGACATGTTCAGAAACTTGTGTCACGAGGCCTCACGAGGCCGATCGCTATAACGAGAGAGAGACGGACCGATCTCCCGTCTCATCTCGAGCGCTGCCAGTCATTCCGTGAAACTTGTCACGCGGAATCCACACGAGCGGAGGCAGGCATAGCGTTCGAGTGAGTGGACCAATATTCCGTCTCTCTCACTCTAGCGGCATACAAACGAATGGAGATTTTCTTGTGCGGTTAAGATTTCGTTTAATGTTTAACAGTGAAACAAAATGTGAAGTGCAAGTGAAGTGTTACAACAATAGCAACAAAAAAAACTTATATCACCAATAAGACGTTATCACGTAAACATCTCGATCGTAAACCTACTTTACAAACAACTTAAATTTTTCTACTGTTTATCTAGGGAAGTGATAAGTACGTGAATAGAAACATAATAAATAATACAATTACTAATAATTATAAATTTATTAAACACATTTTAAAGAAATACTAAATTAAGATCTCTTAAACACACAAATTAGCACAGACAGAATTATGAATACAAAAGCAAAAAGAAGGCACGACAAAGTCCCGAATGAGAGCGAATGCGCAGCCGACGGAACGCGACAATATTCCAATACTTGTATTACAAAGGTTATTATATGCAACCATGTGACGACTATGCTATGTATTAAAGTGTTAACTAATTTTACTGATCGTTTTTCCTTATATGGTTGGAAATTGTAATAGAATATAGTTTTTATGTTACATACTTTTTTACGTTGTCGCAGATGAAATATTCCATACGATGCACAAATGATGTTTATTCAAATTAATAATTAAATGGATACACGAAACAAGCCTGAGTATTTCTTAGCCGACGGAAGATATCCGACGGCCGACGGAAAACACGTGGTGCGTACGTTGTAAAACAACGACATTCTTGGTTCCACGCGCGATAACTCATTAACTATAGGCCGCACTTGTCTGTTAATTCTAAATCTTATATCTGGTGACTGATTATAATACAAGTAACGACTTAAAATCACAAGAAACGCTACAAGTCGCCATGAAGACCGACGCGCAAGTAAACGCGTGCACACTACGCCGCAGCGCACGATCGACTAAGTAAGAAATGGCGCAAACACTGCTGAGCGCATTGGATGCGCTGCGACGCAATAAAAACAAGTTGTTTGTGCACTAACACCGATAAGAGCCAAGAGTGCGAAATACGAGTATAAACTATTCATGTTATGGATACAGTTCAATACAATGGAAAGATTTTATATTCTGAACGTACTTTTTTATTCACATAAACAATGTACTCAACAATCCGGAATTGAATGAAGTCTATATGAAGAGGCAGTTTAGGAGATAATCGCAATTGAAAAATCTGGGAACAACAAGGCAAATCTCTTATATTAACTCTTTTAACAACTATTATTGAACTTTTACTTCACGTAATTAATATATTTCATTATCATTAGTACAAGTGTGTATGCACACAACTTTTGATATAACTCGCGTTACGGAATTTTCTCGCCATAAATTTGGATACTGGGAGATGCGGAATTAAATTCTGCATTTGGGAAAATTATTTCAATCTAATTTTGACACCGCGTTCGCGTGTTATAGCATTAAAACTACAATTCCTAGCGCAACGAGTACAAGTGCGTATGCACACAACTTTCGATATAACTCGCGTTACGGAATTTTCTCGCCATATATTTGGATACTGGGAGATGCGGAATTAAATTCTGCATTTGGGAAAATTATTTCAATCTAATTTTGACACCGCGTTCGCGTGTTATAGCATTAAAACTACAATTCCTAGCGCGACGAGTACAAGTGCGTATGCACACAACTTTCGATATAACTCGCGTTACGGAATTTTCTCGCCATATATTTGGATACTGGGAGATGCGGAATTAAATTCTGCATTTGGGAAAATTATTTCAATCTAATTTTGACACCGCGTTCGCGTGTTATAGCATTAAAACTACAATTCCTAGCGCAACGAGTACAAGTGCGTATGCACACAACTTTCGATATAACTCGCGTTACGGAATTTTCTCGCCATATATTTAAATACTGGGAGATGCGGAATTAAATTCTGCATTTGGGACAATTATTTCAATCTAATTTTGACACCGCGTTCGCGTGTTATAGCATTAAAACTACAATTCCTAGCCCAACGAGTACAAGTGCGTATGCACACAACTTTCGATATAACTCGCGTTACGGAATTTTCCCGCAATATATTTAAATACTGGGTGATGCGGAATTAAATTCTGCATTTGGGACAATTATTTCAATCTAATTTTGACACCGCGTTCGCGTGTTATAGCATTAAAACTACAATTCCTAGCCCAACGAGTACAAGTGCGTATGCACACAACCTTCGATATAACTCGCGTTACGGAATTTTCTCGCAATATATTTAAATATTGGGAGATGCGGAATTAAATTCTGCATTTGGGAAAATTATTTCAATCTAATTTTGACACCGCGTTCGCGTGTTATAGCATTAAAACTACAATTCCTAGCGCAACGAGTACAAGTGCGTATGCACACAACTTTCGATATAACTCGCGTTACGGAATTTTCTCGCAATATATTTAAATATTGGGAGATGCGGAATTAAATTCTGCATTTGGGAAAATTAAATCTAATTTTGATACCGCGTTCGCGTGTTATAACATTAAAACTACAACGTACACACAACTTTCGATATAACTCGCGTTACGGAATTTTCCCGCAATATATTTAAATATTGGGAGATGCGGAATTAAATTCTGCATTTGGGAAAATTATTTCAATCTAATTTTGACACCGCGTTCGCGTGTTATAGCCTTAAAACTACAATTCCTAGCGCAACGAGTACAAGTGCGTATGCACACAACTTTCGATATAACTCGCGTTACGGAATTTTCTCGCAATATATTTAAATATTGGGAGATGCGGAATTAAATTCTGCATTTGGGAAAATTATTTCAATCTAATTTTGACACCGCGTTCGCGTGTTATAGCATTAAAACTACAATTCCTAGCGCAACGAGTACAAGTGCGTATGCACACAACTTTCGATATAACTCGCGTTACGGAATTTTCTCGCCATATATTTGAATACAGGGAGATGCGGAATTAAATTCTGCATTTGGGAAAATTATTTCGATCTAATTTTGATACCGCGTTCGCGGGTTATAACATTAAAACTACAATTCCAAGCGCAACGAGTACTAGTGCGTATACTCGTACACACAACTTTCGATATAACTCGCGTTACGGAATTTTCTCGCCATATATTTGAATACAGGGAGATGCGGAATTAAATTCTGCATTTGGGACAATTATTTCAATCTAATTTTGACACCGCGTTCGCGTGTTATAGCCTTAAAACTACAATTCCTAGCGCAACGAGTACAAGTGCGTATGCACACAACTTTCGATATAACTCGCGTTACGGAATTTTCTCGCAATATATTTAAATATTGGGAGATGCGGAATTAAATTCTGCATTTGGGACAATTATTTCAATCTAATTTTGACACCGCGTTCGCGTGTTATAGCCTTAAAACTACTATTCTTAGCGCAACGAGTACAAGTGCGTATGCACACAACTTTCGATATAACTCGCGTTACGGAATTTTCTCGCCATATATTTGGATACTGGGAGATGCGGAATTAAATTCTGCATTTGGGAAAATTATTTCAATCTAATTTTGACACCGCGTTCGCGTGTTATAGCATTAAAACTACAATTCCTAGCGCGACGAGTACAAGTGCGTATGCACACAACTTTCGATATAACTCGCGTTACGGAATTTTCTCGCCATATATTTAAATACTGGGAGATGCGGAATTAAATTCTGCATTTGGGACAATTATTTCAATCTAATTTTGACACCGCGTTCGCGTGTTATAGCATTAAAATTATAATTCCTAGCGCAACGAGGAGGTGTTATACCGGCAAAACAACTACTACTTGCACAACGATCACGCACCGACACAAATTACTATGCAAATATTTACGGTACCCCGTTTGCAATCAATGTCGAGAAAACATGAAAGCAAAAATATAATGACATTCCTACCAGGATTACTCTTCACTGGTCCTGATGACATCATGCTTCTATACCTAAAACAGAAAAGAATTCATATTAGAACATTTCATATAAATGCAAAGAATGTTATCAATTCGTGCATCAAAACACGATGCTTGTTGTCGAAATGTGTATGCACGATGCATTCCACACGGCGAACGCGATAAGAACATACTAGTTGTAAACAAACACCGATAAGAGTCTATAGTCAAGAGATTGAACACAATAAGCTATATAAGCAATAAGTATGTAAATCGCCACAAGTTAGAAATGCTTAAAAGCTAATTAGAATTCATTAGACGACACACGTCAAAGGTAAACTATATTTGTTTACCAAATATTTATTATAACAACAGCAATTCTTACCCGTCGAAAGATGGCCGACGTCATCTCATGGCAGGTAAGTAAATAATTCAGGTAACACACACCGAACACACGCGACACATGCGCTCACACCGACCGCGCTAAGCCTACTAAAGGTGAGGTGTCACATGCGCGGTGATATCAGTGACGATCCCCACCATCCCCACCAACCTTGTGAACAAAACTGGTATGTACAATAAATGCAACACAACGCAAGCACCACTAGCATTGTCACATGTGCCTATTGAATTTATATCGCTACTAGCGGCAGTACTAATTAAATTTGATAATACAATTCCATAGAAATTAAATGCGGATGTTGCGCCCTGCCATGTTGACTAAAAACACTTATAATAATAATATTTATTTAATTATTACACATAAAAATGGTGTTTTGCTTACTTTATAAATATTCATAACACATTAATTAAAACACGGTAAAAATAAAACAAAGAACATGAAAATAAAAATAAGAGACGAAAGAAAAGTGTGTACTGGCACGAGAAATTGTCAAAAAAAGTAAGAACCGGAAGTTTTTAATAAGTAAACGCTAAAACAAATAAATTATTAGTTATTCTGGTTGTTGTTATTGTTTCGTGGCCGGTTGTTCTGTTGATTGCCCTTGTTCGGCACAGCAATAGCGCCCGGCGGCAGATTGAAATTTTGTCCATCGCCACCGCCGAGATTATTATTATTGCCGCCTCCATTCTTGGGCCGTTGGGGCAGGTTGGGCACATTTTCTTCTTCGTCGTCTAACGCTAACTGGGGCGCAATGGTCGAAGGGACGTCGCAGTCTTCTGTAGGTGGGACAACACAACGCAGGGAACGTCTGTCAAAAACAAGCATCGCTGGGCATCTCTGAAGACGTGGATAACCACCTTGACACTGCCAGTAACGGTTGCAGGATTTTCCCAGAGGGACGTTACCATTGGCGTCATCATTACACAAAGCTAAATAAACAAAAAAAAATTAAAAAATCAACTCGTTAGTTAGTTAAAATATTAGGAAAAAAAACCTAAAATAACTTACGATGTTTTTGACATCCTTCTACATTCTCGGGCCAGTCACAGGAGTGCGAGCGTTCGTTGTACAACAATCCACCGATACACAATTGTTCGGTGGCGGTACCATTCCAGCACGTCCAGTAACGCGTGCAGGAAGTTTCGTGTCCGAAAATACCGTACAACCAGTCGCAGTGTTCCGTTCCTATTGGCGCATCTATAAAACAAAATTTTTAACTTTTAAGCCACGCCCACGACTATAAATTAATTAACAGAGCAAAAACTTACTAGCTTGTTGTTTATTGTCGCAATAGTTTGACCGCCACGGATAGTCACAACCCTCAGTGACGCCGCGATTCTTCCCGGCGAAAACCAACCCATTCGGGCAGTCGTACAATTCAGCCTGCCCATTTACGCACTCCCAGTAGCGGTCACAATAGGTGGCGTCACCTACGACTCGTGATTTTGTCTGGCAGGGATCCTCCTGATTAGATTTTGATTGTTGCGCACTCGCTGCTCCTAAAAAATCAGAAAAACAACTTAAAATCAAGAAGATCATCAATTTTAAAAGTGTTTTCAAGTATTTAAGTATGTTTAAGCCCCGCCCACACACCGAGATGCTTATGTAATTGCATAAACGCGCAAGTATCTTGACCGCACCTATAAAATACCGAGTGTTACAAAAAAACAATGAAAAGATAAAAAACAAAACCAAAATAATTAATAATTCATATCACAATTGAATAAAAAACGTGTGAGTTATACAAACGCCATGTTTATGAAACACATCACGTTGCGCATGCAGACATTTGTCGAAAGTTCACGGTCATGAGAGAATTTAAATTGAATCCATAGTTGAATACCGTTACGAATAATCGCGAAACGAATTGAAGTTAAATAAACACAACGAATTGCAACTGTGCGCAATAAGACTTTCTCTCGAATGGCACAAGAATAGACATTTTCACACACACACACAATATACAGTGTGTCACATTGTTGTATTCATCCTAATCATCTTGGGAATGATTTCAATGTCAATTTTTATTCATCAAACAAACAAACAAACAAAACACAAAATAAAAATTGTTTTTCTCACGCGGTGAATGTAGATTCTAACCTCAAGGCCGAAGATGCAATCAATTAGCTTCAAAAAACATGCAATTATTGATTTCGGACGTGTTGAGCAATATAATAAATAGTTGAGACGGTTCGGAGTGGTTTCGACATTTGCGCGTATTTTATCTGCCGTGAATAAATTAGAGCAGCAGACATTCCACGAAGCGGAGAACGCTCACTGATGCAATTCGCGTTTCGCGATCATCGATTAAGAAAACGCAGAAAAAAACACACAACATTTGAAGGTTGAACATAAGTTATAAATCTGATATAGATATTGTATCCATCTATGGATAGATATGGATGGAGATAATAAAATAAGTGAGAGTTTTCGGTTTCGGTCGGCGGGCGCACTTTCTCTGTGAGATGAAGACGCAGCATTCGCAGTGAGCGCGCGCGCTTTCTACTTACAAACACACAAACTCACCCGAAATCACTATTAATGCCTTCTATCAACTCTAAACGCAGTTTTATTACCTTGAGAGCAAGGAAAAAATCACTCCTTGTTAAATTATTAACTATTATGTTAACCTCGACTCGATTTTCCGAGCTTTAATTGCGTGTAATTAATGTTCTAACTTGATGTGACATTTTTTATGGTGATGATTTACGAGATGTTAGATAATAAACATGGTTACGCGATGATGTGATTGAGAAATCGTAAGATGCGACATGTTATTATTAGATTATGTAAGATGAACTGTCATCCGAAGGTGTTTTGCACCGCGAAAATTTGCATTTCAATTATGAAAGTGATGAAATGATTATTACCAAGGTAATAAATACATGCGTTTTTTATCTAGGCGGAAATTTGTGCGTCTGTTGAAGTCGTTTCGTGTTATATAACCGGCTGAATTCTGTTACGTGTCGAACTTTCTTGCCCGCCCGAAGAGAAAGACATTTTATTGATAAGCGCGCGCGCGCGCGCGGCCGAAAGAAGAAAGTGTTATGAAAGAGTAAAAGTACGATTTGAATACATATGCGTATTTACCGATAACTAGCAGGAGTCCAAGGCACAAGTCACTTTTGTACATCGTGTTGCGGCTGATCTGGCGGGTCGGTATGAATTTGTGTGGTCACTTCCGCTCGTGGACTCGTCTCTCCACCGCTCGAATGACTTTCTTTGGTTGGCGGCTCCGCTGGGTGGCGAGGTGTGCGTTATGTCTTCGTCGTCGGGCGGTCGGCAGCGGACTGGCCGATGGAAAGCGCACCGTCGTGCTTTTGACGATGTACGCCCGCTGAAGATTCAATTCCACCCAAGCCAACCGCCAACCAAGCGAGCAAGGCATGAAGCAGTGGACGCGTTGTATATTAATATTAATTTTAATATACAATTTAAGTAAAGTAAAGGTAAGGTAAACGAGGTAGGTATAGTTATATTTATTATTATTTTTTTACTCTTGATGATGTTGTTTGGTTTGTGATGTGATTCAGGTCACATTTAATCGTAAATCACAAAATAAATGATATTGTGGGTTTTATTGTTGTGTGTGTGTGTCGTTACACTTATTTTTGTTGTTTGCGGTTTCGGCAGCAAGTTCAAGTGCAGAACGCGTCCGTGACGAATGACAAATGCGCGCAATGAATATAAATTTCGACTTTTCTAAAATCAACGATCGAAAACAACCGAATTTCTAATTTTAATCAATTTTTAAGTAATTTCTTCAAAGTTTTACTTGATGAAAGTCAAGATTATATTTATATATTAATTGTTTTGTTTTATTGCTCATGAAAAGATGTAAAGCCTGTTTTTCCAACGGCAAAACGCAAGTTGCAGCACAAGCGTTGATTTTATTTAGCTATAAAATTAAAGTAAAGTTTCGCATGCAATAACTTTTGATGTAAAAATCGCAGGATGATGAATTATACGTCATTTGATAGATAATTTAAAGGAGTATCATGGTGCATAATTTGAAATGAATTTTATTATCCTGAATTAAGTTACAAGGAAAAAACTATACGTTTACAGATTAAACAATTAAAAAATGATTTTTTAGTTAAAACTCAAATAAAAGCTCCAAAAAAGTTGATATTTAAACCAATTTATATATGAATGCATAGACAATTTAATATTTTATAAATTTTTAATTAAATCAACTAGATTTTATGCTTAATACTCGTTTTATCAGTAAATTACTGATCTAAAACAAGGAAATTTCTAATTCTAATCAATTTTTAACAAATTTCATCAAATTTTACCCGATGAAAGTCAACAAATTACATTCATAAACCAATATTAAATAATTGCAAATCCTCTGAGCGTTAAAACCTTTGAGCGCATCGCGTTACGACTAAATACGTAATAATTTACAATAATTAATGTGTAATAGTGTAGAAGCAATATAGAAAAAAAACCGAACGCTAAACGCACTACGCTTCATCTTGCGTTATAAAACACGTAAATAAAGGTGCGTGCTCATATCATCATCTGTTAGATTAATAAAAACCGCGCACAAACGTGACTTTCTCTTATTCGACCAGTGATCGACTTAAATTCGTATCGAAATTCTTGCAACACCTTCTATAATTTATTTCCACCGATCCTAAACGAATATTATCCAAATGATTTCTAATTGTATGCAAGCCAACGCCCCTCGTTAAATAATAATTGTTTGCAATTACGATGAGAATCATTATTAAACGATTAAATAATTCCGCAGCGTGTTTAACGCTTGCCTGCGCCGAATTAATTAATTAATGCACTTTTAAGTGCACGCAGCGCGGTCAACAACTCGCGAAAACACACAACAATAACAATAACAACAAATGAAAGCTGTGCACGCTTCGGAAATCTGCTAAAACTGTTCATTAACACGTTCAAAATGTTAAATTGCTAACACAATGTATTTATTTATGTGTTGAACAGAGTTTCGTTTGTTTCCAGTGTGTTTTTCGCACAAAATGACAAAAACCAGCGTCGAGCAATAGATTTATGGTTAAATTGTTGCTGGTTTCAACATTTTTACCTAGATAATTAATTAAAAACGTTGCGTTACGCGTGTCTTTGCATCGAAATCGCGACTCTTGTAACCATGGCAACACAACAGAAACTAACAAAAGATTCCATCGACAATAAAACAAGCGAATTCCAAGTGAATTCGTCATGGGAAACGCTTGCAAAGGACATGCGAATCATTTTCAATGCATATTCACAACAACGGCGACAACAAGAATGACAACTATTACGCTAATCACCATCGTTGAGAATTAATAAATATGTTAGCAGCGGTTGCTCAATAATATTGCGCAAAAGGTACACCGAGCGCCATCTCGCGAATCACGCACGAATTACAAAAAGTTACTTGGCTAACCTTAACTTAATCACAAAATTACATAAATAACGATTAAAACCGATTAAAATGTGCGTAGAAAGTCTAATTAGTGACCCAGACCAAGGGTATTATCACTATGAGTAATAAATCGTATGGACAAAGTGCAAATGGTGCATTATTCACTTCAAAATTGAAGTTTTAATTGTACAAAATAGAAATGGCTCGACTATTGAATGAAAAAGTCTTCAAAGCAATCAAAGATTGCCACATAACACTGCGGTAATTGTTAATAAACAAACTAGAAGTTAAATAATATAATAATTTTGATTTTAGACCTGATGCACACCCTGGAACATGGCTAAGTTTACTTTTACCAGCTGCAATTATAATATCAGTGATAAAACACCCGAAAGAATGCTCAGAAGTTTACAAACTAACTGCTATACTTGCCATTGGATTACTGCTTACATCAATTATATTTATTATTCAATGCGTAAGAGAAAAAGATATCAGAAAAGTGACTGGATTGCATTGTGTACCTGGAGCTGTCACAGGATTCATTTATTATGCTATTATTGAAAAAGGTATGCATAATACCGGCCTAAACATAATAAAATACTAATTATTTTCTTCTGTAGGATTCGTGTTTGCATTTACAAGTGGCTTCCTCTCCGGCATAGGCTATTATCAATTGTTTTTGTTTCTCATGAGAAGATGCAAAGCGTGTTTCTCTGTCGGCGAGGCGCAACTTGCCGCACAAGCGTTGATTTTATTCCTGTACGGCGCCACAGTGACGATTTACAAGAGTTTATTCACTGTGCCATACACTAATATGGATATTGCAACGTTAACTATAAGTGTAAGCCATAAAAACACAAAAATAAATTAATTATTTAATTATTTTTGAATTTAATAGGTGGGATTGCTCAGCATTGGATTTCTGTGTATGTTATGTTATCTATTTCCACTCCTGAGGACTGTTACTATGTTCTATGTAACATTTGTATGCATTTGTTTATTTGGAATTATTATTCCGCTATGGATGTTGACACGGATCAATCCGTTATGGTGGATATTCACGTTTTTGTTGAAAAGTATCGGCACCGTAAGTGAAAATCAAAAAAATTATAAAAACATACGAAAAAAATTAATTTTTTAAATGAATTTTAGATAAAATTGACGTTTTACTGGATATTATGCTCGATACTCGCTGTGATAGCGATAAACCAAAGATCAGCGGATGAAACGAAAGCATCTACGACTGTTCGGAAAGTGTTTCACCTTCTGGCAGTCGCTGTGTTCCTTCCTGGACTGCTTTATGAATGCACTTTATTATATTTAGCAAGTGCTGTTGTTTTCGGTATATTTGCATTCTTAGAAGTAAGTTTTACGTTAAATTTATATAAAAAAACAAGAATTTTAATTATTATTCTCTTCTCTATTGCAGTTAATGAGAATATTAAAAATTCCACCGATTGGCGAAGCTCTCAACTCGGCATTTTCCGTATTCTCCGACGAAAAAGACACTTTCATCGCGCTGTCACCTTTATATCTCCTCGTGGGGATATCGTTACCAATGTGGCTGCATCCAGCGCCTTGTGACATTGCAGACTCATGCGGTTTCTATCTATTACCACTAGCTAGTGGTATCATAACGATTGGCATCGGTGACGCGGCTGCTAGTGGCGTTGGTTCAATTTTCGGTATGCACAAATGGCCCGGAACGAAAAAATCCGTCGAGGGAACAATCGCATGCGTCGCCACGCAACTATGCGCCGTTTTTATTCTGCTATACTTAGGATTGATAGCACGCGGACATTTATTACTCATTAAAGCGGCGATTGCCGCCATTGTTACCTCTCTAATCGAAGCAAAAACAACGCAGGTGGATAATCACACACTGCCCTTGATTATGTACATTATCGTTACGCTATAGCTATTATTTAAATGGACTGAATTTTATTATTAATAAACAAATACTGTTGATTTGTTGCATGCACTGGGAATATTTCAATTAAAAATTAAATGCAATTGTTGAAAATGATATTAAAGTCAGTTATGTGAATTTTTCTCCGCAGCGCCCTCTTACGAATAACATGTGTACAATTTTTTATTTATGTAATAATGCCAGGATTGATTTATGTTTGCGCATGCTCATATTTCGAGATAAGTATGTATGTACTCGTATGTAATTTTAATGCTCGGAGCGCGTTTCAAGTTTATTTGCCTACAAATGCCTCTGATAAGAGTACTAACATTCACATAAATATTTGATTTAATTTCCAGTCGGTGTATATCCGCGTAGCAAGAAGCAATACTAAAATTCTAAGCTAAAAATGTTGAGTTTCAGAAAGACACTTGATAAATGCCGCCATTTTGTGCGTAAATGTGCAAATTATAAATATTCAACTGTTTCGGGTGTTTCCATGACACCGAAGCCCAATTCTAATCCGGAGGTTATATACACAGGCGTGAGTCTTATAAAAATTAATGTTTTTTTAGTGTTTTTGATCTAAAAATTATGTTTTTCAGATTTTTTATAATAATGAATGGCATAAGAGTAAATCCGGCGCGACATTTGAAACAATCAACCCGAGCACTGGTAAAATAATCACCAACATACAAAAATCAAGCGCGGAGGATGTTAATATGGCGGTACAAGCGGCTAGCGAGGCTTTTAGGTTAGGATCACCATGGCGCACAATGGACGCATCGGAAAGAGGTTATTTACTACAAAAATTAGCGGATTTAATGGCTAGGGATGCAGATTATATCGCGGTAAACTAAATTTTAAACATTTTAAACTTCCTAACACTAATTTTACCTCTTCTATTAAAGAGTTTAGAAAGTTTAGACAATGGTAAACCTTTCATGTTTGCCCATCATGTGGATCTCCTAAGCTCCGTTAAAATTTTCCGCTTTTTCGCGGGTTTCGCCGATAAAAACTTCGGATCAACCACACCAATCGACGGTAACTACATAGCACAAACCCGGCATGAACCCGTCGGCGTCTGCGGGCAAATAATCCCCTGGAATTTCCCGATGTTAATGTTTGCAATGAAAGTGGCACCCGCATTAGCCACTGGTAACACTGTCGTTGTGAAACCAGCTGAGCAAACACCCCTGACCGCATTATACTTAGCACAACTAACAAAAGAAGCAGGTTTTCCACCCGGAGTAGTAAATATAGTGCCTGGTTATGGTGACGCAGGCGAAGCGATTGTAAAACATCAAAAAGTCGACAAGTTAGCATTCACAGGCTCAACAGAAGTAGGATTAAAGATACAGCAACTATCCGGAGTTGGAAATTTAAAGCGTACTACTTTGGAACTCGGCGGAAAGTCGCCGAATATTATCCTGGCGGATGTGGATGTCCCACAGGCAGTGGAGCATGCGCATCAGGCGTTGTTCTTCAACGCTGGGCAAGTATGCACGGCAGGATCACGGACGTTTATTGAAGAGAAAATTTATGATGAGTTTGTTGAGCGGTCCGTCGGACGAGCGAAGCAACGCGTTGTAGGCAATCCGTTTGATGTTAATACCGAGCAAGGTCCGCAGGTTGACGAGAAACAAATGAAGAAGATTTTGGGGATGATTGAGAGCGGGGTTAAAGATGGCGCGCAATTGGGTACCGGCGGGCAGAGATTCGGCGATGAGGGGTACTTTATTCAACCGACGGTGTTTTATAATGTTAAAGATGAGCATAAAATTGCACGCGAAGAGGTAACATGATATAAAATTTAATTATTTTTATAATTATTTTGTTTTTTTGTAGATTTTTGGTCCGGTACAACAACTAATCAAGTTCAAAAACCTGGATGAGATTATAGAAAGAGCTAATAATACGAATTATGGTCTAGCAGCTGCGGTGTTCTCGAAAGATGTTGATAAAATCAATTATTTGGTGCAGGGATTACGCGCCGGTACGGTTTGGGTGAATTGTTATAATATTGTCGGGGCACAAGCACCATTTGGAGGGTTTAAAGACTCCGGGCACGGCAGGGAAAATGGCGAGTATGGACTCAGACAATACACGGAAGTTAAAAGTGTTATTACCGCTGTACCGCAGAAAAACTCGTAATAAAAATCAAAATTTTCTAAATACCTGGAAGCCATCTTTAATCCTATGTGAAAATTCCATCACTACACTCACGATATGAATTTTAATTGTTAATCACTATTTGTTTGTATTTAAACAATGATAAAATGCACGCGACGGATTGCATTCACGCACGTTTGCACTAAACTAACAAAACAACGTGCGCGACAAGTCTCAACAAGTCTAAACACCGGATTTAATCGCAACAAGTGCATCGCAGCGCACTCTCCTCTCAAACTAGACAGTTATTCGATTTGATTTAATATTTCAAGGTGATGCACGCTCGACGAATAAATAAAACGAATAAGATTCAAGTTTGTGTCTCTTTAACTTACAATTCATGTCGATATCTCACGTTGCACTGATACCTCGTGTTGTTATCGTATAAAAGAAGAGAGTAAAAGTAAACAAACAAGCGATGCGCCGCACGCTGTGGCGTGATCTCACACGGACACGATGTGCACTCACTGACACACACAAGAAGTTTGCGCGCAATTTTAATTCTTGTAAAGTAAAGTAAATCGCAGCGCCATCTGGCGTTAAACTATGAAGTTATAAATATAAACACCACGCGCTTATGTTATCGTAGTTTTAAATCCATTTCTTCGTTTAATTAAATATGTTTCGCGCTATTATTTGTTTATAGAATTAATTGAAACATAGTAAATAAAAAAAATGTAATTTTTGCCGTTTTATATTATTAATAATCTACTTATTCGATTAAATTACTACTGTTTGTGTTTAAAATCAAATTTTCGAATAAAAGAATCGAGAAAGATTCGTGAATATTTATAAAATGTAACTTTGTGTCTTTACTACAAGAAATTCAACGTGAAATCTTGTGCTGCACATGATAATCTGGTTATCAGAAGACAAAAAACCAAAACAAACAAGCGATTCGCACCGCGTTGTGGCGTGATCTTACACGGACACGATGCACACTCACTACTACCAACCAATCAACTCCTCACGGAATTAAACTTCAGAAAAGTGCATCGCAGCGCCATCTGCACGCAAACCACTTACACTTACACTCAAATTTGAATGTTTCTAACACTTTCATGTATATTTTTCAAGAAATTTAGTTTATTCATGATTGTATATACATATATCGTAAATATATCGTGTGTATCACAGAAACATTAAAGATGTCCTCTTCGTTTATACATTTGTAAGTAAGTAAGTTTAGTTTTACGCTTAGTTTATATTTGTGTGTGTTTGCTTCCGGTTCGTTCTTCATTCCAGAAACAAGAAGTGTTAATACTTTCCATATACGCATACTCTTCACAAGTAATGTGTGGTTGTGTGGTTTGTTTTCATTTGGCACATCGAATATTAATAGAATAAGAAACTATCCAAAGGCTACGAAAAGACAGATCACAGTTTTTGAGAAACAATCGTCCACAATCGCACCTCTTAATCATCGAATATTATTTACAACATTTTAAATACTTTTCCATCTTTGTAAAGTCGTTAATATAATAATATAACCAACGAGATAAAACAAACGAAAAATAGAGCATCTCTTCATGTTTTACACATTTGGTTTTTGGTTTGGTTTGTAAAAGTAGATCATTAGAAATAGAAGTATTTCGGTCCCTTCGTTCGGGAATAAATGTTTCACTGCTTTGTTTGGCACTGAGATAGAGATAGAGAGAGGAAACTGTTAACTACCTATGCGTATTCGAAAATAATCCGCCTCACTTTCCAGTGTAATAATACCGTAGAAAAAATGATTGTATCTGTTGAGTGAGTGTTGTGTTCCGTTGGCTGTGATTACATTTAGCACATTTAGATGAGTTTTAATGTTTATGTACAATATCTATGACATCGCATGCCAATTGGGCAAGAGCTGACCCACTCTCATCGATGAATGTCGACTGAGGTTGTAGTAAACCGTCTCACCACCGGCCAAGATGGCGCCCCAGATACCAAACGTGCCATAATCAAATATGGAATGATTACAGGCGGCTAAAATGGCCAAATCCAGCGCTGGTGTGTTTGGCAACGCACGACTCGGAACATAAACATTCCGCATACCTCCGAATTTCCTCTGACACCATCTTGGATCATCCGAAATCACCACGAACAGCACTTCCCTTCCATGAAACTTTTTCTTGTAGTAATTCATCGCGGTTATATAAAACTGCGGCTCCGCAGGCGGGACGCCATGTTTCCTCCATAGATAGCCGATATAATCAGTCCTCCTGATGTGCACACCAACAAAAACAAAAGAGAATGCATTACCTTTGGATTTAATACCTTCCACAGCCGCGCGCAGCACTTGCTGACTCTTCACCCGCCATTTTCGCCGAAATGTAAACTCGGAGACAATGTCATGCACCCATGTGAGGACCACATCCGGTTGGATTGAGTACCGTGGCAGTACAACACTTTGATTGTTGTAATTCCATGCCTCCAGTGATCGTACAAACCTGCCTAAGTCCAGTGGACAATGCGCAATGTCCTCGAAACTCGGAATGCTTAAACTTTCGAAAATCTGTTCCAATTTCACTTGGATACATCTTGGAATGTATGCTTCCAGTCCAGTTCTGCGTGCTACAGCCCACACGCTTGCATACTCCCACATTTGATTCCCCAATCGCCCACCTTGGACAATTGTAACAATGGCACCTCTTGGACAATTCGTGGATCCTTGCGTTGTGGTCTGCCAGGGGCGTCTATGGCGTAGATTCGCCATGCACAGGGACTGCTCGAAATCGAAGTACGTCTTCGTGGCGAAGCGTTTGGCGTCGGCATCGTACAGCGGGAAGAGGAACACGTGCACGAAGCTGATCACGCACAGCGCTAGGATGGTCGCCACGAAGAGCAGATTCTGATGCGGATTGATCATCTTTCATCTCTGCCGGTGCTTGGCTCTCGTACCATTTTTTCGCTTTTCTTCCGGTAACATTCTCGTCGTGATTGCAATCCCAGATGAAAACTTAAATTTTACCAAGTTTTTGTTTGCTTGTCTCTTTATCTAGTTGTATTTTATGAAAGCGCGTCTTAAGCATTATTTGCTGTGTCGAATTCTTGTTAGCGTTGGGTTTTTCTTTACGTTTGCACTACAATACTGGTTGTAAAAACGAAAAATCGTGCGAATATCGGTGCCTACAGGTAGCGCAGCCGGCTCTACATCTTGTCGGTGACTGCGAGCGGCGGATCCCGCCGCTTTGCCGCCGCCACCACAGCCTGGGACGCGCATGCTGAGCGCCGACGCTATCGATTTCTATCTCGCGTCGCTCGGCTTCATCATCCCAGCACACACATTTAGTTTTCATCGCATCACAACATGAAACAAAAATCAAATAAAACTATTTCCGAAAAACTTAAAGAACAAAACAAAGAAATACGCATTGAATGTGAATGTAATTAATGGCGCCGAGAAACCTTACGTTGTGTGTAAATAATTCACGCGTAATTGATCCCTTGGCAATCATTACTTTCCGCTATTCCGGCCATCAACACGTAGTATCCACATCCACCTGCCCCACTTTTCAAAGTTTCATATTTCATTGCTTCCTGTCTTCCTCTATTGCATGCCGTTAATTAATTAACTGAATTCCCATACAATTCAATTAGAAAAGTTGATTTTTGTTGAAAATTCCGGATGGTATTTATAACTACAAGGGCGTAACGACGTCGTCACATGATTAATGACGTCAATGGAAAGCTGCGAGCCGAACCACGTACATAATTCATGACTTAATGCGAGCATTTTCTCCCCCGGAATGCATTATTAGGACACACGCAGGATACGCGCGGTTTTTCTCATCAAGCAGTAGAAGTACGAAACAAAATATTTAATATTTTCCACGTTCTGCATCGCTCCTCGCATAAAAACATACATTATATTATATAATAACCATCAAATAATGTATTCGTTTGACTACCTACTTCTTTCTTCCTCTTCGACTTTTCATGTTTCATGCACACATTTCGAGCATTCATTCAATTTCAATTTGCATTGCATTCGTACCGGAATCAGGATTTGTTTCTAACTGCTATATCACCGCACAGTATTTCCATTTAGTCATTATTATCTACAGCATCACACAATGAAAACAAACGCGATGCTTGTTTTTCTCTCCTTCATCAGAAAATGGAAATATATAATTGTCCGCGTGCGATGATAAGTATCGAGATGATCAAGTATGTACATAAGTAAAAAAAGGGACAAACACAAGAATGTCGCGCGCGCCGCCGCTCCACAGGTAATTCAAACGGAGGGGCGGCGGCGCGCTCATCCAACACCCTAGCACGTCATGAGAATAAATGGTATGCGCGCGCAGTGATGGGTGAGGATGATTTTCATCGAATTGTTTTTTGGTTGCGTTTTTCGTAGCGGAGAATTTTACGAATTTTAGGTTTTCGAATGGTGATCAAGTTTAATTCTTCTCTTCTTTCTTCTCCTGTTTGTCACTGGAGGCGGCGTCTTGCTGTTGGTTGGCTTGATTGCTTCCCTCACGTTCAGCAGCCATCTTTAATAAGAAAAAATGTTAGGATTTGAGGTTATAAAGAGGAAATTTGATTACTTTTTTGTATGCCATCTCGAAGAGTTTCAAAGAAGACTGTTGGAGTGTGCTGGTGGTTTTGCGGATTTCCTCCGGGTCCATCTCGTCCTTCTTGGCGAGCATTTCGCGTACTTTACCGATTTCCTCCTTGAGTTTCTCGCATTCGTCCTTGGGCAGCTGATCCTTGTACTCTTCCATTTTGGTTTCAGTATCGTGGACGATACCTTCCGCCTGATTGACAGCCTCAACACGATCCTTCTTTACCTTATCAGCCTGTGCGTATTGCTCGGCATTCTTAACCATATTCTCAATTTCGTCCTTGCTCAGACCACCAGAAGACTGGATAACAACTATAAAACATTTTAAAATTAATTCATGATAAGTTTACATAAAATAAAACACAAATTACTTTGTTGTTCCTTTCCTGTGCCCTTATCCCTAGCAGAAACATGCACAATACCATTCGCATCGATATCAAAAGTGACCTCAATTTGTGGTACACCCCTCGGCGCAGGCGGGATACCAACCAGTGTGAACTGCCCCAGCTGCTTGTTATCCGTCGCCATCTCACGCTCACCCTGATGCACCTTAATCTCCACCTGCGTCTGGCCATCAGCAGCCGTCGAGAATACCTGACTCTTCTTGGTTGGAATCGTGGTATTCCTACCGATGAGTCTAGTGAAGACACCGCCGAGTGTTTCGATACCCAGCGACAATGGGGTGACGTCCAACAAGAGTACATCTGTAACATCACCGGCCAAGACACCGCCCTGGACGGCTGCGCCGACGGCAACAGCTTCGTCTGGGTTTACAGCTCGCGATGGCTGTTTGCCGAACACTTCCTGTACGGTGGCTTGTACCTTAGGCATGCGACTCATACCACCAACCAGCAAAACCTCTCCAACGTCGGATTTTGACACCTCAGCGTCCTTCAACGCCTTCTGGCATGGCTGGACAGTGCGCTTGATGAGATCACCTACCAATTGTTCGAATTTCGCGCGGGTGAGCTTCAGATTCATGTGTTTAGGCCCAGATGCATCCATGGTCAAGTAGGGGAGGTTGATATCGGTTTGTAGAGAGGAAGACAATTCAATCTTGGCCTTCTCAGCGGCTTCCTTCAGACGTTGCATCGCCATGGGGTCCTTGGTGACGTCCAAACCTTGCTCTTTCTTGAATTCCTGCACCAGATGATTGACAAGCAGATTGTCAAAGTCCTCACCGCCGAGGAAAGTGTCACCGTTGGTGGATTTCACCTCAAAGACACCTTTTTGGATCTCCAAGATGGAAATATCGAAGGTACCACCGCCCAAATCATATACAGCAATGCTAAATTGATAAAATTCATCAATATTCTGCTAAATTTAAATTAAAAACATGAAAAACTTACATTTTATCTTCAGTTTTATCCATACCATAAGCAAGAGCAGCCGCAGTGGGTTCGTTAATCACCCGCAGCACATTTAAACCAGAAATTTGCCCGGCATCTTTCGTAGCTTGGCGCTGCGAGTCGTTGAAGTAGGCTGGGACAGTCACAACGGCGTTCTTCACCTTTACGTTCAGGTACTGCTCGGCAGTCTCCTTCATTTTGATCAGCGTGAATGCTCCAATCTGACTTGGCGAGTACATCTTACCGTCGGAGCCTTGCACCCAGGCATCACCATTCGAGGCGCGGACGATTTTATACGAAACATTGTTCCTGGACAAACAAATCACAAATTAGAAACGTGTTTTTGTGATATTTATATAACTTACATGTCTTTTTTGACCTCGGCGTCATCAAAACGCCTGCCAATCAGACGTTTTGTCGCGTAGAAGGTGTTAGACGAGTTGGTGACGGCTTGACGCTTAGCTGGCATGCCCACAAGACGTTCGCCTTCCTTGGTGAAAGCCACCACCGAGGGGGTGGTGCGTGAACCTTCAGCATTCTCGATAACCTTAGCTTGTTTGCCTTCCATGACCGCGACGCAGGAGTTGGTTGTGCCAAGATCGATGCCAATAACTGCGCCTTTTACGCCTTCGGACTTGTATCGTAGTTGGTTGTACTTTGGATTGCTTACAGAAGCACATTGTGCCTGAAAAACCCAAAAATTTATTAAAATTTAATTTAAAAACCGGCGCTAATGCTTAAATATTAGAAAATTTTAATTGTTATTAAAGAAACATCATAAAACTAGTTAAATTTTATATATTTTTAAGTTATTTTACTGTTTTTACTGAAAAAAATTGAGTTGTAAAATTTTCCAATAAGAAAAGATGGCCGTGAACTTTGAACAATCATTTTGCACAATCAAAAATCATAAAACCGGCGGAATTACCCCTTAACAATATAATATTTCTAATTATTTACTGGTTGTTTTCAACCCGGTATGTTATATAACCAAATCAAGCATGGTAAATTCCGGCATGAGGTCCATTGCCGACCAAAAAAACGTGTCGCCGCACTTACCGACTGCAGCAACTGTGAGAATCGGCGAGCCGCTGCCGCATCTTGGCCCAACTTGGCGCAGTCAAGAGCACGCCGGCTCAACATTCTCGCTGCGGACAACATCTTCAAGCTGTTTGTGGTGTTCTTTTCGTTGGCGTTCAGGAAATTTCGTCGATGATTGCAGGGCGCCGCACTTCACGTGCTCACTATCGAAACGGGGACTGAAATTGCGAGACGTTCGAGAATTTTCGTGAGCGACAGACCTATACAGTAATGGCTGCCAACCGTAAAACAAAAAATTTCTTACTAGAAACACGTCGTCTAATTTAAATTCCAGTCAAATCACTATAGTTACGAAATCGTTAATTGACCACAATAACAATCAATTGTTTATTAAGCTATAATTATAGCGATAAACAATGATTTTAAATAATTTCTTATAGGAAGATAATGTAAAAGTTACTAGAAAATGGTGGCAGGTTTAAATCTGGTGATTTTCTAGTGTAAATTCTAGAATATTCTTTTACGACGCATTTGAGAATATTCCAAACGTACAGGATCTTCTGGAATTCTTTTTTATCAATTATCCTGATAAGAAATCGCTTGACGATTGGTTCTTAAAACAATAATGCAATGTTAACCTCATAATATCCCCAGTCCACCATTTTCTCTCGCAGTTAATGCGCAATATTTCACAATTTACTACACAACCAACACGCAAATGTAACAAGCAATAAAACAAACTCACATTTCAAACATGGGTAACGCAGCCTCCAACACCTGGGCGATGAACTACCGCCTCCTGAAGGGTATCCACGACGACGCTTACAAACACATCGACCGTGCGATCACCCTCGAAGAACAAGAACAACCAAATCAAGCGATTGAAGCCTACAAAGCCGGAATACTCACAATTGATAAGGCCCTGGACGTGGTGATAGCATGCCCGGATAATCCAGATGACACCTGGAGGGATGCCTGCACAATGGTGCAGAAGATGAAACAATCCAGGGCTGAGGTTCTTCAAAGGATCAATGCAATCACATCATCTCCAGATTTTGTGCAGATGGAACCACCTCCAATGTATGATCATGTTGTTGATGGACAAGCAGAATCACACAGTCCAGAGAGATTGAGGACTTATAGTGAATTAGCAGAGGCTCTGGATAATCTGAAGATAATTACACCTCAAGGTGAGGCTGATATCCTCATCAGTTGTGATAATGTTGTGCAGTACTTCATATCACCCAATGGGAATGGTACAGTTGATCAATTGGAACCTCAGAAGATGAACATTGCTATTTTACAAGGTAAAACATAATTTTTCTGCGTTTTTTTTACATAAAATCTCTAATTTTTTGTTATTTTTTAATGTTTAGATGGATCCCAAATGTTATACTTCCTGCAGATTGGAAACTGGATCTACCCTTTAGTACCAGGTGTTTCCCCCTGTTACAGAACAGAATACAGAGCTTTTATATTCCCTGATGTGCATTCAGCTGTAGAGGGCGCTTCTGTTGGTATCGTCATACCGAAAGACGCCGATGCTTTAGTTCTTGAAATCCTCGAAGATATCTTACTCGGCGTCCACACAGATGAGAAAAAAGACAAACTTTCACGTCAAAGACGTGCTGAGCCACATCCGCAACCAGGCAGTTCGGTTGCGAGTGGACTTGTCACAGGCGCTGGGTATTTATCTCGCGGGTTGATATTTACAGCGACCAAAGTCGGCGATTTGTTGAACTACGGTACCCCGAAAGTAATCGCTAATATAACTCCTGCGCAAACATCGGAAGTACCAACAAATGTTCGGAAAACTTTACAAATCGCCGAGAAAGGCACTGGGAAAGCCGCGGAAGTTACCGGAGTAGTCGGTATGTATAAATATTAAATTTAAAAAGTTAAAATTAATAAAAATAAGAATTTTAGCGTCAAAAATTGGGGTAGCGACCAATAAACTAGGCCAATTCCTAGCGCCGCATATTGAGCGTCAGGGAACTAAATTATTAACTACTGCGTTCAATTACACCGAAGATGAAGCTTCCAATCGTGTAAATGGAGTTCTCACAGTCGCAGCTGGAGCTGTTGAGGGTTTCGGCACAGTTTACCAGGGTCTGCATCAGTCCGCCGCCATCTTGGGCTCGAATCTCAAAGATAACAGCGTGAAAATCGTCCAGCACAAGTACAATACAAATTTTAGTTATAAAAAATAAAATTAAACCTGCATGTTTACTCATATCATCTCTAAAACTAAAAAACTAAAAATTTATTTAGTTTTTCATGCTTTTTTAATGCTTTGCACTCATTTTCATCGTAAATCTCTGTAGATATGGTGAATCAGCGGGTGCCTTGGCGAATGACACGCTTGGAACCGTCGGGAATGTGATCAGCATCCGCGGCAACGCGAAAATATTCACACCCAAAGGCCTGGCGAAGAGTACAATAAAACAAACCGGCAAGGCGATGATCCGTAGCACTGCAGCGAGCGCCATCATGGCGAATGCACATGCTTCCGGTAGTAGTAATAGTGAACAGGCGGTGGAACCATCATCCGGTGGTGGGGGTACTGTGGTGAAGAAGAGTGATAGCCAAGAAAAAATGTGATTTTAAAAGTATTTGCCTATATTCTCGGAGTGTTTATACTCAAATGAAACCGAAAACGAATGATATTCGCATTGTAATTAACTCTGAATGTTTAAATTATTTCTATTATAATCAAATAAAATGAATTCGTTTTCGAAATACGTTTAATCTCGGATGATTCGTGCTCGTTTCCTATGAATATCACATTATTTCCGTACATACAATAAAAAAGAAAGCCAAACAACAAACCCTAACCTCACATTGGACACAACACACAGACGATAACGAGAAAGTGTGACTCTTACCCAATAATAATACACGGCGCATGCGCGATTATTTACAATGTTCATCATGGCAGCTGCATTTCGTGCGCGCCGGCATGATACACCGCAGGACATTACACAGCACACCGCACCATGGCGTACCGGCTGCGGTGGCGGACGCAGCGACACCACCAACGGCGGAGACGCGCGATGCATGCGGTCGCAGCCAGCGCGCCTCGCACTCCCGACGGAATCATCTAACATCCGAATCGGTGCTGCTCGAGCAGTCTTCGGGTTTCACGATTTGATAGGTTATGAAATACTCGGGGTACGCTTGCTCGCCGCGATACACTACATATTCGGGGAAGTTGAGACCGCCGGCGGATGGTCGGCCAGCTACGGAATGATGGCCGGGTGGCGCATGCGCCATCTTCATCGCGCTGAATTGCAGGAAACTTTTTCCAAGCGTTACTCGACAGAGTAATAAATGCCTAAGTAAAAACATAAAAATTTACATTTTTCAAACATTTTCGAGGTTATCTTACCTGTGACAAATGTAACATGAGCGATCTTTATGTAGTGGACATCCTGTGCCACCACCGATGCCATATACATACTGATTACTCTTCGATGAGTGCTCAGCGAAGTAAATGCCAGCGCCAAACATACCGCCAATGTACGCATGACGCTCGTCGAAGCCTTTCTGCACAATGGCGTTGATAAACGGCGAGCCATGAAACAACATTCGCTCATTCGGTTGATTATTATTCTCTTCCGCTACTTCCGAGCGTCTGTGACGATACCGCTCCCATAACTTACGATTTTGTACTTTTTGTATCTAAAATTACGCTTGTAGTAACCTAACCCCACAACAGGTGTATAACAAGTTGCCTACTTACTCTCACAATATTATACCGCATGAAAATCCCACCCGCATGTCCATTATCCCGATGCTCTCTAATACTGTTCTGCATTTCTTCCTCCACGGCAACAAACTCCTTATCATCCGCTAGTAAATCCACCAATAAAGTTCCGGGATTCAACGGAGTGGACCACATTCCGCCATAACTCGAAACCAACTTCTCCATACCTTTGATGAGTTTATGCCTAAACCCATACGCAGTAACCCCGACTTGTTTAAGATCCTCATGACCCATTTCCGCGAGAATATCAAGCGTGATCTGTTCACGCTCGAATAATTCGAGTAAATGCTCTAGTTGCATGGACGCTAAGAACGCGTTCACATTGACAATACTACCGGCTTCAGCGCCATCTGCTTTGGCACAACCTTCCGGTACAGACATGGACATACTAGCACGCGTGGGTACCGGAACAGAAAGCGTCATAGAAGCGCCTGAAGGCATAACAACTGTTTCCGTTGAGTTGACAGGCGGGACAGGGTTTTGCGCGACGCTAGGCGGGCGAGAATTAGGCGCGGAGGAAGTTGGTACCAATTGTTGCGACGCCATTGCGTCCTGCAGTAAAGATCGGACATCTTCGGCCGAGGCGAGATCAACAGGCGATTGAGATTCTTGGTTTTTGAGGAATGGATCAGCACCATGAGCCAACTAATTAATAAAAATTAATAATAATACCTTTAAAACTTGAAATAAACTTACTAATAGTGCGCATAATTGCGTGCGGCCTTTCTGTGCGGCTTCATGCAGCGGTGTGAAGCCCCACTTGTCCGTAGCGTTGACTACAGTGTTGAATTTAATCAACAAAGCAGCAATGTCCAAATGTCCATAGCTAGATGCATTGTGCAGCGGGATCAAACCGCCTTTGTCCTGCGCGTTGACATCAGCGCCATGATCCAATAAAAATTCAGCTACTTCCACATTATTATAACCAGCTAATAAAAAAATCACAATTTAGACAAAATTAAAAAAAACATAAAAACTAACCTGCTAGATGTAATGGCGTCGAATTCCTCCCCTGTGCATCTCTGCAATTAATATTCTCCGGCGTGACAAGCCTCTGCACACGTGTAAGATTCCCTTTCTTCGCTGCATCAAGCAACGCGGCATTCCCCCGCAATAAATCCGCCACATCCTGATCACCATCCCGTGTCAAATCCAATGGCGTCGCACCATCACGATTCTTCTTACTCGGATCAGCGCCATGTTTAAGCAGCAGCTTAACAATCTCATACTTCCCCTTCGCTGCAGCCTCATGCAACGGCGTAAACTTCCACAAATCAGCTACATTCACACTAGCGCCATGTTTGACCAACAATTCCGTGACTTCATAATGTCCATAACTGCATGCGTTGTGCAGTGGTACCAACCCACCTTTATCCTTCGCATGTACATCCGCACCGGATTGCAGGAGGTATTCAACCACCGATACACGATTATAACCCGAAGCGAAGTGCAATGGCGTCGAGTGTCGCCCGTCCAAATCGCGACAATTCACGATGTGTGGATATGTGCCTAACAAACGCTGGACTTGTTCCAAGTCGCCAGCCTTGGCAGCTTCGAGAAGTTGACACTCGACGTCAGCGCTACCCGCGGGTGGATCTTGCAGGATTTTTAAAACATTCTCAGACGCAACCTGCGCTGCTGTGTAACCGTGTAGACTTACTAAACTGACGTCTATGTTGTAAGACATTAAAATACGACATGATTGTACATTATCTTCCTTTGCAGCGCGGTGTAAAGCCGTTTGTCCAACACCGTCTAAAGAATTCACCTTCGCGCCGTGTCGGAGAAGTAAATCCATCAAATCATAATGACTTTGATCGCTTGCCAAGTGCAACGCGGTGAGAAACTCCTTGTTTTTCGTTGAGATTTATACCTTTACGAATCAACAACTCGAGAACCTGTTTACGTTTGGGGTACATCGATGTGATCACGCAGTGGAGGGCAGTGTCGCCGGTGTAGGGATGTTTGAAGTTGAGCGCGTCCTGGGAGAGATACTTTTTGATTTTGGTCGTGTCTGCCTGGCGGGCTGCTTCCAGCAGACAGTGTCCTTTATATTCATCTTTAAATATTATTTTAAATCAATAAAATTTAAATTAAATTTAAATTTAAGTTGAATATAGTTACATGTGAGTCTTTCTTGTAGTTCTCGTGTTGGTGCGACATCTATTGCACTCTTTGAATGGCAGTTGAGTTGTGTGGGATCCGCGCCTTCGCTGAGGAGAAGAGAGCAGACTTCCACGCGGCTTTTTGATGCTGCTTCGTGTAGGGGAGTGAAGGCCCAGAGGTCGTTGGCGTTGACGTTCGCGCCGTGTTTGATTAACATTTCAGTCACTTCGAAGTGACCGTAAGAACAGGCGTTGTGTAATGGGACCAAACCACTAAGAAAAATAACAGAAAAACAATTTAAATAAGTTTTAAGCTAGAAATTTGTAAATATTTCGTTGTTATATTGAGTTTTTCGTTAAAACGAAGTAATAATGTATTGAATTTTGGTGCCCTATGTTGGACTTGCGGTATATCCACCGAACATAGGACTAATAGTGTATTTTCTATTAAAAAAAATTAGTTTAAAATGATATTATTGGTGATATTAGAGTAATTCATTCGCCAATCAATCATTTTTAGCATTTTTTGTGTTTTTAAATGCTATTTTTACTAAAATTTTACCAAAAACGCAAAAAAAGGCTTAAATTTTGTGGTCCTATGTTGGACTTGCGGTATATCTACCGAACATAGGACTAATAATGTATTTTCATAAAAGAAATAGTTAAAAATGATATTATTGGCAATATTTGCGCGATTAGTTTGATAATTAATGATTTTTAACATGTTTTGTGTTTTTAAATGCTATTTTTACTAATATTTTACCAAAAAAACACAAAAAAGGCTAAAATTTTGTTGTCCTATGTTGGACTTGCAGTATACACACCGAACATACGCCTACCAATGCAATTTTTAAATTTTTCTTCAATTTCCTTTCTTTTTTCAACATTTTTCGACTTTTTAAAGCTACTTAAACCCCAAAACTCTCCATTTTCTTCTCAAAAACACGCCCAAAACTATTTTTTACAAACTAAAAATCACTTACCCTTTGTCTTTAGCATGTACATCAGCTCCATGATGCAACAAAATATCCACAACCCGACTCCGATTGTACCCAGCAGCCAAATGCAGCGGTGTCGACCGCCTCCCATCATCCGCATGACAGTTGACATTCAACGGCGTCAGCAACGACAACAAACGCTCTTCGTCACCTGACCTCGCAGCGTCCAACAACTCATCCTTGTGATATTCACCGGTTAACACCGGTTTTGTAGTCATATCAGCCACTTCCGAGGGTGTTTTACCTTCGGAGTTGCGGATATTTACATCGGCGCCATGTTGTAATAACGCTAAGACAAACCAAAAACATTTTAAACCTTTTTTAAATAAATAAAAACAATAAAATTCATACCAATGCAAACATCTATCTTTCCTTTGATAGCTGCTTCATGCAATGGAGTATAATTCCAATTATCTCTTGTGTTGGGATTCGCGCCAGCTTCCAACAAGAGACGCACCACGTCCGCATGACCAAAAGAACATGCATTGTGCAGTGGATGAAGACCTCCATCATCTCTAGCTTGAATTGAAGCGCTTGTAGACAGGAGAAACTCTACAACGTCTTTTCTTCCATAACCTGCAGAATAAAATTTAAAAAAAGTAAAAAAAATGATATTTTATTAAATATTAATTAAAATTAAAGTTAATATTCACCTGCTGCAAAATGTAGTGGTGTAGATTTACGTCCAGCAGTGTCTCTGGCATTGACTGTCTGCGGAGTAATCAATTTCCTCACCCTGGCGATGTCCCCCGTCTTGCAAGCCTCGAATAATTCACGTAGAGGATCATTGGAGGCCGTCTCCATGGACGCGTTCATCAATGCCGCGCGTCTCGCCATCATCGTCACGGACTTTACCCACTGAAGCCTTTTGGCACTACTTTTCAATCACCTCCTGATATTACCTGCTCGCTGGCGGCACTGGTGCAGACTTTAGAAAGCGAAACATTGCGAGGACGATGAATATTTCGCAATCACACACGGAGTACAGAAATCTTTCGCACGTTGGATACAATTACAACTTGTTTATCAGCCTACAGCGCGCCTACGCTTTGTACTCGTCCTGCTATCAGTACTATACTAGCAAACACAACTACTGTTGGCTTGTGGTTGTGGAAGCAGTGACTATGCCTACACAACTGCATGTATTCTATATGTGTTTGTGTGTTGTGTGTGTGATCGTGTTTTGTTTTTTCTAGCTCTTGTTGCTGTTGGTTGTCGCTTGTGGACGTGCGCAGGAAAGGGGAGACCTGCTTTTACGTCATAGACGAGCAGGTAACTTACACAAGCGTAGTGCTTGAGCAAGTCGGGCCCCCGCTGCTGCTGCTGCGCGAGAGTCAACAAACTTTGTTGCCACTTTCCTGCCGTCCTAGCTTACCAATCGCTGCACGCGCTGCACCAAACTGCACTTTGCGCCTGCTGATTGGACGACGCGCGCAGACAGAACAGATGATTGCGGATCATATAGATAAACATAAAATAAAATCCAAAAAAATTAAATTTTCTCACATAAAAACATAATAAATAACTATGAAATTAATATTTACATATAAAAACATTAATTTATAGTTATTTATATTTATATAGAAGTTTCATTACCTTGTAAATATTAATTTGAATCGATTTTGATTCCATGCCACAGCTGTCAGTGTCACAAACGTCATGATGTATACAAAGTTGCCTATATCAATACGCCTTTACACGTGCTTACTTTTCTAAAAACCGGTGTTTCCTTGCCTGCCTCCGCGTGCAACTGCTGATTAATCAGTATTAGTCATCTATTTCATCATACAATTCAGCAGTAAATTACTCCACGTTACACTCGCCACCATACTGCACCTGCAAGGTACGCCATTCAAAGTTCTCGCAACTTTCAACTTCAAAAACTTCATTTTTAGATGTCCAAGCGCTCCCAGCCTGCGTGGGAGCCCCACAGCAACACGTCCACGCCAGTATTAAAACTCTTCAATAGTCTCACACGCCAAAAGGAGCCGTTTGTGCCTGAAAATGGCAAACGCGTCAATTGGTACTCATGCGGGCCGACCGTCTACGACGCCTCACATATGGGCCATGCACGATCCTACATAACCTTTGATATTCTCCGGAGAGTACTCAGCGATTACTTCCACTACGATGTTAACTACGTGATGAATATCACCGACATTGATGATAAGATCATCAAAAGAGCTAGGCAGAATTATTTATATGAGAGATACATTAAAGAAGGACATAAACTGGAGAAAATTCTTGAAGATGCGAAAATTGTATGTTGTGTTGCATAACCTAAGCATTTTAACTTTGGTTAGTATGTTAATTATATAAAATTTTAAGGTTATGGAGTTGTTTGATAAGAAAGCAGGTGTAACAACTGATCCAGACAAAAAAACTATGATGGATAACTTGCTGGTCAAGTTAACAAAGTGCATCGAAGAGTTAAAATCAGCTGTAGCAGCTGGTAAAGCACCCAGAATGCAAAAAGCTCAAGATAATTTCCTTGTAGAATGCAAAGATCCACTCGCAGATTGGTTGGACTCTCTTCATGGAGCTAGTATTACAGATAATGCAATTTTTAGCGCGTTGCCTGCATATTGGGAGAGTGAATATCACAAAGACATGGATTCTTTAAACGTAACCTAAAATTTTATAGGTTAAACTATAACATAACCTAATTTTTATCTTCCAGGTACTAAGACCCAATTTTCTAACGCGTGTGAGTGACTACATCCCGGAAATCATCGCTTATATCGAGAAAATCATCTCGAATGGCCTCGCGTATGAAGCCAATGGTTCAGTTTACTTCGATGTGAATACTTTTGATAAACGCGACAACCACCATTACGCAAAACTAGTTCCAGAAGCATATGGAGATGCTGCATGTCTTGCTGAGGGTGAAGGAGATCTTACATCAGCGGAATGCACAAAAGAAAAACGCGCAGCCACGGATTTCGCGTTGTGGAAGAAGAGCAAAGCCGGCGAACCAGCGTGGTCATCACCATGGGGCATGGGTCGACCTGGTTGGCACATTGAATGCTCAGCGATGGCTTCCGCCATTTGCGGATCCACCCTGGACATACATACTGGTGGCGTGGATCTGAAATTCCCTCATCATGATAATGAAATCGCTCAATCCGAAGCATACTTTGATTCACGTGAATGGGTCAAATATTTCTTACATTCTGGGCATTTAACCATCGCCGGGTGTAAAATGTCCAAGAGTTTGAAGAATTTCGTCAGTATACAAGATGCTCTTGCGAAGCATTCCGCCAGACAACTCAGGTTTGCGTTTTTATTGCATTCGTGGCGTGATACATTGGATTATAGCAATAATACGATGGAAATCGCGCTGGCTTATGAGAAAATGTTCAATGAGTTCTTTTTGAATGTCAAGGATGTCACCAGGTGTATATCAGGCAGTACAGAGAATAAAACATTCGCGAAATGTGATGTGGATGAGTTAATGTTGCATAAAAAGTTTGAACAGACAAAGGATATGGTTCATGAGACATTGTGTGACAATATTGATACAAGAGGAGCGTTGGAGACGCTCAGGGATTTGATTACAGCTGGGAATTTGTATCTGAGGGATAGGAATGATGAGAAAAAGGCGAATGCGGTGTTGTTGTATGATATCGCCGCGTATATTACTAGTATTTTGAGGATATTTGGGATTAATGTTGTGGAGAAAGGAATTGGATTTCAGATTACATCAGGAGTAGCTGGATCAGGAGATGTAAGTATTTTTTTAAAATAATTTTTGGTTAAAAATTATTTTTTATGATTTTTTTAAGGCTGAGAGTACAATAATGCCTTACCTTCAAATCCTCTCCGATTTCCGTGGTGTTGTACGCACGCATGCGCGTGAATTGAAAGCAACGGAGATTTTGAAGCAGTGCGACCTCCTCCGGGATGACATCCTTCCCAACGTGGGTGTGAGGCTGGAGGATCGTGAAGGTGCACCCAGTGCAGTTAAACTCGTGGATAAGGAGACGCTGTTGAAAGAAAAAGAACTTAAGAAACAGATGGAGATTGAAAAGCAAGCTGAGAAAGAACGGAAGAAGCAAGAGCAGGCCGCGGCGCAAGCTGCTAAAGATGCGCAGAGGAAGATTCCCCCAGGTGAGATGTTCAAGGGGGAGAGTGATAAGTATTCCAAGTTTGATGATAAGGTAATTTTAGTATACCTGTTTGATTAGGAATTAAATATTGATTTTTTTTTTGGTTTTTGTTGTAGGGATTACCAACGCATGATAAGGAAGGTAAAGAAATCAGTAAAGGGCAAGTGAAGAAGCTGCAGAAGTTGCAGCAGGCTCAGGAGAAGAAGTACAATGAGTATTTGGCTACTCTTAATTGAAATTTATGCAGAAATTTAATTTATATTTGCTTATATCTACTCTTATTATTATTTAAATAAATCAGCTTAAGTAAAATTTTATTTTTGTGTGTATAACGCGGTAGAAATACAAAAACCTATTAGAATTGACAATCCCAAGAGGATAGAGAGATTGCTGGATGATTTAACCTGTGGCGCATGCGCGTTCGCCTTTTATTTCAGTGGTAAACCCACAAAAAGTGGTGGGGGTACAGTTGTGCTACCTCAGTACCTTCTCCTAATTATTACTGGTGTAGTCTCTCCTCAATGGAGTGACTACCAGATGATAAAATTCTATTTTAAAATAAAAAATACCGGTTTTTTGTTTAATAAATACCGAAACACCGGTATTGGAATCAAAATTCCTTTCCCTAGTACCCATTGAGATACAAAGTGTCTTTATAAATAAAAATATAATTATAATACAAATTTTGAATGAATTTTAATGAATTTCGCACGATGTTACACCACTACGATGAGTTTAGCATAGTTTGCGTAACGACCTCGGACGTAATAGTAACAGTAGCAGTTGTGGATGCAATAACGGCGTTTAAAACACCCGAAAACGAAGTGAATTGTTGCGAAAAAGTGAATAATCCGTTCCGCGCCTTGACCACAACTAATTAATTAACTAATAAATTATTCCAAGCGCGTTTTAAGGCGAACAATTAATTAAAAACATAAACAAAATGAGTATAACTACAGTTTATGGAATGTTTTAAATTTTCAATGTTTTTTCATTGATTTACACTCGTTATTTTCTAAAAACATATTTAATTATTAATAATATAATAAATTTATACCTAAGCAGGTGTAATTAATGTTTGACGTTGATTTTGGCGTTTTTGGGACGTAATTTCCGATGAGTATCGCGATGAATAGCGCAAAACTGCGTCGCAGGCGGAATTTAAATTTCCATGAAACGCATGAAAGTGCTGGCAAACTTTCAGCGTGATCATGGTGCGTTTTCAGACGCGTTTCGTTTAACTCTATGCGAGTATGTATAAACGCAACGCGGATGGCGAGATTTTTCGCGGTATAAATAGCATTTGCGTCCGCACATGGCCTTTGCTTACGCTCGCAAACACGCGTACGCTCAAAACGGACACAAATGTAATGATAAACACTTTGGAGAGGGTCCAAAAACATCAGGTACAGCTTGAAATACTTTAGACACAAGAGGGAAGACAAAGAAATACGGTAGAACAAAAGGAAATTACTTATTTTGATATTATTAATGATTTTTCGCAATCAAATTGTGACAGATTTGTTAAAAATGTCAGTTTATTAAAAATGAAACCCTTGACTTCACAAGTTTAATACCTATTCTTATAGAAAATTTGACGTAAATTAAGAATATTCAATCCGCTTGTTCCTATCTCTTTTAGTTTACGAGATATTCGCATTTGAAAAAAATGGGCAAAAATTGCAAAATGTCACTTTTTAGCACTTTTAGTCGCGTTTTTCGACCTTTTACTGTCGGAAATATAATTATTTTATATTTTTATCTGATAGAGAATTTTCCAATCTATCATAATCAGCAATTCGTTGGTAGCTATCACTTTTAGTTTAAGAGATATGAATTATCAAAAATCGTCGAAAAAAAGTATCAAGCACCCCCCCTTGGCAATTTTTTTCTTAAGAATGAAAATTTCATCTCTCAGATTTCCGTTTTAACTATCGTATCTGATAGAGAATAGTCCGTAGATTAAGACGCTGCGATCAGATCTTAATTATCTCTTTTAGTTTACGAGATATTCGCGATTGAAAAAAAAGGGCAAAAATAGAAAAATGTCACTTTTTAGCACTTTTAGTCGCGTTTTTCGACCATTTACTGTTGGAAATATAATTATTTTATATTTTTATCTGATAGAGAATCTTCCAATCTTTCATAATCAACAATTTGTTGGTCGCTACCTCCTTTAGTTTAAGAGATATGAATTTTTGAAAATCGTCGAAAAAAAGTATCAAGCACCCCTTGGCAATTTTTTCTTAAGAATGAAAATTTCATCTCTCAGATTTCCGTTTTAACTATCGTATCTGATAGAGAATAGTCCGTAGATTAAGACGCTGCGATCAGATCTTAATTATCTCTTTTAGTTTACGAGATATTCGCATTTGAAAAAAATGGGCAAAAATTGCAAAATGTCACTTTTTAGCACTTTTAGTCGCGTTTTTCGACCTTTTACTGTAGGAAATATAATTATTTTATATTTTTATCTGATAGAGAATCTTCCAATCTTTCATAATCAGTAATTCGTTGGTTGATATCTCTTTTAGTTTAAGAGATATGAATTTTTAAAAATCGTCGAAAAAAAGTATCAAGCACCCCCCCTTGGCAATTTTTTCTTAAGAATGAAAATTTCATCTCTCAGATTTCCGTTTTAACTATCCTATCTGATAGAGAATAGTCCGTAGATTAAGACGCTGCGATCAGATCTTAATTATCTCTTTTAGTTTACGAGATATTCGCATTTGAAAAAATGGGCAAAAATTGCAAAATGTCACTTTTTAGCACTTTTAGTCGCGTTTTTCGACCTTTTACTGTAGGAAACATTATTATTTTATATTTTTATCTGATAAAGAATTTTCCAATCTTTCATAATCAACAATTCGTTGGTAGCTATCTCTTTTAGTTTAAGAGATATTAAATTTTGAAAATCGTCGAAAAAAGTATCAAGCACCCCCCCCTTGGAAATTTTTTCTTAAGAATGAAAATTTCATCTCTCAGATTTCCTTTTTATCTATCCTATCTGATAGAGAATAGTCCGTAGATTAAGACGCTGCGATCAGATCTTATTTATCTCTTTTAGTTTACGAGATATTCGCATTGAAAAAAATGGGCAAAATTTGCAAAATGTCACTTTTAGCACTTTTAGTCGCGTTTTTCGACCTTTTACTGTTGAAAATATAATTATTTTATATTTTTATCTGATAGAGAATCTTCCAATCTTTCATAATCAACAATTCGTTGGTCGCTATCTCCTTTAGTTTAAGAGATATTAATTTTTGAAAATCGTCGAAAAAAAGTATCAAGCACCCCCCCTTGGCAATTTTTTCTTAAGAATGAAAATTTCATCTCTCAGATTTCCGTTTTAACTATCCTATCTGATAGAGAATAGTCCGTAGATTAAGACGCTGCGATCAGATCTTAATTATCTCTTTTAGTTTACGAGATATTCGCATTTGAAAAAAATGGGCAAAAATTGCAAAATGTCACTTTTTAGCACTTTTAGTCGCGTTTTTCGACCTTTTACTGTAGGAAATATAATTATTTTATATTTTTATCTGATAGAGAATCTTCCAATCTTTCATAATCAACAATTCGTTGGTAGCTATCTCTTTTAGTTTAAGAGATATGAATTTTTGAAAATCGTCGAAAAAAAGTATCAAGCACCCCTTGGCAATTTTTTCTTAAGAATGAAAATTTCATCTCTCAGATTTCCGTTTTAACTATCCTATCTTATAGAGAATAGTCCGTAGATTAAGACGCTGCGATCAGATCTTAATTATCTCTTTTAGTTTACGAGATATTCGCATTTGAAAAAAATGGGCAAAAATTGCAAAATGTCACTTTTTAGCACTTTTAGTCGCGTTTTTCGACCTTTTACTGTAGGAAATATAATTATTTTATATTTTTATCTGATAGAGAATTTTCCAATCTTTCATAATCAACAATTCGTTGGTAGCTATCGCCTTTAGTTTAAGAGATATTAATTATTGAAAATCGTCGAAAAAAAGTATCAAGCACCCCCCCGCCTTGGCAATTTTTTCTTAAGAATGAAAATTTCATCTCTCAGATTTCCGTTTTAACTATCCTATCTGATAGAGAATAGTCCGTAGATTAAGACGCTGCGATCAGATCTTAATTATCTCTTTTAGTTTACGAGATATTCGCATTTGAAAAAATGGGCAAAATTTGCAAAATGTCACTTTTAGCACTTTTAGTCGCGTTTTTCGACCTTTTACTGTTGAAAATATAATTATTTTATATTTTTATCTGATAGAGAATCTTCCAATCTTTCATAATCAACAATTCGTTGGTCGCTATCTCCTTTAGTTTAAGAGATATTAAATTTTGAAAATCGTCGAAAAAAGTATCAAGCACCCCCCCCTTGGAAATTTTTTCTTAAGAATGAAAATTTCATCTCTCAGATTTCCTTTTTATCTATCCTATCTGATAGAGAATAGTCCGTAGATTAAGACACTGCGATCAGATCCTATTTATCTCTTTTAGTTTACGAGATATTCGCATTTGAAAAAATGGGCAAAATTTGCAAAATGTCACTTTTAGCACTTTTAGTCGCGTTTTTCGACCTTTTACTGTTGAAAATATAATTATTTTATATTTTTATCTGATAGAGAATCTTCCAATCTTTCATAATCAACAATTCGTTGGTCGCTATCTCCTTTAGTTTAAGAGATATGAATTTTTGAAAATCGTCGAAAAAAAGTATCAAGCACCCCCCCTTGGCAATTTTTTCTTAAGAATGAAAATTTCATCTCTCAGATTTCCGTTTTAACTATCCTATCTGATAGAGAATAGTCCGTAGATTAAGACGCTGCGATCAGATCTTAATTATCTCTTTTAGTTTACGAGATATTCGCATTTGAAAAAATGGGCAAAAATTGCAAAATGTCACTTTTAGCACTTTTAGTCGCGTTTTTCGACCTTTTACTGTAGGAAATATAATTATTTTATATTTTTATCTGATAGAGAATTTTCCAATCTTTCATAATCAACAATTCGTTGGTTGCTATCTCCTTTAGTTTAAGAGATATGAATTTTTGAAAATCGTCGAAAAAAAGTATCAAGCACCCCCCCTTGGCAATTTTTTCTTAAGAATGAAAATTTCATCTCTCAGATTTCCGTTTTAACTATCCTATCTGATAGAGAATAGTCCGTAGATTAAGACGCTGCGATCAGATCTTAATTATCTCTTTTAGTTTACGAGATATTCGCATTTGAAAAAATGGGCAAAAATTGCAAAATGTCACTTTTAGCACTTTTAGTCGCGTTTTTCGACCTTTTACTGTAGGAAATATAATTATTTTATATTTTTATCTGATAGAGAATCTTCCAATCTTTCATAATCAACAATTCGTTGGTTGCTATCTCCTTTAGTTTAAGAGATATGAATTTTTGAAAATCGTCGAAAAAAAGTATCAAGCACCCCCTTGGCAATTTTTTCTTAAGAATGAAAATTTCATCTCTCAGATTTCCGTTTTAACTATCGTATCTGATAGAGAATAGTCCGTAGATTAAGACGCTGCGATCAGATCTTAATTATCTCTTTTAGTTTACGAGATATTCGCATTTGAAAAAATGGGCAAAATTTGCAAAATGTCACTTTTAGCACTTTTAGTCGCGTTTTTCGACCTTTTACTGTTGGAAATATAATTATTTTATATTTTTATCTGATAGAGAATCTTCCAATCTTTCATAATCAACAATTCGTTGGTCGCTATCTCCTTTAGTTTAAGAGATATGAATTTTTGAAAATCGTCGAAAAAAAGTATCAAGCACCCCCCCTTGGCAATTTTTTCTTAAGAATGAAAATTTCATCTCTCAGATTTCCGTTTTAACTATCGTATCTGATAGAGAATAGTCCGTAGATTAAGACGCTGCGATCAGATCTTAATTATCTCTTTTAGTTTACGAGATATTCGCATTTGAAAAAATGGGCAAAATTTGCAAAATGTCACTTTTAGCACTTTTAGTCGCGTTTTTCGACCTTTTACTGTTGAAAATATAATTATTTTATATTTTTATCTGATAGAGAATCTTCCAATCTTTCATAATCAACAATTCGTTGGTCGCTATCTCCTTTAGTTTAAGAGATATGAATTTTGAAAATCGTCGAAAAAAAGTATCAAGCACCCCCCCTTGGCAATTTTTTCTTAAGAATGAAAATTTCATCTCTCAGATTTCCGTTTTAACTATCCTATCTGATAGAGAATAGTCCGTAGATTAAGACGCTGCGATCAGATCTTAATTATCTCTTTTAGTTTACGAGATATTCGCATTTGAAAAAAATGGGCAAAAATTGCAAAATGTCACTTTTTAGCACTTTTAGTCGCGTTTTTCGACCTTTTACTGTAGGAAATATAATTATTTTATATTTTTATCTGATAGAGAATTTTCCAATCTATCAGAATCAGCAATTCGTTGGTTGCTATCACCTTTAGGTGAAGAGATATGAATTATCAAAAATCGTCGAAAAAAAGTATCAAGCACCCCCCCTTGGCAATTTTTTTCTTAAGAATGAAAATTTCATCTCTCAGATTTCCGTTTTAAGTATCCTATCTTATAGAGAATAATCCGTAGATTAAGACGCTGCGATCAGATCTTAATTATCTCTTTTAGTTTACGAGATATTCGCATCCGAAACATAAAATAACCAAAACAATAATTATATTCTCAACCTAACTATACCTATACACCTAACTTTTACATGTGTTACTGCTGCGGGTTTATTAGTTAATAAGAAAGTGTAAAATCGTGTAAAAGTAAAAAGAGGCAGTACTGGCAGCAGTCGCACATGTGGAGTATGTGGAATATGTGGAACGTACGATGCGTATCCAACGGCAAGCACACGCGCGATACTCACTTCCTCGTTCCGTCTCTGCCCGAATTACATTGCGCAGCTTACTCGTACACAGCTCACAATCAACTACCGATAACTAACGATAAATGTGATTTATTTTTAATCGTTACACGTGTCAGAAGCAACCAGTATCAACAAAAACTTATGATTTTCATTGGAAAAATGACTAAGAATTGCATTTTGGTAGAAAATTCAGTCGAAACAAACAAAAACACAGAAAAACCAAGCAAAATGACATGCAACAAAGATATATCTATCTAAATTTACTTGAAAAATCGAAGGAAATTCATTCTAAGTATTTTTAACTTCATTTTTTTACTTTACTTGTACGTAGATACTTTGCATGAAGTAATGAAGTACCTAGAAGTATTTTTATTTTCATTCCCACTTCCTATCGGTAGATTTATAAATAGTTTGGTTTTTTTCCATCTTGGAGTTGATGCTTAAGACGTTAAGACTCGGAAAGTATCAGAAAATCTGTTACTTTAAATAGAAAATTCAAAAAAATAGAGAAAATCTCCCTAAATAACTAAACTAAGCTAAAAAATTAATATTTTGACTGTGGATATGTAAATAATTTAGGTGTTTAGTGTTTGAGTTGAGTGAATTAAACAAAGAAATGTTTTTGGCCTTGTTTTTCTACCTAATTGCGTTGTAAATTTAACTTTTCCGCTGTTTATTTACGAATGTCTTTACTGCAGACCACGAAAACGCGCAAAACTCAAAAGCACAAAGCTTTACATGCGCCGAGCAGTCTGGAAATCGCCAGAAATCAGACCCGCAATAACAAAATTCGATACTTTTGTTAATTTTTCATTCAATTTAGTTTAAAAATCATTAAAATTAACAAAATTACGACGTAAAACATTACTTTTTCTTCCTTTAAACCTCTAAAAACACTTTTAAATTCTTTTTCTGCAAAAATTCAACTTTCCACGCGTAAAATCACTCTAAACAGTCTAAAAATCAAAATATATATTGTTTTAACCCGTGCCTGTATACTTTACTCAGCTGTTTCTTGGTGGGGGCGGCAGGCATCGGGTATTTCATACGCTAACACGACGCAAGCCGCCGTTATTGTCGCGACCGCGCTCGCATCGCACGCACGAGTTCGAAAGTGAAATCCGAAGGTGCACACTGAGTAACAAAACAACAACTAAATCCCGGAAATAATTACAAATCGCATCGTAATTGCCACACATCTAGTTATTGTTATAGCTCGTCGGAAATCAGTTCGTAGTGCGTTTCAAGCTTTAAAACAAATCAAAAACTTTAAATTTACAGTTTTAATTCGCGAATTAAAGTAAAACAAAAATAAAATAAAAATGCGTCCACCACAATTCGGTGAGGATATTACCAACCAGACCAACAACGAAAATGTTGATCCCCGGATGGGCGCCATGATGATTTGCACGCGTCTTGCCGGAAGGGCGATTATAAGGGTTGTGGGGAGGTGTAACGAGGCGCAAGAGAATGAAAAATTAGGTAAGTTGATGTTTTTTCTGTGTTTTTATGCGCAATCATCGTAATTGTGGTATAAAAACGTCGTACATAAACAAAACCGACCTTGACTCATCGCTACTCACTAATTACAGGCGTAAAAACATCTGTTTAGTGTTTATTTACGCTTTAAATAAATTTACACATTAATACTCAAAAAAATGTGTTTTAAGGCCTAAAAATTTAAGTTTTATTAAAATTTAATTCGTATATTGCGTAAATTACTAAATTATCGCAGTTTTATTCATTTAATTCAAGAGGAAATGATGAAAAGCGCCTTGAACTACTCTCAAATCAAAGTTAAAAGTAATTAGGACACTACATATTTCACAACATGAATGCATTCGTATTTGCAGCTAATTTTACCCACTCATTCACACAAAGAACTTCGATAAATGAAAATAAATGAAAATGTGCATGTGAATAACACAAAGAACGATGCGACGAGATGAAAAATCGCTGGCAAACATGGCAAACATATAAACTTGGCAAACGCGTTTTCTTTGTCGGGTTTCGCAGCTTATTATAAGCTGATTCATGTCTTTATCTTATTGTCTCGACTCTTTTTTGCATCATTAAAGGTTTGAAAATGTGCTGAATCATTTTTATTCCTTTAAAAATTGATTTAGATTGAAAAATATTATGTTTTAGAGAAATAGGTTGATTTTTTGAAGTGTAACTATAAAAGTTTGACTTGATATAGGCAATCAAGGTTCTTGAAACACACACACGGATGTTTCCTGCTGCCAAGATAGAGATAATTAATGTTGCCATATAAAGAAAATTAAAGTCGAGCTGATTCAAGTCGCGAAACGTCACAACGCGCAAGATAATTCGTCATCGATGTCAAATAATGTGAAAAAAACAAAGAAAATAAATTAATTTAGAGAAAAAAAGAGTGTTTTACACACATGGTAATCAATTATAACCTCAAAACTAAGTATTTTTAAAACTAGTGCGCAAAAATATAATTTTACGCATTTAATATTCAAAAATTTGCATTTTTTCATCAAAAAACGTCAAAAATCAAAGAAAAATGATAGATTTTAAAGAAAAAAACAGTGTTTTACACACGTGGTAGCAAATTATAACCTCAAAAGTAACTATTTTTTAAAACTAATGCGTAAATATCTAATTTTACGCACTGAACACTCCAAAACACGCATTTTTTCAACAGAAAAACGTCAAAAACAAAGAAAAAATTGATTTTTTAAGAAAAACATCGTTTTACACACCTTAGTCCAACCTTAAACCTCCCTATTTTTAAACCCCAATGCGTAAAACCTCTAATTTTACGCACTTTAAAACATTTTTAAGGTTAAATATTAAACTAAACTTATTTCACAACATCAACATGTGCGTTTTGTACATTCTACGCATTTGGCATTCTCTCTTATTTATTCCAAAACCTCGCGGTCGCGTTTTTACGTCTCTCGCGACGCGTGCGACGCGTTTCAACATCTATTTTTGCATACACTCAATTCACACAATTTATTACGATGAAAATATTAACTTTATGACGTTTATTTCTTCGCAGGTATGATTTGATTGTGTCCCAAATACTTTACGGCTTTGTTTTGCGCAGTGTCATAGTTTGATTAACACGAGCACGCACTACACGCACAAAAACAAACTAAATCTACAACATAACAACCGCAAAATGCGATTTGAATACGCGTGCAACAAATCAAAAACATCGAAATACGCATAAATTAAATAAAATGAACCTTGACCAACAAAAATCAAGTTATGCTTTGATTTAGCTCGGTTTTCGGCGTTTTCTTGCAGACTTTTACTTTTTTTAAAGTTTTTCTGTTGCGTTTTGTTGTTTTCTAGTCAGACGTAACAAGAAATGTCGAAATAAAAAACTTTTGATGATTTTACAAAGAAATATAAGTCATGCTTCACTCTATTTAAGTTTATTTTTATTTTTATGACTTATGTTTTTATTTTTGACAATTAAGTCATTTTTTGCTACTTTGTGCTCGCATTTTCTATTGTTTCGACTTCCGGTGCGTGCAAACACGTCACAAAGAAGCTATACGAACGTAATTTGTGCATGAAACGCGCAGAGAAAGCATGACGTCCACAAGATATCAATAATTGCTCTTCAAGATACAAAAAAATCAAATTTTACTTTTCCTACTTCAACAACCCCGGAAATAATCCAAACAATTGTTTTCTCCTTAAATTAGTTAATCCTCTCATTAAATTTGCATTAGTTTGGTTATGTAACCCACGAATAATCCGATTGTTACACATTTCGTGGCGGTAATTACATAAAAGCAACAATTTACGCGTAATTAATTCATTAAATAACATAATAAATTATTTATTACACATTTATTGTGTGCGCAATGTGTTATTGTGTGTTATTTAATTTTGCGTTCGCTAAACACGATGAGAACAAAACTTTTACTTGCATAACCTCAAAGTGAACTTCAACAGCAACAACAACCTAACCTGAATGTAGTGTAAATTTATTGCCACTCGCTCATTATACAGCTGACGCTTCGCAATCGACAACGATCTTATAAAAGAGAGAAAGTATTTGTAATTGTACTCACGTTTTGCGCTGGCACGATGTTGATCGGCGAGAGGAAACACTGAAAGTAAAAAGAGTATAAGTTAAACTCATGAGACATGCGCGTTAGTGTATTTAAGGTTGCCTATGTTAAAACACTACAAGTTTTAATTGTTTGGCATGCGCATTGGTGTATTGTGGGTTGCCTACGTTAAAACATTAAAAATACGAAAAATTTAATGAAAAATGTCAGAAAAACAGATAAAAACTCATAAAAATCACTAAAATAAATACGATAACACTTCAAGGAAGTAATATTTGAACAGTTTGTAATGTTTTGGTGTCCCTGGTATGATGAATCACTCAATCTACTGTACTTAGGACTAGCTGCAGTGTATTTATACTTTCACGCTCTAAAAATACACTTCTACCGGCACTCTAGCTCAATTTCCTATAGCCAGCAGACGTATTCTTATAAAACCACACTTTTTACACTTAAAATATCAATTAAAATGGCGTCAGCTGTGACAAGAGTCATCCATAGATGTGAAGACGCTCAAGAAACACAACAACTAGGTCCTAACCTCAAAAATGACTTCTAAAAACTTATTCTTAACTAAATTCTGTGTAATTTTTGTTGTAGATCTCTCAGAATGTCAACTAATGCAAGTTCCCGACGCGGTTTACCATCTGATGAGACACACCGAGCTGAAATCGTGTGATTTAAGCGGTAATGACATCACGAAAATCTCGCCCAAGTTTACCGTGAAATTCAGCCTCATCTCCAGCCTTAACCTATCACACAATCAAATGGCCAAGTTGCCTGAAGAGATAAAAGATCTTGCAAACCTCACACGACTGGATATCTCACACAATAGTTATATTTCCCTACCGGATGCCATCTTCAAGATACCGAATCTTCAAGAGTTGAACGCCAGCCACAATTATATCACAGGTAACAAAATATTTAAATATTTTAAGGTTAAAACATGTTAAACAACATATGATTGAAATTTAAGTGGTAGGCAACCTGTCATACATGTAACTGTCAAGTATATCATGACTTGTGAGCTAGGCAACCAGTCATACACGTGAATGACTTGCATTTTTTGAAATTTTACGCTGTTTTTTGTTTTAGACGTGGAAATTGACTTGATAAAAGCCGCCCCATCGTTGCAAGTGTTAGATTTATCCGTAAATCCACTCACACCACGATGCCACGACCATTTGAGTTCGATTTCCGCGGTGAGAGTTACGCTGACGCCGCGCGAGAAGGAAGACTGGGAGGATCTCACTATTTAGTCCACAATCACAACCAAAATCTATACTAATCGCGTGTAAGGTGTAAATATGACTATTGTGAGGCAATAATTAATGTAAGATTAACTCACTGCCATAAAATCCTCGCGAAACGCGCGAATTTTATTCATTTTTGTGCGTTTTCGATGATTTGACGAGGATTAACGGTAGTAAAATGCGTCCTATTTGCAAACAAATCATGCTACGGTGATAAAATGTACTCTCTCTTCCCATTAGTCTTCCTGTATATCTGATATGTAGTTTGTAGTTTGTATTTTTATACTCTAACTTTATTTTTTGTTGGTTTTTTCTTCATTTTGTTACTTATTTGTACTTATTTGTACTTAAAAATGTCGTGTATTAACATACGTGTGACTTAGTGTGGAATTCTAATGATAGTTTTATGTTTACATGTTTTTGTGCGGCCGAAAATTAATAACAAACGGGATCCAACCGACGTCTAGTCAACTATTTTGTGATCGCGGACGAGCTTTAAGCGTAACTTTTGTATTTGATTGTATTATTACTTCGTATGACAATATTGACGAACAATAAATATGTATTGAATATGTAACTCACCATCTATTGTTGTTATTTGTGCTGCACTACTTTTAAAAACACGTGTTGCACCAACGGAAGAACAAAACAAAATGACGCGCGGTGATAAACACATCATGCAGAACAAGTATGGTGTATTGTGGGTTGCCTATAGTCACTGACATAATACAAATTTAAATTCAAATTGAAAAATGTGTTTTTAAGCGTAACTTTTGTGTTTGTTGATATTATTACTTCATATGGCAATAAAAACAAGCAATAAATAGTGTATATTTGATAACTCACCGTGTATTGTTTATATTTTGGTTGTATTTCACCAAAAACACGTGTTTCACCAACAAAACATCAAAACAAACTGGTATAAACTGACAAATACAACATCTGATGCATATGAGGTGTTATTTGGGTTGCCTACCTCAAATGACAACATTATTCAAACTTTACTTGAAAAATTTGCAGGAAAACCGTATTTAAAACCAGTAATGTTTATTAATTATTTATATTTTGTAGCTTGGATGATGCCCCATCCACACGGTGGTAAAACATCACCAAACACTGCCAATAAAGGAACAAATACACAAACCAATACAATAGTTTACAATATGTACACAATTCACAATAATACACAACACACATCAGTTAAATATTAATATTATCAAGTATTTACACGTTTAACGTTAAAAATTCGTTGATGAAAATCAATTCTTAAAACTTATCCTGCTTAGAATTAGATTGTTTATGCTTTGTTATCTCATTTAAATTTAAGCTAACTAATTAATATGTTTTGGTAACAAACAAGGAAATAGTTATAGTATAATACAAGTAAAGCTCGATTCGTCAAGTTTTCTCTTAATCTAGTTAAGTTTATGAAAGAATTATGCTTAGATTTGATTGACTATCAAGTGATATGTCTCAGCTTTACAATAAGTTCACAAAATAGATTTGCAGATTGTTTCAAGTGTGTTCAACATGTTGCACGAGTAGAAAATTTACATTTATCACAATTTATGTTATGTTATTATGATTTTTCATTCTTATATAGTGCTTAGATTAATATTTAGTGATTCAATTTATGTTTAGGTTAAGTACAACGGTGAAATGATCAAAATTCGTTGTCAAAACAAGTAAATCAATCGTTTTTACAGTTGTACTTAACTTAAACATAAAAATATTTAAATTTTACTTATAATTGAGGATATTTCATGATAATTCAGTTAAAATTTAGTATAAATTAAGTAAAATGGTTAAAATTGACATAAAATCAAGTTTTCCAGTAGTTTTTGACAGATATTTAAGTAAATTTGCAGTAAAAACACTAAAATTACCAACTGTCATTTATAATTGACTGTAATTCAACTTTTTTCATGAAAATTTAGTTAAATTTTAGTAGAAATTAAGTAAAATGGTCAAAATTAACATAAAATCAAATTTTCCACTAGTTTTTGACAGTTATTTAAGTAAATTTGCAGTAAAAACACTAGATTTTCAAGTTAATCAACAAATTCAACCTAAATACTCAACCAAACCATAAAATTTCACAACTGTCACTTACAATTGACGTTAATTCAACATTTTTCCTGATAATTCAGTTAAATTTTAGTATAAATTAAGTAAAATGGTCAAAATTAACATGAAATCAAAGTTTTTGACAGTTATTCACGTAAATTTGAACTAAAAACACCAAATTTTCATGTAATTTGACAAATTCAACCATAATACTCATCCTAACCTCAAAATATTCACTTTTCACATTTAATTCAGTTAAATTTGAGTAAAAATTAAGTAAAACAGTCAAAACTAACACAAAATCAAACTTCCAGCCAGTTATTCAACTAAATTTCCACATAAAACACAAAAATCAACAATTTCAACCATAATACTCAACCTAACCTCAAAATATTCACTTTTCACTAATATCTGAGTTAAATTTGAGTACAAATCAAGTAAAACAATCAAAACTAACACAAAATCAAACTTCCAGCCAGTTATTACCAATAATTCAACTAAATTTCCACATAAAACACAAAAATCATCAATTTCAACCATAATACTCAACCTAACCTCCAAACCCCTCATCTATCACTTACAATATAGGTTAATTCAACTCTTCAACATGTTTCTGACTATATTCTACATTAAATACTTTAGAAAAGTGGACGCTTTCTCAAGAATAAATCATTTTGTTCAAACCTCCTCAAACCTCAGCGCATATCATACACAAACACGGAATATATCATTATTGACAGATCATGATTGTATAAAGTATGTAATTAACCATTAATTGATACATCTAAGCATCCTGTGCATTATGCATAGCTCTGACTGTGTTCCAGCGACAATCCAGTCAATTTACTCCCTTGTTCCACCCAGGTTTTCAACCTTCCACGCAACTCCTCCAAACTTTTCGACTTGGCTTTATTAATCCGCTTGTACTTGACATCTTTCGGCTTTGTCACCGAGCGATGATTACTCATAACACGATTGTAAGTTGTCACGGGATTACCTTTGGTTCCTTTCTGAATATCCGGCGGTTTTTCAATATCTGCATCAATAACATGTTTATCGCAATCAAAACTTTGAATTTTTTCGAAATTTTGAAGTTTTTCAATTGTTTCAGCACGTTCTATGGACCTACCCGGTGGTTCCTCATTAACCACTGCTTTTCCACTTCCACTAGCGAATGCATCGCGTTTTTTATTCGCTTCGGATTTACCGTCGGTGTCATCAGCGTCTTCTTCAACACTGTACACGGTTTCAAGTATCTCCGGCCGGCGTAGGAATCCATTCGTGCGTCTTATAGTATATTTTAGATTTGGGTCTATAGCATCTGAGATGGATCGCACGACGGTGATGCCGTCATGATTGCGATACTTCGGGATGTGTGTCAGGTTGCTGTCGGAGTCGACGTCTTCCATGACCACGGCGCTGTCGCTATCGTTGAGTGATTCTAGGTCTAGGAGGTTTGTTTCGAAGTCGGGGATGTCGCCGATGGGGGGTTCCAGGCCGTTGTCGATGAGGCGATTCGTGAGGGTTTCGATGATGCGTTGTTGGCGGTGGATGATCATCTCGCGTTGATTCAGCATCACGGAGATGTCTTTTGTTTGCGGATGAGGCGCGATTCGAAGAGGAGGAGTTTCGAGGAGAGGGTTTTCAGTTGGTCGGCTTTCTCACGATGCAGGCGGGATATTAAAACTTCCTAAAAATTGAATATTTGATTAGATATTGATTAAAATTAAGGGATTTTGGTTGGTTTGGTGTAGAAATGTGAATTTTGAGTTTAATATCGTATTTTGGGGTTGATTTAGTTGAAAATGGAAAGAAAATGTGAAATTAACCTTAATTGTAAGTGACAGTTGTCCAATTTTGTGGTTAGGTTTAGGAAAATGGCTGAATTTGTTGAATTACATGAAAATTTGGTGTTTTTAGTGCAGATTTATTTAAATATCTGTCAAAAACTAGTTGAAAGTTTGATTTTGTGTTAATTTTGACAATTTTACTTAGTTTATAGCAAAATTTAAATAAAGAATCATGAAAAAACTTTAATTAACCTCAAATAAAACTGACAGTTGAATATTTTTGGGGTTAGGTTAAGTATATTGGCTGAATTTATTGAATTACTTGCTAATTTGATGTTTTACTATCAAATTTACTCAAAAAAACTGTCAAAAACTCGTAAAAAGTTTGATTTTGAGTTAATTTTGACCGTTTTACTTAATTTATAGCAAAATTTAAAAGAATTATCACTTAAAAAGTTAAAATAACCTCAAATATCAGTGACAGTTGAATATTTTTGAGGTTAAGTAAAGTATATTGGTTGAATTTGGGGAATTACTTGCTAATTTGATGTTTTACAATCAAATTTATTCAAAAATCTGTCAAAAACTAGTAAAAAGTTTGATTTTTAGTTAATTTTGACCGTTTTACTTAGTTTATTGCAAAATTTAAAAGAATTATCACGAAAAAAGATAAAATAACCTCAAATATCAGTGGCAGTTAAATATTTTTGGGGTTAGGTTAGGTAAAATAGGTAAATTTATTAAATTATTTGAAAATTTGATGTTCTATCAGCAAATTTACCTAAATAACTGTCAAAAACAAACTAAAAGTTGTGATTCTTCGATAATTTTGACAATTTTCCTTAATTTTTACTAAAATTTAAGTAAATTATCATGAAAAAATTAAATTAACCTCAATTATAAGTGACATTCATTATATAAATACCGGTTTTACTTGTTTTTACTAAAAAATACCGGTATTAAACTCAAAATTCACAAATTACAAACAAAAACAAAAAAATTTATAATTTTTCCTTTACCTGCATTTTATATGCACGCCGCCATGCTAATAATTGCTGCGCCTGCGTCCTGGTCCGCTCCCTCAAGTCCCGAATCAACTTCCTGGCGTCTTCCAGACATTCCCCGATGTCTTCCCCTGTATCTGTCATACTTCCAGATCGACTGTAATAAAAATAACCACAAAATTACTATTTTTACACATTTTTTTTCTATAAAAAAATTCATAAACATGTCGTTTTAGTAATATTTTTGTAATGTTCTTGATCATGTTATGTGGGTTTACAGTTACCACTGTAATTAGCTGTACAGTTAAAAATGTTATTATGTAAGACGTGAGCGACCGTTGTGCGCATTGCACGCGGTAATGGCGGCCATTATTATGCTTTTATATTCTTTATATTCATCGTATTCTTCATACTCGCTGCATTTAATTTATTCGAGCGCGACTAGGAATTATATCGCTGTAAAAACAAGTTATTTGTGGTGTTAAACGCGAAGAATTTATGCAATTCACACATTTATAACATATTTTCATAAAAATAGCATTAGTAACAGTAAATATAATAATAGAATGTCAAGTTTATGTTTATTTTGTGTTAAAACAGCATTTTAACTTTAATTTTAATTTTGAAACGTTGAAAAATGTGAAATTAACCTTAATTGTAACTGACAGTTGGATATTTTGAGGTTAGGTTAAGTAAAATGGTGAAATTTGTTGAATTACATGGAAATTTGGTGTTTTATAAGAAAATTTTGTTAAATAACTGTCAAAAACAAGTAAAAAGTTTGATTTTGTGTTAATTTTGACAGTTTTACTTAGTATATAGCAAAATTAAACTAAATGCTCATAAAAAGAGTAAAATTAACCTCAAATTTAAGTGACAGTTGAATATTTTTGAGGTTAGCTTAAGTATAATAGCAAAATTTGATGAATTACTTGATAATTTGATATTTTACCATCAAATTTACTCAAAAAACAGTCAAAAAGTATCAGAAATGTTCATTTACACCATATTTTAATAAATATAGAATTAATAACAGTAAAATAATATTAAATTTATGTTTATTTCGTGTTAAAACCGTGGATTTTTAATTTTAAAATAGATATTACGCGATAATTACTAAAGTTACTTATAAAACTCTGTTTTTATCGCAACCGCAGAAAGTTTAATTAGTAATTAGCCAGAAAACGAGGAAATCCGGCCGATGACGTCGTCAAATTTTACGTGATTGCTAATTTCGTATTTAATCTAGTTAAATTACTAACTGAACATGTTTTGACAGCTTTAAAGTTGAGTTAAATTAAATGCTAATCGATTTTAGATCGAAATGTTTCAATATGAAATACGAATATAATAATAGGTTATTTGTTTTTTTATGTTGTGATTTTGATTTTGATTTATTAATTTGCTTGTGAATGTAAATGTGAATGCTTTTAATTTTTTGCTTTGTTCTTTTCAATGCTACTTTTAAGATTAAACTACTTAAACAAGATCAACTAACATTTACTTTTGTACTCGTAACTGGTTTTATTTTGTTTATAACGTGATTTTTATCAATATTATTTGAATAAATTAATGTAAAATACTCTTATTAATGTTATTAAAGTAAAGTACTATTATTTATAAGTAGGGAGTAGTTTAAATTATATTATTTATCAATAAAAAGTAGAATTATTTCATAAAATACAATAATTTTTACGTTTTTGTCAAAACTTAGCTGATTTATCATCGCGGCACGGTTTTTGCAATAACAATCAAACAACAATACGTACAAATTTGTTCTTTGGTAGATAAAATCTTCATTAAATTCCCTATCGATTGATTATTCAAACAGTTATCTACGATTTTTATTAATTGAGTTATTGCACTTTAAAAATAGACATTTTTTGAAAAAAATCACAGATGACTAAAAAATGAAATTATTTGAATAATTTAACGTAAATTATAGTAAAATAACAGTTTTTATTGTTATTAAAATACAGTACTATTATTTATAAGTGGGGAGTAGTTTAAATTTTATTATTTACCAATAAAAAGTGTAATTACTTCATAAAATACAATAATTTTTACGTTTTTGTCAAAATTGTGTTAATTTATTATCGGAACATGTGTTTTACAATAACAACCAAACAACAAATCGTACAAATTTGTTCTTTGGAAGATATAATCTTCATTAAATTCCCTATCGATTGATTATTTAAACAATTATCTACGATTTTTATCAACTGAGTTATTGACTTTGAAAATACCCATTTTTGTCATAAAAATCACGAGTAATTTATATGATTTCATTCAATCTTTTCTATATATACTGATAATGACAATCCGCACGCAATTTTCTTCCTCATATGATAAATCTACAATAAATTCCCTTTCCATTGATTGTTTAATCAATATTTTCTGATTTTATTCCGCTGAGTTACAACGCCGTAAAAGTGAACAACTACTTTAAAGCAATAAAAAGTGTGTCAAGATTTTTTCTTTTCCTACGAGTACTCATATAAACAAGCAGAGAACAATTAAAACATAAATAATAAATAAATATATATTGTGTGATATTTCCTTATTTGTATTTATTTATCTAGTTCAGTTGATATTGCAACAATTGAATTGAATGTCTGGCGCTGGCGTTGTGTTAACTTTAAGGGAATAATTTAACGATGCATTGTTACGGATAATTTCATGCTCACTCGATCATTCTTCTTTCTTTTTTTCTCCTTGAGCTGCAGAAAGTAGTGCAATCGTCTCGCTAACAACAAACTAATAAAAACGCAGAAGTTTTAATTTGTTATATCATGTTATTGTTAAATTAAATTAATAATTCAATGCAAATTTAGTTTCAGTCACGTTTTATTATCGATTTTATTAATTTTGAAGAAGAATCATATAATATGTGAAGATTTAATTAATTAATTTAATTTTTTACACGAAAAATCAATTTTTTTCTTTAAAATTTGAATTTTTATCAGTTTTTCACGTTATATTGCGATTTATTTTATATAGGCAACCAATTGTACATTCTCCAACCACTAGCAGCCATTTTCCACCGCCAGCTGAATTTCCTAACCCTATTTTTGTGCTTTTTCTGCATAAAAACTCAAAATTCACACAATTTTCCTCCTTTTCTGTACTATTTCTATCTCCACGGATATTATTACCTCGAACGAGGTCACAACTCGACCGTGTGCGCTATGATCTTTGTCCGCTGGTAATTCGAGTAATTTTTTGCTCGCGCCGTGTGAAAACGCGTAAACGACTGATTGCCCGATTGCATGATTGCCACATTCCTGTGATGTCTCTTTGTGCTCGCTGGCTGCTCTTTGAAATGTCTCACAATGTCTCACAATGTCATGTCTCACGATAGACAGTGAAATCTTCAACTTTTGCACGCACGAACGAGGACGAATTGGAGCACAAATTAGAAATAAAAATATAAAAAATAAATAAAAAATACACCAAACCGCAAACAATCTAGTTTTATTTCTTATTTTGTTCCGGTTGACAACATAAAATTTAAAATAATAATTGTGTAGGAATAGAAGTAGAAAGATTTAGGAAATGATTACGTAAACGTTTCGCGTTGACCCGCGTGACCTGTTGCAAGATTATTGCAAGAGGTGCAAGGTGAGGAGGCTGCAAAAAAAGAAAACTCGTTTCCACAGCACACAACGGAGACGCGGTGATGCTGAGTAGAGAGCAACGACGCAACATTTTGTTGCTTATAATAATGTAGCATATTGCATCACTACTTATTTATGCCTCTGAACGTAAGAAAATTTAATTAAAATTTAGTTTACTTTAAAATATCTGGTGTACATAGTCTAGTTGATTATTTTTTCTTTTAGTTTTTTTTTCTTTTGCGAATGTAACTTGGTAGTCGAAGTCGACCTTGCATTATACGACAAGGCCGTTCAGTCCTCTCACAGGTCACTCACACTTCACTTTTCTGCAGGCGCCTTAAATAAAATTAACATTTGAGCCGTTTATTTTGAAAGTGACCTAACTCCGTTTTCCATTTTTGCCGGTTACCATGGTTACATATACAACTTCATGTTATTTATCAGTGACGCACTTCAGATTGCTTATATTCAGAGAAAATACGGTACATTTTTACACATAGGTTTTCCGAATTAATTGAATAACTGACCCGTGTGGTTTGAAAGTGGCCTAACTCCATTTATAGTTACATCAAGGTATTTACTATTGATAATGTCGGAAAGCAGCGATGAAGGTAATTTCAATTAATTAGTATTTACAAGTCCACCTCATTTTTGGCACAATTGCGTTAGTTAATTAACCTGTACGTTTAATTAATATAAAACTTAAAATTTACTATCAAATTATAGAAATTATTGCACCCATGAGGAAGAACCGAAGAAGACCACTTAGTTCAGATAGTGAAAAGAAATAGTAATTAATAAAAAAAAGCGAATAAGAAAAAGAGTTATAAAACAATATTCCTCGTCAGAGGATGAAGATTCAAATAACAATGGAGAAAAGATTGATGCACCATATATCCAAAAAGTGCGAAAGATAAAACGGAATTCAGGAAAAAGATATTGCAGTTAAACCGGAAGAATTGTTCATGAAAAAAATTTCGAAAACAAAGATTGTGGTTGTCGGAATGCGTGCACAAAAAATTATAATGAAGAAGAAAGAAAGAATATTTTTGAGAAGTTTTGGGGTTTGGCAGATTTTAACAAACAAAATGTATTACTTCACGAAGCTGTCTGTGAAACGAAGACGTTTTTTTTCTTCAATTTGAAACATCTTAAATTATGTTGAATGGACTTGGGCATCTTCAAATTTTATAATGAATCTGGCTGTTAATTTTGAAAGTGGCCCAACTCCATTCTTGATAAGGAAACGCACGTTATTTACTTAATAATTGCCACTATTTTAACAGGAACTTTAAATTTAACATCCTAAGATATGCTTAAGCAGTATGACTCCTTTGTATCTTATACGTATATTTTTAAATTCATTGAAACGCAAAACTTTCAATATCTCGATTTGAAGATAAATGGAGTTAGGCCACTTTCAAAATAAGCGGCTCATTTGTTTTAGTCTTTTGTGTGTTTCCCTGTTTTGATGAAAATCTTGCGTTGTAGATACAATGGAAAACCGAAATGTTTCCTAATTGACACTGACGCAGATAATAATATAATAAAAGCTTAGAATTGAATTATATCAAGTGTAATTAACACTAATTTGAAGGAAATTCGGTTGGAAAAGTATAGAATTAGATGAAATTAAAAATTTAAGTATTTTTATTGCTTTAAAAGTTGTTTAGTTTTTTTAGCGTTGTAACTCGGCGGAATAAAATCAGAAAATATTGATTAAACAATCAATGGAAAGGTAATTTATTGTAGATTTATCATATGAGGAAGAAAATTGCGTGCGGATTGTCATTATCAGTATATATAGAAAAGATTGAATGAAATCATATAAATTACTCGTGATTTTTATGACAAAAATGGGTATTTTCAAAGTCAATAACTCAATTGATAAAAATCGTAGATAATTGTTTAAATATTCAATCGATAGAGAATTTAATGAAGATTTTATCTGCCAAAGAACAAATTTGTATGATTTGTTGTTTGATTGTTATTGCAAAAACCGTGCCGCGATGATAAATTAACAAAATTTTGACAAAAACGTAAAAATTATTCTATTTTATGAAATAATTCTACTTTTTATTAATAAATAATATAATTTAAACTACTCCCCACTTATTAATAATAGTACTGTACTTTAATAACAATAAAAACTGCTATTTTACTATAATTTACGATAAATTATTCAAATAATTTAATTTTTTAGTCATCAGTAATTTTTTTCAAAAAAAATGCCTATTTTCAAAGTGCAATAACTTAATTATTAAAAATCGTAGATAATTGTTTAAATAATCAATCGATAGGGAATTTAATGAAGATTATATCTGCCAAAGAACAAGTTTGTACAATTTGTTGTTTGATTGTTATTGCAAAAACCGTGCCGCAATGATAAATTATCACAATTTTTACAAAAACGTAAAATTGAATTAAAATTGAAATAAAATCATGAAATAATTCTACTTTTTATTAATAAATAATTAAATTTAAACTACTCCCCACTTATAAATAACACTACTTTACGCTAATAACAATAATAATCATTATTATACGTTAATTTACACTAATTTACGTTAATTTATTCAACCAATTTCGTTTTTTCAGTCATGGACACTGACCAACTCAAAATTTCATTACTAGAGTATCTAGACTAAGAAAGTTTCACTTTCCACTCTCAACCAACAAATAAAACCCAACTTGTACCACCTTATAAGCAAGCAGCAGATATTATTTACTCACTTCGATTTCCTGTCGACGCGCAATTTGCAAATTTGCAACGCAACGCAAATCGCAGCCAAATCGCAAGCAAACAAACCGAATAGACGCCGTCTGCATCGGTGCAATATATTCTATATGTATTTGGGCATTCGGCCATTCGTAATCTGTGTATTTGCCATTTGTTCGCATTGGCGTTGGCGTCGCCCGGCCCAGCGCGGGGCAGCGCCCAGCAAAACTCGCCGTGCACACAGTGTTCAATCATTTTACCAATGGCTTGGCCTTTTGTTCTACGAATTTCACACAATATTCAATCAAAAAGTAACGACCATGACATTTCCATAGGATTAAAACAAGTTTAAACTAATGTGAATCATGAATACAATCAGAAAAGGCAAAAAAATCATGTAGAAAAATATTGCCTATGATGGAGATGTGATATAAGCACCGAACATAGAGAAAAACACGTTAAAACCTAATAATTTCAATAAAAAATCACTTAAATCATCTTTAAACGTCCATAAATGCTTAATAAAAATATTTCCAATGTTGGAGTAGAGGTATAAGCACCGAACATAGACAAAAACACGTTAAAACTTAATAATTTCAATAAAAATTCACTTAAACCATGCTTAAACGTTGATAAATGAAAAATTGAAATATTTCCAATCTTGGAGTTGTGATATAAGTACCGAACATAGACAAAAACACGTTAATATCTAAAAATTTCAATAAAAATTCACTTAAATCATCTTTAAACGTCCATAAATGCTTAATAAAAATATTTCCAATGTTGGAGTAGAGGTATAAGTACCGAACATATCTTAAAACATGTATAAACATCGAAATTTCTAATTAAATTCCCAAGATGTGGCTTAATTAACGAAATTTTTGGCTTGTTAAACAAAAGATCGTATAAAAACAAACAAAAACCCGGAAAACCACAACAAACGCACAATTAAAACCCGAAAATCATCGATTGAGTGCGCTGTGTGTGTTTTCGAAAGCGAAAAAAACGTTCCCAACTTTGTTTTGTGTTCGCATGCAAATAAAATATGCAAATGGCGTGCGGAACACAAAAAAAACGTAATTAATATCGGAAGTAGCACAAACTTGCCATTTACATACAATTTAGACTAATTTCTAATTTTATACTCATTTTATTCACTTTTAAGCGTTTTCTTGTAACACTTTGTATAATATGTTACTAATTAAATTAAGCCTAACGTGATTAGCTTACTTCGGGCGTAATTCAAGTCGAAATCGTCTAGAAATGTCATTAAAAGTAAAATTTAAACTTAAAATTGATTATAAATGCAATAAAAATGACATTTGACAGTTTTTGACAGTCAAAAGTTTATAATGTCAAAGAAAATTAATATCTTACTGAATTTGGCATCGAAACACATCAAAACCACTAATTAAACTTCTCTAATAAACATTTTATCTGTGTCTATGAACGTAACAACGATAAAACTAAGTTTTGCACGCTTTGCTGCTTAAAAATCAAACCGGTTGATATTTTTCAACGCGCCAGCTACGTTCAACTCGTACTCCCCTCCAGTGATTCTCCTACTGCCGCATGGTAGAAACCTGCCTTACCGACGCTGCGTCAGTCGCTCGCCCGTCATCGCGCCGAGCGTATGTGCATGTAAACAAACAGCACAAAACCTAACATTTCCCAGTGTTCACGATGAATATGTCCAATATAACCATCGAGAAAACCAAGTATGACTGTTCGCCACGCGTGGAGAACAAAAGATGGACGCAGCAGACGCCCGCCGATCGCGAATTGTCGTTGAAGAAGACCGGAATACAGCTGGGTAAGGTCGATGTGATGTACTACAGCCGCAATGTGCGGAACGACGCGTCGCTGGTGCCGCCGATACGCCAGACGGCGTCGATATTCAAGCAGCCGGTCACGGTGTATAAGACACAGGAGAGTAAAGTGAAGACTGACTTCAAACACGGCGTGCAGGAGAAGCCAAAGCAGTTGATATGGGAGAAACGGTAAGTTGACATCAATAACTTTTGTTTTTTGTTAATAACTTTTAAAATATTAGATTTTTAATAATAATTCTTTTAGATATTTGTTAAGAATTAAATTATCTATCGATTAGAGAAAGAATTATTGTTATTAGATCAATTGTTATACGCAATTAAAGTTGAAAATTTATATTTTTTTACTAATTTGTTTATAACTTTTGTTTAAATAATGATATAGACAATCTCTAAACGTGAAAAAATGCATAATTTAATTGTGAATCTAATAAAGAAAGAATAATTATTCTATCTTTTATAGTTTTTTAATTATTTTAATTTTTGTGAATCAATTGTTGACATAAACAACTTTTGTTCTGTAAATTTTTCTGTTTTTTGTTAATAACTCACAAACTATTTGTTTTTGAACAATAATTCTTTCGCACATTTATAAACAATTAAATTTTCTATCATACTGCGCAAAAATAATTGTTATATTATTATTACAACAAAAGTTATAAACAATCAAACTTCAAATTTTAAATTTTTTACTAATTTGCCCATATCTTTTGTTTAAACAATGATAAAAACAATCTGTAAACACTAATTAACACACAATTTAATTCCCCATCTAATACTGAAAGAATAATCATTCTATCTCTTATAGTTTTTGTATAATCTTAATTTTTCTAAACAGTTTGGAAGGCCTGCGCGCTTGTGACCTTGACGGCGTGCAATTCGAAGGCATGGTCCTGCCCAAAGGACTCAAACCAGTCGGGCCGAATGTAACCGAAGAGACAATCATCCAGAGCGTCGCCACCGCACTGCACGTCTCCGTGCAACCCGTCACCGGGCAAACAGGGAACAAAAACTCGCTGGAAAAGAACCCCGGGGTGTTCATCGACCCGAAACAGCCGCTGGTGCAAGCCGTTAATATCGCCGACGACGACATCAAGCAACAGGAGGAGCGCGTCGCGGCCGCACGGAAAAAACTACAAGACGCGCTTGTCGCTTAGGTTTTAAGTATAAGTTTAAAATATAAACATAATTTGTTGGATATTTATGTTATTTTAGGCACTTTTTAAGAGAAAATAAGAATAAATGATTATGTGAGAAAAGAAATGTGTATTTTTGAGTATTTTGAGTGTTTCTATTGTATTGTGATGTGAATTCGTGTACGAAATGAATCAAGACGGAGGGAAAAATGCGAAAGTCACGTTTTTGACTAACGATTGTTGAGTTTAACAAACGTGACGGCGAGATAATTCCGAGAATTACATTTATTATGTTTCAATTTCGTGTTACCCTTGTTTCTTCAAAAGGATTTGCTTGTATAATCAAATTTTATTGATTTATCGCGAAAAAACTAAGAAAAATGACAAAAAGCTGCAAAATTTCAACTTAAAACTCTTATAACTTCATCAAAAATAAATATTTTACTAAATCCTTTTAACAGGACCTATTCTGTTAATTAAAATATCTCCATGAATTATTTCATTATTTTTAATTAAATATTTTAGCTATTTTTGCATATTTACTGAAAAATATGATAAATTCTTCGAATTTGTTCTTATTTTCCAGGATAATTCTCAAAACACAATTTATTATAATTCAATTTTTATATTTTCCTCTAAGACTTAGTATTATCCTTCTTCCTTCAAAAGGATTTTCCTCTAAAATCAATATTTATTGATTTATAACAAAAGAACTAACAAAAAACAACAAAAACCACAAAATTCCAAATTAAAACTATTGTAACTTCATCAAAAATTAATATTTTAGTAAATCCTTTTTGCAGGACCTTCTCTATTAATTAAAATACCTCTGTGAATTATTTCATAATTTTTAATTGAATATTTTAATTATTTTTGCATATTTTGTCGAAAATATGATAAATTTCCCGCATTTTTTCTATTTTCCAGGATAATTCCGAAAATAACCATTATTTCCTTTCAAGTTTAACATTTTTACCTAAAATTAACTATTATCCTTGTTCCTTCCAAAGGATTTGCCTCTATAACCAATATTTATTGATTTATAACCAAAAAACTAACAAAAAACATCAAAAAACTAAAAAAATCCAACTTAAAACACTCATAATTTCCCCAAAAATAAATATTTTACTAAATCCTTTTTGCAGAACCTCCTCTATTAATTAAAATATCTCCATGAATTATTTCATAATTTTTAATTAAATATTTTAGCCATTTTTGCATATTTTGTCGAAAATATGAGAAATTTCCCACATTTGTTACTATTTTCCTGGATAATTCCGAAAATAACAATTATTTCCTTTCAATTTTAACATTTTCATCTAAAATTTAGTATTATCCTTCTTCCTTCCCAAGGATTTGTCTCTATAATTAATATTTATTGATTTATAACCAAAAAACTAACAAAAACCAACAAAAAACTACAAAAATCCAAATTAAAACTCTCATAACTTCCCCAAAAATAAATATTATACAAAATCCTTTCTCCATTACCTTCCCAATTAATTAAAACACCTCCATGAATAATTTCATAATTTTTAATGAAATATTTCATCCATTTCTGCATCTTTTGTCGCAAAATGCCCCGCGTTTGTTTTGTTTTGATGTTTTCCAGGTGCAAATTTTAATCAAGCGAACAATTGTCTCTTACAGTGCGTTAATTAACGTCGACGCTTTGTTAGCCGTGCCCAACACACATTTAATTGACAGACGCGCTGACAGATATAGTCCTATTCCTCGCGACTTCTGCGAAACACTTCAAAAGCACACAGAGAGCCCAGAGACGCGTTTCTTTAGGAAATTTAATTAAACACTCCTTAAAAGCACGCCGCTTCGACGCGTGCATGCTTCTTGTATTCATTTAATGCCAAATTTGCTTTCTACACACTTCAGATATTAAATCGTCATTAAATTCAACAAATATCGCAATGAAACACAAGTTTTATTGTGTTGCGCATGTAAAATGACATGCGCATGCGTTTAAGGTATTTAATTACGGACGGATTTTTTTGTGTAGGTTGACGTTTTTGTTTTGTTAAGTAGCATATTTATTTGTGCGCTTTATTAGCGCAGTTTTCCACGTTTTATGACGGCTATTACGCTCGTCAGATTCCATTATGGCGCATTACCTGTACCTTTTATTGCGGCATTTCCTCAACCGAGAAAAGTACACGTTTATATCTAATGTTTAACTTTTTATTAGCACTTATTACGTATTACGAAACGGCGTGCTCTTATGATGCCTTTTTGGGTAAAGAAATTTTCCACGGTGGTGTTTTAAGGTTTGAACAATTAAAATCATAAGTTTACAGCCGTATAATGCATATCTGGATGTTATGTTTATCATAAAATGAAAGATAAAATGATTATGCAATGATTTTACTTACAGACATTATTTCATACTTATGTGTATAGGCAACCAGTCATACACCAAAGTACCTCTCAATGCTTACCAAGTATCAATTTCAATATTATAATATAATATTATAAATGCGAAAGTCCTGATGTTTGTTACACTTTCACGCAAAGACTACTTAACCGATCATCATGAAAATTTGTACACATATTCTTAGTGGTCCCCGAATGGTTATAGGCTACTTTTTATTTAACACGTTGAGGACGGCGCGGTTTTTGGGTGTCTGTTGCATCGGGCGGCGTTTGAGCATTTTCAACTCTGTCTAATTAATTCAGCTGTGCGCCACTGGTGGTTATGCATTGCTGTATCAAAAGGCGATTGTTTTTGCAGTTGCGTAGCCATTTATTTATTTTCTTTGTAATGAATGCCTTTATCTTTAGAGTCCGACCGAAACTATGTGCGAACTGAGATGGCAAGTGACGACCACGACTTAAGCCGCGAGTTAGCCGAACGACGCACGATAATTCACGAACACTGAGTTTCGGTTATGTCAAAAGTTTCAGCCAATTTTTGGCCGAAACCAAATTTGAAGCCAAAACTGAAATTTTGGTCGGTCACTATTTATTATAATATGTAATCTGAGTGACACATTTGATGACAAAGATGCAAGGCCTTGATTGTATAGGTGAAACGAGGAGAAGATATAACCTAACCAGTGGCGTAGTCAAAAATGAATAAGTCTCGTTTCAAATGAGCCGTGTACCACCGGTGGTACACGCCGTCCCACAGACCAGACGCGTGTGTACCACCGATGGTACACGCCGTCCTCAACGTGTTAATAAAAATAATTATTTTTTAAATAAAATAAAGAAATAGTTTAGCCAATAATACCTCTGCATCTGGCTATTTGACTACTTTAACGCCATCTAGCATTCCAGCAATGAAGCTCACACCTAAGTACTATAGTACCATCACACTGTATTACCGACAGCTACGTCAACATCAAATCCAATTGACTACACTATGGAGACTGTACACTATACTTCCATAGACTATACTTTCAGCCATTTTAAACTTCCCGCCATTCTACTTCATTGTTACTTCCTTTGTGACTACAGACGCGTACGGAATCAACTTCATTATTTTAGATATTCGTGAGCGAAGCCAAGGGTTAAAGCTAGTTTACTATAAAATGAAAGATAAAATTATTATTTAATGATTTTTACAACTTACAGACATGATTTCGGTGTTTTTCTTTGTTAAAACTTAATTTTTAGGATGCGGTGATACATTTACAACCTGTAAGTGGTTGTTTTTTGTATAGGCAACCCAAAATACACCGAAGTAACACTGAATCCTTAGCGAGTATCAATTTCAAGACAATCCTTTTACCACTCCACACGTCACTTACAGCCACAATGTACCAGTAAGATAAAATTGTAAATTCACTTTAGATGCTTTCATCTTTGTGTTTATATTTACATTTATTTTAAAGATATTCTAGACGTGCGCAGCGCTGTCAAAAACAATCTCCACTCATTTTAGATTTCTTCCTCGTCTCAAACTTTAAATGATCCAATTTTCACATTTAGCTGCTGATGCTTCACAGCGTGTGCGAAAAAACACCACATCCAAGACTTCCGCTTCCCTTCGTCCTTGTACACCCCCGTAGAGCACCGTAGAGCAGGTAAAAGTAGATAATAGCGATAACAAAAGGTTAATGCCTATTCTAACCTACAATAAATATCCTTAACCTTAAAAATTACCCGCTAGAAAGATAAAAAGTAAAAACGTGAAAGTTAAAAATGATTCGTGTGTTTCTTAGCTTCTGGGGTGTTTTGCGCGCATATTATTTATTCAACGATGTGCACAGGTGTTTACACATTCAGGGGATGAAAAGCAGGAAGGGTGGTGGGATGGAAGGGTTGAATGTTTCACCCTCCTCGAAGCAACTCGCAACTCATCTCGTCAAATGTGTGTCGTGCACATTATTCCGCGCGTATATTACACGTAGATTGCTATTTGTTTATGTACACGTGCACCAAGGGATGAAATTAATATTAATTCAAGATAAAGCACGTACGCATTGTTATGATAATAATGATAAAAATGACAATGTGGAAATATTCATGAAGAAAATCAATGTTTTTATAGTAATAATTGAGGGTAAATTAGGTTAGAATATAAAATAACCTGAAATTTATGTTTTTGATTAGTTATTTGTTAATAACTTTTAAATTATTTGGTTTATAATAATAATTCTTTTGTAGGGTGGTTAGGAATTAAATTATCTTTATAATTGTGTAAGAATTATTGTTATATTGTTATTATATCAAAAGTTATAAATAACTAAAGTTGAAAATATATTTTTTCTAACAAATTTGTTAATAACTTTTGTTTTAATAATCATATAAACAATCTGTAAACGTTAATAAATGCATAATTTAATTCTGAATCTAACAATAAAAGAATAATTATGGTATCTTTTCCCCTTTCGGAATAATCTGAATTTTTGTGAAGCGGTTAGTTGACATAAACAACTTTTGTCTTGTATTGTTTTTCAGTTTTTTTTTAATAACTAATAAACTATTAGCTTCACAACAATAATTCTTTCACACATTCATTAAAAATTAAATTATCTATCTAACTGTGTATAAATAATTTTTATACTATTATTACAACAAAAGTTATTAACAATCAAAATATGTTTCCTCATAAAAACTTGCAAAAAAACTACAAAACCCAAACTAAAAACTCATATAACTTCACCAAAA